ACCCTGTACACAAATGTTCATGACATCATTATTCAAATAGCCAAAAGTGAGAACCCAAATGTCCATCAACTGATGAATAAACAAAATATGGCATATCCATATAATAGAATATTATTCAGCCATAGAAAGGAATGAAGTATTTGATAAATGGTATAACATGAATGAACCCTGAAAACATTATGCTAAGTAAAATAAGCCAGACAAATATTGTATAGTCCCACTTAGAGGAAATATCTAGAATAGTGATAGAAAACAAATTAGAGGTTACAAGAGGCTAAGGGACAGGTTGGCTGGGGGATTATTGTTTAATGGGTACAGAGTTTTTGTTTGGGGTAATGAAAATGTTCTGAAATTGGGTTATTATTGCAAATCTTGTGAATATACTAAAAGTCACTTAATTGTACACTTAAAAACCGTGAATTTTATTGTATGTGAATTACATCTCAATTAAGAAAAAAAATCCTCCATTTTTACTTACTTTTTAAAAAAGATTTATTTATTTTGAGAGAGCATGTAAGGTGGGGGGGGGATGGGGGGGGAAGGGAGAAGGAAAGAGAATCTTCAGGCAGGCTCCTCAATATGCATTGAGCCCAACATGGGGCTCATCATACGACCCTGAGATCATGACCTGAGCCGAAATCAAGGGTCTGGCACTTAACTGACTGAGCCACCCAGGCGCTCTAAGAAAAGAAAAACCTTTAAAGAGAAATTCTTTGCAGGCTAAATGCATGTCATTGAAAGGAAACATACCTGAAGATGTGTTATTATACCTTGCTTTGTGAAAATCACACATCTAGTTATGATTTCAAAATGTTCCTTAGCTTAAAATACAATTATAAATGCACACTATGATAAGTCTTTCCGAAGCTTATGTTTATTATTTATATTATTGTTTCATATATAAATACTGTTTCAATATTTAATATGAAATATATAAATATATTTCTATTTCACAGTTTTCTACTTCATGGAATGCGATCTGAGCAAAAGAAGGTAACTTCTACTAGGTAATGGAACATACAAAAATGTTAAGTTTCCAACTCAGATTCTTGAGTCATGGTCATGTGCTTGAAAATCGATTTACCAAATGTATATAGATCCTGGGTCAGTCACAGAAAGCATTGTTATCTAGTTGCTCCAGGCCTGGAAGTCAAACGATCACAGTTGCTGTCCTGGCTCTGTTTCTTAGCTTGTTTCTGTCTCTTCATCTATAATTGAGGTGGTTGGAATTAAGGTTCCCAAAAGGAACTCTAAAATTCTGAACTTATTTTATCTTATTGTGACTTTATAGTCAAAGAACTTTTGAACTTTTTTACTTGCTTGGCTGCATTAAAACAATCATATTTTAAGATTTAGTAAATTTGCATTGGACCATGAGATTTGAAAAGGATTAAATTATCCACTCAGCTTTTTTCTCTTTGTTTAATTAATTAATTAATTAATTAATTAATTTTTTATTGGTGTTCAATTTGTCAACATACAGGATAACACCCAGTCAAGTGCCCACCTCAGTGACCACCACCCAGTCACCCCTACCCCCCACCCACCTCCCCTTCCACCACCCGTAGTTCGTTTCCCAGAATTAGGAGTCTTTCATGTTCTGTCTCCCTTTCTGTTATTTCCCACTTATTTTTTCTTCTTTCCCCTTTATTCTTCCACTCAGCTTTTCATGGGACCAATTGAGCTCATTCTGTGGACAATCAGCCTGAAGCAATGCCACCACCTGGTGGCCTCTCCTCAAATAAGACAACCTTGAAAATGATCCTTTGGCCTCTATCAAACTATGTATGACAGGTGGTTCTGACAGTACCTATTTAGGAAAGTTTAATAATGCTGCACAATATTTGTTTAAGTTAACTAATGCTTATGGAATCAGCCTTAAAAACTTATAATTCAACAAATTCTCTCAACAAATATTTTAGTGCCCAAGAACAAGAGTGAGCAAAATAAACAAAAATATTGGCATTCATAGACCATATATAGTAGGCATAACAAGTACACTATGGTACGTTTAGTGGCAAGTTCTAAAAAATCAAGATAATGATGATGTTCGGTAGGTTGTAGTCGTACTTTTTTTAAGATTTTATTTATTTATTCATGGGAGACACAGGCAGAGAAGGAGGCTCCATGCAGGGAGCCCGATGTGGGACTCGATCCTGGAACTCCAGGATCACGCTCTGGGCTGAAGGCCGATGCTCAACCACTGAGCCACCTAGGCATCCTGGGTAGGTTGCAATTTTAAATAGAATGACATTTGAGCAAAAACTTGAAAGGTGAGGTCAATTTTATGTGGTTGTCTGAATAATAAAATCCCACAGCTTTAATCCTAGCATGCTGCTATAATTCAGTTTACTCAAGTACTTCTTTTTAGTAAGCAGGAACTGTAATACCAGGCCAATATTAATAGGAATGACTACATTTTGAAAAATGATATTGGCCTAAAGAAAAGTATCTTTCCTATGTAATGACTGTTTTTAGTTAGTATCAGAAAAGATACAGGAAGTGGAGGTTTTGTTATCTTTCTTTTCACAACCTTAACATTACCTTTATACATTGAAAACTGTGTTCCTATGAAATTAGGAACTGTTCTGGTCTTAGGAATTTAGAATTGAAAGAAGGGAGGAGAAGGAAGAGGCACAATGTTGTCACCAATAAAGATTAAGTTATTCTAAGCTGTTTATGGCTTTGCTATTTATAAATTTGTCTCAGCACTTTGTGAAACCATTTAAATTTTTGTCTTAAACAGGCTTGGGTTAATGAGTGCCTCTAAAAGTTAGAACCTTGAGAGTAGAGATTGTTTTAGACTAATAGGTGTAGTGTAAGTGAACATAGTAAGTTGAACATAGTAAGTGGTCAGGAAAGTTATCTAAGTTGTCCTAAAACTACATTAGAAAAAACTTAGAGGTAATTTCTTAATATTTGGGGATTTTTCTTTAGATCAAGTTTTCTGAGAATGGAGAAGAGCTTTTGATGCAACCAGGAAATGAGATCAAATATGAATAAAGCAAAGAGTTAAATGAGTAAATTTAAAAAATAAAGTTTTGGGGGCACCTGGATGGCTCAGTCATGAAGCGTCTGACTCAATTTTGGCTCAGGTCATAATTTCATGGTCCCTGAGATCCAGCCCAGCCCTCGGCAAGGAGTTGACCTGGAGGACTCTCTCCGTCTGCCCCACCCACCCACTCAAATAAATAAATAAATCTTAAAGAAAAAGTTTTTTTTTTTTAAACTACAGGCAACTCAGACTTTTTTTTTTTTTTAAATTTACTTATGATAGTCACAGAGAGAGAGAGAGAGAGAGAGGCAGAGACACAGGCAGAGGGAGAAGCAGGCTCCATGCACCGGGAGCCCGACGTGGGATTCGATCCCGGGTCTCCAGGATCGCGCCCTGGGCCAAAGGCAGGCGCCAAACTGCTGCACCACCCAGAGATCCCCTAAAGAAAAAGTTTTTGATCAAATTACCAACAGGGTTTTTATTTGTTCTTTTATCACATTGTTTCCATAGGGACTTGTAATTAGGTGCTTAATACACATTATGAAAGGCTAAAATGCCATATAATAGCATTAATAGTGCTTTTTAATCTGCATATAGCACTTCAGTTTACACCACATCCTCGCACAGGTCTCATTTGCTTATTTCGCTCAGAAGATGCAGTGCAAATATAAAATTTACAGCGTAAACTTTCCTTTTAGTTATCCCTTAAAGGGAATTTGTATTTTCAGAGAACTATGTGCATTATGCTGGCAACTTAAATCTGACATGGGCAAAATTTGAAGTGGCAACGGCCAAGACTTGCCAAGTGGCAGTAGCTAATTTTGGCGAAGATACGGACCTGGAGGTGGAACAAGTGAAAAGGGTCCATGGAACCTGAGCCCACTTATGTCCAACACCTTGGGACGATGGAATACTTTACAAAGCACAACCTTAAAAAGGTCCAGGTGTTTAAATACAGAGTCGCTCAACTGTCTCCTTCTAAACAACAACAACAAAAAAACAAATAAAGCCAAACTTTTCCTTGCGAGTAAAGTTTCTGTGAATTTATGATTTAGAAGCGGGGAAGAGAGGCGAGGGCAATAGGCAAGTCTAGTTCAATGCCTAGGCAGCTGGAGAGGTTTAAAAATTGAAGTAAAAAAAAAAAAAAGTCAATGAACTTCTGTTGAATGGATGAAAAGCTCTGCTTTAAATATAAACAAAATAGGTAAAAATTATATTTGTAAGGAGACCTAAGAAAGGGTTTACAATAGTGACTTCTATGGAGAACTGGGGGATCTGAGGCTAGGTATGGGTTTACTTTTCTGTGTACCTTTTCGAGTTTTTAAGATACGCACCCTCAACCTTTATAAAGATTAGGAGAATCCCTTCTTCCCATCGTCCAAGCGTCGCTTCCTTCTTCCCAAAACAGTTTCCTATCAAGAAAACTCTCAACAGACGCCCCTCGAGCGAGCGAACAGGTCACCTGAATCAGTTCGTCCTTACTGCCGACCCAGATACGAGGCCAGGTGCTCAGGTGGAAGAAAGGGATGAAGGGCTCTTAGGCTGACGCTACGACCCTACAGGCCACTGCGCCTCCAAAAACCTGCGGCAAGCCGAGGCGGCTCTAAGGCTGACTCGCACTGGCGGCGCGGGGCTGTTCCTACTATTATTCCGCAGTCTCACTTCCGTGCGGGAGAAGGCACCCAGAGAAAGGTGCTTCGCCCCCGCAGGGCGCTGGACGACCTGCAACTCCCCCGGCGCTGCACCCGGTGTCTGCGTCCCGTTGGGCTGCTGCATCGAGGCCCAACTCGAATTCTTGGGTGGCAGATTCGCCACTATCGGCTGTCACAATTTAAAACGAAAATTCGAATTTCCCCATGTTGGAAGCCCTTTCAGTACAAGAAAACAGAAACACGAGAGATTTGGGGTCCTTGAATATTTTTATCCTCTGGCTTCCACCCAGCGCGCCGCGGACTGTCGTCGAAAGCGACGACGCGGACGCTCAGGTCGCCGTTGCTGGCGCGTAGCCGCCGCGGCCCGTCGCTCCCGCCCCCGCCGGGAGTCCGACGTGGAAGTTGCTGGCGGAGCGGACTTCCAAGGGATCCGCCTGGAGCCGGAGCCGGAGGCCGGAGGCCGGGGCGAGCAGGGGTAACGGCGCCGAGGCTCGAATAGCAGTCGCTGCCGAGGCCGGGGCCGGTCTCTGACCACCGACGAGGGCGGACAGGCGGTTCATCATGGGTGAGGGTCCGAGAAGGGCTTCCGGGCGCGCTCGAAGGGCTGCGGCTGAGGGCTGGGATCGCGGTCGGGGGTGGGGGTGGCGGGGGCGGCGGCCTGGGAAGCCCGGAGCAGCGAGCTTTTCAGGGGCGGATCCTTGAGGACTGAACTTGCCACGGCTCTTCACCTGTGGCGCTGGACGCTGCCTTGAGTGTTCGCCCCTGCCCTCGCTCTTGTCCCCTTCACCTCGGAGGGGTCAGGGGGTAGGGGCTCTGCTGCGGCCTGGGAACCCAGCCCCGAGCCCTTTCCCCTGAGCAGGAACTTCTCCGTCACCTCCTCCGACCCCCCTCGACTTGGGGCAGGGCGCAGAGTTGGCCTTGCGAGGCTTGGCGTTTGCCAGTCGCAGGTGCGCCGAGGGATCTTGCGTGACAGAGGAGGTCTGACCCCGCAGTGGAAGCCTGGTTCTCCCTTCTTGGACCCTGGGATTGCAGCAGTTAAAAAAATCCAAAGGGAATTGTTGCTCATATTTTATAGACCACTTGGCATTTGCCTGTTTCTCTGTAGCTTTTCATGTAGATAACATAGTTGAGGTGGGAAAAGGGAATGGGGACGGTACTGGTCATTATGGGTCAGTGAATGAGATTTTTTTTTTTTTTTGAGGATCTCACTTAATTTTATTAATTTATTTTTAATAAATTTATTTTTTATTGTTCAGTTTGCCAACATACAGAATAACACCCAGTGCTCATCCCGTCAAGTGCCCCCCTCAGTGCCGGCCACCCAGTCACCCCCACCCCCTGCCCACCTCCCCTTCCACCACCCCTAGTTCTTTTCCCAGAGTTAGGAGACTTCCATGTTCTAATCTCGGTATTTGGAGTGCTGGTTGAGGGCACTCCCTTGTCATCACAAGTGCCAGCAGTACCTAGCTTCCCTCCCTGCTGCAGCCTGGACGAAGGTGCAGCGTTTTTAACTGGTTCACAACTGGACACATGATGCAAATTCTTTGGCCTATTTTTAATTCCTTTACGATTTTCTGGGGGATTTACTTCCTGCCCTGGAATATCGCAAGCACTTTACTTTTTTCATTTCTCTCTTCGGTATTTTGTTTTGTTTTGTTTTTCATCGAAGATTTTATTTTTAACTAATCTCTACACCCAAGATGGGGCTCGAATTCAATCAGGAGTTGCATCCTTTGCAGCTCCAGTCAGGCACCCCAAGTTCTTTTCTTTTTACGGTGTAAAAGGTAGAAAAGATTTTAAGTTATACACCTATTACACTTTCCCAAAGTTCTCTGGCCTGTGGTGTCTTCATTTTTCCAGACTTGGATACCTTAATTGTGCCATTTCTTTGTCAGATAACCATGTATTGCATGTAGCATCATTTTTGTTGTCTGCTGTTTTTTTTATATTGTTAATGTAACTTCCTTTTAATCTTCTCTAATGGCTTTTAGTGTGGAAGGGCCAAAGTGCTTTCTTCTGGTGATCATAAAGAAAAAATGTATTTTAAAAAAGCTTCTGGGGCGCCTGGGTGGCTCAGTTTTTTGAGCCTCTGACTCTTGATTTGGGCTCAGGTCATGATCCCGGGGTCATGAGATCGAGCTGCATGTTGGCTCCTGCTGGGTGTGGAACCTGCTTGGGATTCTCTCTCTCTCCCTCCCCCCTTTGCCCCACACCACCCTTGGGCAAGCTCACTCTCTCTTACTCTTAAAAAAAAAAAAAAAGCTGCTTTCTTTTGTTGTAAAAAGAATAATAAAGATTCTAAATCACTACCTCCCCTCTTACGGATTTTTTATTTAAATACAACCCAAATGAATCAACACCTAAATCTGTTACCAAGAAGCCCTGCTGAAACAAAGGATAATTTTAATTTTTTTCCAGATTTCTTGAGGTATGAATGACAAAATTGCACGTATTTAAGGGGTACAATATGATGTTTTGATATACATTGTGGAAGGATTACCACAATCAAGCTAATTAATACATCTGCCACCTGAGCTTTTTTTGTATTTAGTGAGAACACTTTCAGACCTACTCTCTTAGAAAATTTCAAGAAAAAAAAAAAAGGAAAATTTCAAGTATACAGTATATTGATTTTTTTTTTTTTTTGTAGTTACCATGCTGTTCATTGGGTCTCCAGAACTTACTCATTTTATAAGGAAAGTCAGTTCCCTTGTTTGACATCTCTCTCCTTTTCCCCACTCCCCAGCCTCTCAGAACCACCATTATATTCCACAATGCCTTATGTATAGGAAACGTTTCTGGAAATATTTCATGATACATTGAGTGAAGCTTTATTATTTTTTTAAATGAGTTTTCTCTCAAAAATAGGTTTTGTTATTTTGGGCTTCTGTGTCTCAATTTCTTTTGCAAGTAATATTACAGAGAAATCTCAGTGATTGAAGGTAGTTAGGATGTTGGTGGTTGTACTGTGATAATAATTGCTTTTCACATGTGAGGACCTCATTGTTTGATTGTCCTTTCGATTTGTCGAATGGTGTTTGGGGGTTGTGAGATCGCGCCAACATATCCATATTCTCATGGGCTCATGAAGGCAGTGGTTCTGTTTCTCTTAATCTGGAATATATCTTCTGTGCCTTCCTGACACAGTATGCAGGACATGGTGACAATTAGTAATTATTTGTTTGATGTTGATTAATATATATCATTGAGAGCAAACTTATGTACCTAAGAATTGAGGAAGATATTACAGCATTATTTAATTTGGTGTAGCTTTCAAAGGGCAAGATTAAATGTTTTGTGGGCTTAGTTTACAAAATGATGTTTTTCTTTTATTATTTTTTTCAGGTGGCTTTTTCTCAAGTATTTTTTCCAGTCTGTTTGGAACCCGGGAAATGAGGATTTTAATTTTGGGATTAGATGGAGCAGGAAAAACTACAATTTTGTACAGATTACAGGTTGGAGAAGTCGTTACTACTATTCCTAGTAAGTATTGGTATGATAAACTAATTATAGGTTTGTTTTTTTTCCATCTAACATAACTTTATTTCTGATAAGTAGTTCATATAATGTAATTTTAATATAGTAGAGTTTGTAAACTTCCAGTGTGGGCATAATATTAATTACATTATTTTTCATAAATTGAGGCAATTTGTAAACCCTGTGCATGGCTGGGTTTTGCTGTTTAGAGCTTTTTTTTTTTTTTTTTTTAAGAAGGTTTTATTTATTTGACTGAGAGAGAAAGAGAGAGCCTGCAAGCGAGCCCGTGCACACACCAGCAGGGGGGTGACAGGCAGAGGAAAGGCCTAGGGACAAGCAGGCTCCCTGCTGAGCAGAGAGCCAGAGGGCAGGGTGGCGCTGGGCTGGATCCCTGGACCTTGGGGTCGTGACTTGGGCCAACGGCAGCCACTTAACCAACTGAGCCACCCAGGAGCCCCTATTTAGAGCTATTTTTAAAGTTAGAGTTAAGCCACTTAATCTCATTGAGAGCCCATATTTTTATGGATAAAATGAAGATAATACCCACTGACTTTAAGGGAGAAATAAGTAAAGTATATAAAATACTTTATAAACCTGTTTAAAGAATTATATGGATGTTAAGTGGTATTATTGCATCCGAAGTGCTTTTTTTCCCCTGTATTACTATTTTAATTAAGACTTGTTTCTCTTAATTTTATTGTTTGTTTGTCAAAGAACTGCGTTGAGACTATTGAATTAAAATGGTACCTAAAAATATCAAGAGACACCTCAACTTTAAATCAGCTGTCGATATCTTAGAAGAATATTTTCAAACAGTCCTATTTGACTACATGAGAATACTGTTTTTTATACTTTTTAATTTGTTGATAAGAATTTACTTAGAAATTATATATAAACTAAGTAACAGTTTGTAGAATTTGCTCAAGAGCGTTAAATTATGCCTCTAAAATCACTCTGTCATGCAAGGTATTTCTATATTTAGTAATATTTAAATTTCCAGATTAAAAGAAAAAAAGTCTAGTTGTTATGAAAGAAGAACTTTTTAAATACCGTGGCATCTAGTTATTTCTTTATGCCACCTCCAGTAAATTTCAGTTCCCTTGGTTTTTGCTTCTCGGAGTCGCCCATCTCTGCTGTGGTTAAGGATCCTGCAGTGCACGCAGCCCAGTGTATTGCATTTCAGCGAATACACTTAATAGCATACTCTTGTCCTGTGCGTGTTAAACAGTATTCGTAATTGAGATAAAGATGGCGATTACACTCCCACCTAATTCTAAGGGAGACATCATGAACTTGCGTTTTAGTTTTTCAGTCAGGTTTATTATAGCTATGTTTTAGTTGTGATAGGGAATACTTAACCATATACACATTAACCATATACACATTAACCATATAGACTTAAATTTAAAACAAAAATCAATTGTCCAGTTATAGCTGTAAGGCATTTCTTACTTGGATTTTTTTAAGTTTATAGAATCTTAGAAATAGTTTTTTCAGCATCTTCTTCACCCTCCCTAATGAAAATAAGTATCCTGCCTTAGTAATGTGGTACTAGAGTTCTACCTAAAAAGGATAGGGAAAAGAGATGAGATACCTCCCCTTTGACCATCTAGCCATGACCTTAATACAAATGAGCTCTTTGAGGAAGTCTGCAGAGGGTCTGTGAGATTGCCACACTTGGAGAACCCAGTTTCCATCAAGGGGTATATAGCTGTTGCTGAGTCTCTACCTGCTGAAGTTTAGAATTTAGGCTTTCTTGGTTTGATTTCCTGTTTACTTGCTGCCTATCAAAATTCCACTTTTTTTTTGTAATACGTCTACAGCTGTTCTTTCTAAGCATAACTTTCTAAACACTTGTATGCCAGGATTGTATTATATGGGGAGTTTAACACGGTAGGTTTTCCATTGTGCTAAAAGTTCTATATTTGCAGATGTGACTGGGGATTCTTACACACCTGAAAGTGGTGCTGATCTTGCTAATTGATGGTGTGTATATATAGCACAGAAACTGTTTTGTCTTAAATGAGATAGTATTTCAATCAGTAATGTGATTCAGTAATAATTCATTAAGCGCTAAAAATTAGATTGGATACTTTGAAGCTAGAATGCATTAGTCTACATATACTACTGATTTTGATTTATCTTCTAGCTATTGGATTTAATGTTGAGACAGTAACATACAAGAACCTTAAATTCCAAGTCTGGGACTTAGGAGGACAGACAAGTATCAGGTATGGTACATCGACCAGATTACTTTGTAGTATTGAATATTTATTGGCCCTTTTAAGGTTAAGAGCAATTAACCCAAATATGTTTTCTTTCATAATTTAAATGGGAGACACCTAGTTTAAAATGAGGTAAAACTCCTTATTCTCTCAATTGAATTAAAATTAAAAAAAAAAATTTAAGGAAGCCAGTTCTTTGGATATCACCTAAATGAATTTTTTCAAGAAAATCTCAAGGTCTAATTACTTGAGTAGTTTTTAACTAAAAAGGGTCTTCCATTTAGTTCTTGTCAGTCACTTTGTGAGACAGACTGTTTTGGATTTTATAAGTTAACTCTCAGCCTGCCATTTAGGGCTAATGTGAACATAGATGCCTTTCAGAACTTAGCTTTCCTGTCCAGTATTCTGTGCTTGGCATGGGAACTGTGAATGTGTGGTGGGTGCTCACTATTGTACCTACCATCTTAAAACATAAGTGGTACATTCTCCAGACATCCTGCTGCCTTTTAACCTACTTTTATTTTTGAACCACTTTTGAGTCCCTCTCTAAATTTAGTCATTTCTACTTCATGAAGTCTTCAGTAATCAGTTAAATGTCTGGTATATAAAAATCGTATTAAAAGTATTAAAAGTTTTCTTTAAGGGACTCTTGGGTGGCTCAGCGGTTAAGCGCCTGCCTTCGACCCAGGCGTGATCCTGGAGTTCCAGGATCGAGTCCCACATCAGGCTTCCTGCATGGAGCCTGCTTCTCCCTTTGCCTGTGTCTCTGCCTTTCTGTGTCTCTCATAAATAAAATCTTTTTAAAAAAATTAAAAAAAAGTTTAAGAACCCATTCCTTATTTTTTATTTATTTCAAAGATTTTATTTATTTGAGAGAAAGGAAGTGTGTGAGCCAGAGAGCACAAGCAGGGGGAGTAGCTAAGGGAGAAGGAGAAGCAGATTCCCCACTGAGCAGGGAGCCCGACCTGGGGCTCAGTCTCAGGACCCCGAGATTATGACCTGAGCTTAAAGGCAGTGTCTTAACCAACTGAGCCACCCAGACACCCCAAGAACCCATTCCTTAGGGTCCCTAGTTAGAGACTTATTAGATGTTAACAGTAAGGTCTGTGTATAATGTACATTTAGTGATTTTTGTAGATTAACTATAAACTATTTTCTTAAAGTCTGAACTCATTTGGAAACTTCTCGATCCTGTGATTTAATGTTTATCATTCCACCCTCATCACATCTGAAGGATATGTATGATACATACCCATCAGAAAGAATGAATCATTATGGCATTGATTCTAACATGGAGGGGGCAAGATTGGCATGTAAACCCCCCACTCCTCCATCATTGCCAGGTCCTGGCTTATAAATTAACATAGCAGGTTCTTTTACTTTCAAATAATAATATATTCTCCCTTCCTGAACTTTCTTTAGGCCATACTGGAGATGTTATTATTCAAACACAGATGCAGTCATTTATGTAGTAGACAGTTGTGACCGAGACCGAATTGGCATTTCCAAATCAGAATTAGTTGCCATGTTGGAGGTAAGAAAACTTTATTCAACTGTGGGGAAATATATTTTTTTAAGAATTTATTTATTCATGAGAGGCAGAGACACAGGCAGAGGGAGAAGCAGACTCCATGCAGAGAGCCTGATGTGGGACTCGATCCCTGGTCTCCAGGATCATGCCTTGGGCGGAAGGCGGCGCTAAACCGCTGAGACACCCGGGCTGCCCGAAATCTTTTATGTTTGCTTGCTGTTTCATTGTTACCACATGCAGGAATAATTAAAAGGAAAGCAGAGATTTTCCTTCCCATGCCTTTAGTATCATTTTCTTTTCTACAGATTACTTCCTCTTCCAGAAATTCTGTTGGGAAGAGGAATGGAGAAAAAAATATTCCAGCTGTGTAACTTCGTGTTTTAAGCTAGATTTCTTGGTTTCTAGGAAGCTCAGAGCTAAACTCTTTCCAAACTGAAAGAATTATTTTAAGTTACTCCTGTGAAGTGCTTTTTATAAAATGTCTTTATTTCTAGTTGTAGAAATTAGCTTATGAAAGCAGATAAGGATATAAACAATAAGGAGGTCTGTTTGTTTTAGAATTTCTGGGTTTCTGCCACACCTCTGGCCCTTGTTTATCTCTTCCAGCCTTTTCATTTTACTCTTCCTTGTATTCACAGTCCTTCAGCCATACTAACCTTTCTGTTCTTTGGATACACCAAGCTTACACTGGACACTTAGGGCTTCTTGTACTTGCTCATCTTTCTGCTTGAAACGCTCTTCCTCCAAATCTTTGCATGGCTACCTTCTTGACAGGTTTTACCTCATGTTTCTGCCCCAGAGAGCAGCCTCTTTTATTTTCTAACACCTTATCCTACTTTACTTTTTGTGCCACTTAGTGTTTCCATTATTTTATGTGCTTGCTTCGGCAGCACATATACCATCTTTCCATTATTTTAAAATATATTTGTTTGCTTATGTATGTCTCCCACCCAAAAAATGTAAATTCTTTGAGTTTACCCTAATAATCCTGATGTGTGGAACAGTGTACAGCACTTATGTAAGAACTCAAAACATAGTCACTGAAGTTCATAAGATAATTTATTGGCTAACTGAAATCAGAGGATGCATTAGTAATAATCAAAAGTTTAAGAAATCTCCAGTTGTTAAATAAGCTTTTCAAATATTCTAATGGTTAATTTAAGTAATAATGAAATTGCCTTTGCTTGAGAAAATTAGATTGTTTCCTTTTCCTACCAGAGCTATGATTCTGAATTATTCAGTCATTGAATGCTTAAATATATTTTCTAGGCCACTTGATTACCTAGGTAGAAGCATTCTTGGAATACCTTGGACTTCTGATTTCTTGACTACTGACTTCTTAATGGCTTCTGAGTTATAAATTACAGATTTAATAGTTGTAACTTTTGCTTAATTTTTTTCACAATATAGCATCATATTTATCATAAGAGCTTCTTAAAATTCAAGTATAAGGAATTTTAAGGAACTATTTAACTGCTTTCAGTATAATGGATTTTTAAAGTAAAAGCTTTAGTTAGATGTAATTCACACAGTATCATGGATTTTTATCATAAAATATTGCGTAAAAGAAATGGGTTATTAGCTTCAGTTTACAGTTCTTGAGTTGTGCTGGGTTGTTATTTGTGATATTAGGATTTGACCTGTATAATTGTATGAGAAAGAACTAAAAATTGTATTCTTTCTTTAGGAATTAACTTTTAATCAATTCAGTCAATAAATATATAATGTAAAGTACATGTAGCGTAAGAGCCAGGTCTGTTATCTATTACATTCAAACTTAAAGACAAGTCAAGTTATACTATTCTTGTACACAAAAATAAATTCTGTCTGGAGTGAAGAATTAAATGTAAAAAATGAAAATCATTAACTCCCAAGAATATGTAAGTGAATATGTGTAAAATTTCTGGATAAGAAAGGTCTTTCTAAATCAAAAGATTGGAAGGAATTATGAAAGAAAAGATATATTTAATTATATTAATACAAACAAAACCCCCACAAATACAAATTAGGGTGTAAAAACAGGAAATCTGGAGTTTTATAACCAGTGACTGAGGATTAGTGTTCTTAATTGTATCAATTGATTCTTTTGCAAATAAATAGAAAACTGAGCATGAACTTATAGTGCAGAGGAGAAAACTCTTATTACTGTTAACATTTGCATTTCGAATACTTTGATAATAAGTATTTAAGGAGATGCTCTGGAAAAATATGTAATTTCTAATTCTTCCAAGGCTGCACTGAAGAATGTTACTGTCAAACGTTGGTGGAGTTTAAATTGTTATAACCTTTCTGGAAAGCAGTTTATTAGTATATATAACAAGAACCCCCCCAAAAGTTTATACTTTCATTCTATTTTTAGAGAGTTTGTTAAGGAAATAAGAGATTCATACAGAGATTTCTGTGTAATGACTGTGTCCCTGTGGTTTCTGTTAATAGTCAAGTAAAAAGAATTTAGTAAGAGTCTAATACTGAAGAACAGTTAGTATACAGTATATTTAACTATTAAATTTTTTTGGAAAAAATTTTGATTGTTTGGAAAAATGGCCATGATTTAATATTTTTTAGAGCAGGATATAGGTCTGTATGTAAATTGACTTTAAATGTGTAAATGGGGCAGCCTGAGTGGCTCAGCGGGTGGCTCAGTGGTTTAGGGCCGCCTTCAGCCCAGGGTGTGATCCTGGAGACCCAGGATGGAGTCCCACATCGTCGTCGGTGCTGCCTGCATGGAGCCTGCTTCTCCCTCTGCCTGTGTCTCTGCCTCTCTCTCTCTCTCTGTGTGTCTCTCATGAATAAATAAATAAAATCTTTTTAAAAAATGTATAAATATATTTATTAATAAACAAGAAGTATCTGAATTATAAAGCAGTAGAAAATACCGAAAATGTTAACAGCGATCATGTTTGGGAGGTAGGACTATGGATGAAGCTTTCTTTTCTTCATACTTCTCTATAATTTCGAATAATTTATAATGAACATTATAGATTCATAATTAAGAAATACACTTTTAAAATAATATATTTGTTGGCATTTCTTTCTAAACTTAAGGGAGCAAATTGACTAGAGAAAATTAAATACTTTCTCTTTTATTTAGGAAGAAGAGTTGAGAAAAGCCATTTTAGTGGTGTTTGCAAATAAGCAGGACATGGAACAGGCCATGACTCCCTCAGAGATGGCAAATTCACTTGGGTTACCTGCGTTGAAGGACCGAAAATGGCAGATATTCAAAACTTCAGCAACCAAAGGCACTGGCCTTGATGAGGCAATGGAATGGTTAAGTATTGTATTTCCAGAAGCCATCTGTGCATTGTTTTTGTGTGCTTCTATTTGCACACGTGTGGTTTCCCTTTAGTATTAAGGATGAAATTCAGATTACTTAGCAGCTTATCATATTAATAAGTTCCTCCAGTCTTCTCTGCCACTGGTCTTCATGTGCATTGGCTTTTATTTCAGTCACACTTACTGATTAAAGTTAGATAAGCCAACCCCCCCCCCTTTTTTTTTATACCTTTTCCCTTCCTTACTGCATCCTCCAATTCCTTATACTTCAGGACTTAGGTTAGGACTATCTTCTCAAGAACCTTCCCTTGCACATCTCCGTGCCCACTGCCTTACCACACACATAGCTGGATGTCCCTGTCACAGAAGTGGCAAAGTAGGGACGTGGCCCTGTAATTGATTTGTGCATCTACTCAAGATTTTAAGCTCCATGAGGACCTTGACTAGTTTTCACCTCTGAGTTACCCACATCTGGCCATGCTGCAGAAGTTACAGCCTGGAAGGAAGATAAGCTGGTCTTTTTGATTATTCATTTAGAACATAGACAAAATTGAAAGCTAAAACGCCTTCATGGAAATTGAGTCCTTAACATCATTCTTCAATATAACTGTCTTAGCCTTCATCATTTAAAAGGAATCCGCTTTGGAATCACTTCCAGTATAAAACTTTTATATCTCAAAGTTTGAAGTTAATTTTGTGAAACTGTTCATTTTTTCTTTGCAGGTTAGTTGAAACATTAAAGAGCAGACAGTAATTCAATCACTTGTGCCCCTGTGAAATGAAGCTACATCACATATTCCTTTGGAAGCAGTTAAGTATGCTTCGTGCTACTAAATGTTAAAACTGTGTGATTGTTGGTATATACTGAACTGACTACAATACTTGTAATAAATATAAAAAATAAGTATTTGGTTGGAAGGGTAGCTCACCCATGATTGAACCAACTGAATGTTCTGTGTAATGTAAAATCCTTCCTTGCTTTTTTGTGTTAAGTATATATTCTATTTGTATGGAATTCATATTCAAATAGATTCCTATTAAAGAATGTACTCTTATTGAGGAAAAACCCTCCTATTTTTGAATTAGTGGTTGCATCTTGTATGTATAAACACTAATAAATATCTTAACAGATTTTTCCCCCTAAAATGATTATGTTTTTCCAAAGATTAGACTCAGTAGAGGGGAACAAAGCGTGGGTAATATAGTCTTCATTTGCTAAATGACCATTTTATTTAAGCTGTTTTGTTGTTTGTTTTAAGCTTTTGGGAATAGGCATGAAGCTGAAAAATTATTTTGGTGGTTAACATCACTGATACCTGTAATTGTCACTTTAGTACTTTATAGTTGTTGAAAAAATTTTACATATATACAGGAACCCAGTGATGTAGGTACGACAGTTTGTAATGTCTTTATTTTATGGACATGGACCCAAGGTTCTGATAAGTTGGTTTGCTCAGGATCACCTGCCAGGTGGGAACAGGCTCAAAGTGAGATTTCAGGGTCAGAAGCTGATCCCATAAACTATACCATAAATTCCTGAATATGTCAACACTGGCAACACAGACAACCTTAAGTGCTTAAGTAAAATTATGCTAATTGAAGTAGATACAGTACATTCAAAATAATTTCTATAAATATGCTATACCAGTAGAGGTAGTAAAAACAATCCTAAATGGTTATATTTGATGGAATCCACAACATATTAAAGGAAATTTTAAAGATCTATTTTAAGAAGCATTGTAAAAGATATCATTACTGTCTTTTCATTTTTTTTATTAACTGTAATTGGATTTACCAATTTGGTGAAAAGTCAAAACAATACTGGTCATACGTGGAGAAATGGAACAATCCTGGTTTTAAAAAGCAGACGTACTGATAGGGTAAAAAACAATTATGTTCAAAGGAACTTTTCAAACTCTCCAGTCTACCACAGAATTGGCTGCAGTGGGGACAGAATATGGTCCCTTGTATTTACTTACACTGGGGGGAAATCTTGAAGTTGGATAACCAGCAGTTAAAAAATGTGATGCCCTCACTGGTGTTCCTGGGAACACTGTGGTCCACTTCCCGTCCTGCCACTGTCTTTGCAGACGTTGACCTCTAGCTTCTTCCTTCATACCTTTGGTCAATCAGATCAAATGAATGTGGCTTTGTCTTTTCACCTGTGGGACTTTACTCTTTTTGCCCATACCCAGCACCCATTCTTAGTTTGGTCTCTTAAGTCTTGTTTGGAGACCTTCTTCTAGGCCCAAGTGTTCTCAGTGCTGTACCTATAATATTACTTAGCATGTAATTATTGTTTCAGTTTCCAAATCACTCCTGAAGGACAGATTGTTTCATATTACTATCCTTAGAATCCAGTGTGGTGCCTGGCATCTTATGGCATCTTATAGTAAGAGTGTGGTTGAGATAGTGGGTTGTGTTTGCCAGCTAGGAAAATAGTACCTCTTTGACCTAGGCTTTGGTCCCCTTGTCGTCAGTGGCTGGATTTGTACTTCAGTAGCTAAGTGTCCCCCTGGCCCCACTGCAGCACTTTAGGAACACTGTGAAGCCTGCAGGAAGAGAAGCCCTGGCAGGCATATGCTACTCAGGACATAAAACTCTTGCCATCTTCAATACTGAGCACGCATGAAGTCATAGCATACACTAGCACTTGAATGAGCATGGTCTCTGTTTTACCACAAAGACTAGAATGGGGTAAATAGAGCATTCACTTATTTTAATATACATAAATTATGAAGTCTTTGTCTAGTAGGAAACAACTATATAGGTAAGTTACAGGTATTTGAATGATACTTATAAAAATGTACTGAATATTGTTTTGGAGAACCGTGAAAATGGGAAAAGCTCCAAACTTAAAATCTGAACACATGAGTTCTAGGCACAAGTGGCCATTCCTTCAGTTTATTTTTTTCCCCCCATAAAACAAGAGAATTGAACAAATCCTATCAAAGTTTTCTTTTAGCTCTAATACTCTGTTTTATAACTCTGGTTGGTAAATGTGCTGTGTCATGTGTTCACATTAAAAAGAGAATGGTGGAAATTTGTTATTAGAATACTTGAGATACACTTTAAGTTGTGAAAATGTAAGTACCATGAGGGTAGGGACCATACCTTATTTACTGTTAGTATTCCTTGCATCTAGTGTGGTGCACTTGGCATACAGTAGGCACTCAATAAATATTTACTAAATTGTGCTCAATATCCCTGAGATATTTGTTCTTTCTGATTTTTGCCTTAGTGTTAATTTCTGATTTTTTTATTTAAAAATTTTCATAAAGGCAGTACATGCACTTTAAATCACTTAGAATTAATTGAAATCAGCCTTCTGTGATGCGTGTCACACTTCTACTTTAGGCACATTACAAACCCCTTGGAAGTGTGAGAACTCTTGTCTGAGACCAACTACATCAAAACACAGATACTAAAGTTCAAGAATGTTTGAACATTTGATTTCTATGCCATATGCTATATTCTGACTCCATAACTAGAACTGATAAAAAGCATGGGCTTTCAGTCCTTGCTGTGAATCCTGATTATGCCACATGCAACCCGTTACCCTTAGGTAAATTATTTAACTGGAGTTTTAGTTTCTTTATCTGTAAAATAAGAACCAATTTTAGGCAGCTCTCAGGAATACTATGAGGACTAAATAAAATGTCAGCAAAGTGCCCGGCACATAGTATGGATTCTTCTCCCCGCTCCCCCTTCAAAATATATTGAGCACTAAAGAATATTGCTTCCACATCAGGTGTAGATGGAGACAAAGATACCATATGTATGAAGGAGATCACGCCAAACTGTCTTTCAAAGTTGTTTATAGGAGTTCCCTTTGTTTACCAAGCTAGCGAGCATCTAGCCTTATCAACCTTACCAGCCTCTAAAGGGTTCAAAGTGGAATTTCATTCTGATGTTAATTTTCATTTTCATAATTACTGAGGTTGAATATAGGAGTGATTCAGAATATTTAACAGCCAGACGTAGCTGATGTAGGAGGACCCCCACTAGTCCAGGTGTTGATCCTGTGATTTTGTTGTGGGGAGGTAGGGAATCTAGGGACTCACATAGCCAGGGTGGCACTTGCGTGTCTCAAGGCAGTGAGTGCTTACCACCTAGTATATTAAGTACATTTTAATATTTAAGAACTGGTATCGCCATATAAGGGTAAGTATTAATGTTTAAGGGCCATTTATTTTTCTTCTGTGCAATGCCTATTTCTCTCTTTTGACACTTTTTCTACTGGACTGTCTGTTGATTCATAGTTATCTTATAGCCTGGGCACTGTTAGGTTGATTATCTGTAATGCTGTACACCATACCCCAGCTGTATGTGCACAAATTCTTAACTTTCATGTAGAACTTAACCCATGTTCACTATAGATATAGCACTTTTTGTGACTTACTTCTGGTATCTGACAGGGAAAACTCCTCACCCTTTTCAAAACTCCCTTTTTAAGAGCATCATGACTGGTTTTCAGTTAATCTTCCATATAAATTTTAGGATCAGCCTGTTAGGATTATATGAAGAAGAGCTCTTGGGATTCTACACAGATAGGTCTTTAACAAGTGGGATCCAACTTCTTACAATACTAGATCTTCCTGTCCAAATAACATGGTTATTTTTCCATTTGTGCAGATTTCTTTTAATGCCTTTCAATAAAGTTTTCTAGTTTTCTCCATAAAAGTATTATAAATCACTTATTTCTAACTTCTACATTCTGTCTTGCTATTTTAATGCCTTAAAAAAATTATCACTACTGTCACATGTTTTTTAGACAGTGAAGATACAGTAGAATTATGAAAATGTTTTAATTTAAAAAATCTGAGCATGATTCTATTAAACTGTATAATATACAATATATGCCAGTTTAACTTAAATAATAAAACCTGCTATGATTTCAGACCAGCAGATATCCTGAGAAATTCATGCTTTGGGGTAAATTGAGATACTTTATCAGTAGAGGGGGCACATCATTCCACAATTGCTAAATCTTTCAGGCTGTAGCTCTTTTGTCTCTTGGTCTTACAGCTTGGACGCAAGAACTCTATTTTTCTCTTCTTGGCTTCACTTTTATTTTTGTGTTTCTTGAGCTTTTTCTTTGCAGCAATATCAGGATTTGTTACAAACTTGAAAAAAATAGAAATTTTATATTACTTTTAAAGTAAATGTTAAACCAATAAAAATCAAATGCAGAAATGGGCCATTTAAATATCACATGCACACAATCCCATTAAGGAGAATGTGGAGCCCTAGCTGTAAGGTCCCATCTCAAACATAGCCAATCCCTCCTTCTTCCCTGGGTAAGCGTGACACACATCACACATGCATGCACACATGATTCAAAATACTGGTTCAAAATACTTAAGTCTAATGAACACACCACATTTTCAAATGGGAAACGTACCTCTAAAGCCTTCCTCTTTTTCCGGAGTGCCCTTTTCTCATTAGCCTGTTTCTGTACAGAGGCAAAGGCTAAGGAGAAGTTCTCAAGCCCAACCAGCTTTTTGAGTAACTCTATGATTTCCTGGGATAGATTCTTCAGCAAAGGATCTAATCACAGAGAGTAATAATCAGAGATAATCACGAGGAAAGGGCACATTTAAACATTGCTAAAATCAACAACATGCAAAATTTAAATTCCTGCAGCATTATCACTTTTATTACTTGAGCATTAAACACTGACCTCAAAGCAAGCTCTACGTTTCTGAGATGGGAGAACAGAGTGTTGGGCATGACCCTCCCAGCCAGCACCCCTCTGGATGTGCCAGGAGACCACAGTCTGTGAAGCCTGTTTTCCAGAGAAATCCTGGCTCAGAAGATGCTAATTTGAGAACCAGACAGAAACATTTTGGGTTTCTTTATTAACCTGCTCAACTCTGCAGACAGGGAAAAGGTAAGTGTGACTCTAGGCCGTCTCTAATTCACGGGTCACAGATGTTTAGCTGTGTCCATAACCTTTTTTTCTTGAGGGGGCGGTGGGGAGCAAAGACTTCTCAGAGACAAAAATCTTTGTTTTCCCACTCTTCCCTGCCTTCTGTCTCCCAAATGCAAATAACCCACTGATTTTTGTACTCAATTTCAGGAGCTGTTCTAGATCACAAATTTCTTGAAAATGGCGACTAGGTCCTTTGTACCATTGGAACCACCAGTTCCTGGCAAATACAGGTGCTCAATAAATGCTAGGTGATGAGAACCAAAGCCGACCCGGAATGGACCACTGCTTTCTCAGGGTTGTAAGACTAAAATAGCTGCTGCTTTGACATTCAGTTCATTTTATTTTAAAACTTAATATCTACTTTACCCCCTCTCTTTCCAATCCCCAATTCTCTCTTTTCCTATTATCAAAAGAGACCATTTAGGATCAGAGAAGGAAAGACATCAAACACCCAGGCAAGAAAAATGAAAAAAACAGGAAAAGTAAAAAGATTTTAAAAATACTTTACACTTTTTTTATGTTGGCAAATCAAATTAAAAAAAAAAATTGTAGCAGTCCTCTCCCCCACCCCCCCCAAAAAAAAAGAAAAAAAAAAGAAAATATCTCACACTTTTGCCTTATAATTCACAGAGAATATTCTGACATATTGTTCATTATTGTCCACAGACCACAAGGTTCAGAACTACCTCCAGGTACAGTTTTCTTTGCTTAGGAGTAAAGCATCTTTTAGGAGAGAAACAATCACTCTTAAACATGAGGAAGCACACAGAAGGCAGTCAAACAAAAAATATGCCTCATTTGTTATTGATTGTTTTGATCTCTAGCAAGTTTTCTTAAAATGAACTCTGGCAGGGAGGGTGGACAGAAAGGAAAAAGAAAGCATGGAGGAGAAAAGTGAGGGTTCCTAAGGTGCATGTCTTCAAAGACAGGCTGTAGTTACCCTGGTCCGAATAGGTGCTGTTCAGCTCTCGGAACAGAGGAGCTAGGATCACGGGGAGGTACGGCTTCACCTTGTCTGCGCCAAGATCCATGGCTAGAGCGCCAAGAAACTTAAAGATGCACGTTCTCTGAAAGTACAGATCATTCATGGTCCTTTGAGGCTCTTCTCTTACTGCGGCCATACAAACAATTTAGAAAACAAGGTCTCCTTTTGGGTTAAAACTTTTGAGAGACTCAGGAGGATTGCTCTTACACGCCTAGAATGCTTTTATAAAGAAACCAGTGCCTGGAGTCATGAGGCACTCACTGTACCTTTAAAGGGTTTCTAGGTGAATAGGCAGCCTCCAGCTTCGCGATCCGGGACAACCTCTGCACCAACCACAGCAGCGTGGCCGGCCTGCCGTGCTCATCCTTTGCCGCCTCGGTCTCTTTGTAAGGGTCCAGCGTCTCCTCGGCACAGGACCCTCTGGCCATACCATCTCCTAAAGCTGCTTGTTCCTCCCTCTCACCTTGCTGATCCTCAGATTCAGGTTCCAGTAAATATAAGACTTTGGCTACAAATAACAAATTCTTAACAACCTTTAGAAAAGGGGAGAGAAAGGAGGAATTGGGACTTTGATTTTGAAATAAATACGGCTTAGGAAAAAATAGGTTCTACAATTAGAGAAAAAACCCCATAACTGGGCATTGCACTATTAAACTGATGATTGTCCTATATTTTGATCATCTTCAGTTCTACCTCATACTGTATCCAAACCCATTTCCATGTAACTCATCTACTGGGTCTAGATCTACCTTCAATGTACCAATAAGTACATGATTTTATTCCAGACTATCCATTACATTTTTTAAAATTTTATTTATGCATGAGAGACCCGCAGAGACACAGGGAGAGGGAGAAGCAGGCTCCCTGCAGGGAGCCCGACATGGGACTTGATCCTGGGTCTCCAGGATCAGGCCCTGGGCTGAAGGCACTCGACCACTAGGCCACCCAGACATCCCCCTATACGTTACAATTTTTAAGAGAACTTTTCATCCCTCCTCTATTAAATCTTTTCATTTATTGAGCAATGACTGTATACACAACATTCTAATTTAATTCTAAAATATCATTATTAAGTACTATTATCAGGAGAGAAAACCAAGATTCAGAGTTATTAAATGACTCACCCAAAGACAAGTGGTCAGCCAGGATTGAAGGGTCTTTAGAATTTAATCCTAAATTCTTAAAAACAGATCTTCTCAAATTCCATCTGATCCAGTTAAACAGCCCAGGGACCAATTTTAGACTTATAATAACAGGCCCCAATACTGGATCCCTAACTCTGACATCCATGAAATCTTGGACATAGGTATTTCACACTAATTATGAGAAGGAGGAAGCCACGTTGGTTTTGAGTTCCTTTACTATCGTGGATGCTCTGTTAGAGGTGCTGTGTGCCCAGAGTTTCTCCCAAATGTAGGACACAGAACCCTGCACACTGTCTGAGGCTAGCCTGACCATTAGGAATTCATGTGAAGATTATAATTTCCTTCTCCTGGGACCTTGGCCTTCCTGAAGACAGTCCCAGTTTTGGAGGCCTTGTCCCCTATGGCAGCCACTTCACCCTAAGACTGGAGTGAACCACATTCTATAATTTCTTTCTTCCTAGGTCAGTACTAGTAAATCCCTTCCTGTCCTGAATTTCTATGGTTGTATCTGTCAACCTCTATCAAGACTGATACTGTGTGAGACCTCACCTGCTACTACTCAGGCAGGGTTTCTTTGGTCTCACTTCGCTATCCACTGAACAGCTTTCCGTTCTTTCTCTGATCCTGTCATATAATGAAGCAGGCTGTATTTTCATGTAAAAAGTGATGGCAGTATTAGGGTTAATGGCATGCTACTTGCGATCACTCTTTGGATACAGCATCCACTTAGTTCCCGTTTCCATCTTGTCCATAATGACAAGAGTCACAATCAAGTGCATTGCTCATAACTAGGCACTGCATCTTTGTCATCTCTACCAACAGCTTTATCAAAGGAGGAAAAAAATAAAGGGAACAGTAGACCCTATTCAAAGGTAATTTACATTTACTGAACATTTATAAATGCTTCTATTTACATTTTACTTATAGTTACATTTTATAATATAAAATACATGGAACTTTTTAGTGATTTATCTGCCTTCTGTTCACCACAGACGATTCTCAGACCACCCTGTAACATGACCTTTATTACCTTCTTTTCAAGCTCCAGGGGTAAGAGAAGGAAATGTAGTAATAGAGTTTAATATAGGATCACGATCAATCGGTCAAGCAACTAATGCCCTTCAAAGCTTTGGTCACAATGTGGGATAGATGTTAAAACTGAACATGAGAAGATTAACAGCCTCTCACTGGGAATTTTAAATGGAGCCAAGAGTAACCTCAACAGGGACCCAAGTGCTGATGAGATTTATGTCACAAGTGAACATGTCTTTTTTTTTTTTTTTTTTTTTTAATTTATGATAGGCACACAGTGAGAGAGAGAGAGGCAGAGACATAGGCAGAGGGTGAAGCAGGCTCCATGCACCGGGAGCCGACGTGGGATTCGATCCCGGGTCTCCAGGATCGCGCCCTGGGCCAAAGGCAGGCGCCAAACCGCTGCGCCACCCAGGGATCCCGACTAGATCCTTTCTATTCAACCAGGAGGATACTACTCACCTGCTCTCCTAGAGACTGATCTAAGAATTTGGAATGCAACTGATGGCAAGAGGCTAGGGAGATACTTTTCATCTGTGAAAACAAAGTAGACATTGACAGACACAATGCAGGCATTTCTCATTGTTCTTAAAACTCCAAGTCACTAACCATTATAGTAAACTAGGTGCTAGATTTTGACTTGTATAGGTCTGGAGAGGGGAGGTCCATGACCAGAAAGAAACTGTCACTGTTTCATTCTACCTGCCCCAAGTACATTAGCCCCACCCACCCCCAAAAGGGGGAATACTTTCAAGCTCTGGGGCAATACAAATAATCCCTCAGGTTATCAGTAGAAAACTTGACAACATCCTAATATATTTTTTTCCTTCTTTCCTTCCCTTCCATCTTCTCATTCAGTGTTTATGGAGTTCCCACTATGAGTCACGCATTGTTTTAGGCCCCAGGAAATCCAAGATGGATATAACATGGTCTCTAACATTTCCACAAACATGATCTCATTTATGAGGCAGGACAGACAGTATCAATTTCATTTAAAAATATGTATTTTTTTTAATACTGATAATCTGAAGCAGTAAAAAAAAAAAAAATCATAGAAGATGAATGTTCTAAATAAGACTGACAGTTTACAAATTCTCTTTGGAAAGCCTTGGCCTTGAGGCCCACCCTTCTCTAGTACCCACTACTCTTATAGGATCCATGTGCAACAAGTCAGATGTAAGAGTTTCTGCCGAGGGCCAACCCCAAAACGGTTACAAGAAGCAGAATGAACATCCCACACCGACCTCAAAGAAAGGGAAAAGTTTTAGGGAAACATTACCTTTTGTTCAAGGTCATTTGTTAGAAATCTTACTGCTACGGGTACTGAGAGTTTCTTTTTAGTTTTTTTGGTCTTCTGTTTTCTAATAAGTTCCTCTGGTTGGCAAGAGGCGAAGAGTAATCCAAAAATCTGGGCCGCAGTGAGCCACACCCAGCTGTGTGGATGTCTCAGGTGACAGTGCACATAACCTAAGGGAACCAAGATGCACCTTCAGTATCTTAGCTCTCCTGACTCTTTGGTGGTAAATATGATTAGCGTAGGCATTATCTATTATCTGCTTGGAGCTAGGGAGAGGTGAGGTGGTAAGAAACCGGAAACAACCAGAAAACCAGCTCCTAACGTGGTGAGTGACAGAAGAAGTATGAGTAAGCCTAAAAACACCAGTTCCATCAGAATTAGTTTCAGGCCCAAGGGAGATAAGGTGGCTGTGACATTTGTGAGTTCTAAATTAATATAAATATGTATGAAGGCACACGCTTGTTTCTAGTAATTACTGAAATCGGGGGGGATGTCATCATTTCTTGAGGCTTTCTCTGTGCCAAGCACGGGGCTAAGTGTGCTACACACATTATTTTATTTAGACCCCACACCAGTTCTGTAACATTAGACTTATCCAGTCCATTTCTCAGGTAAGGAATCTTAGACAACGGGCTAGATGAGGTGCCGTGCTTTAACAGGCAGAACCAGGCCTGGGCCCCAGCTTGACCTGGCTGGCCCCAAGCTTGTACTCCTGTGTTACGTGGACACTTTGAAAACCTTGTGGGTTTTAGGGAACATGATTAAAATTCTGGATGAACTATGGCATATCTGAGTTTTAGTCTATGCTGCTTTATTTCATTAACAGGGTTTTACTTTTGTTCTTTGTGTATTTTGTAATAATGTGGCCATGGCTCTGGTGGAGTCATACCACAGTAGGCTTATTATAGTAACTTAGTAACTGTAGGACTTCTCATTGAACCCTGAGTTCTCTTAAAACAGCTGGGTACTTAAAGCATTCATTCCAAAGTCTATTTCCTACTGACTAATCAAAATTGAATATGTTAAGTTAAAAATATTAGGATCTTATTTTTCATTTAAAGAGTGATATTAATAATTTAAATGTCACATAGAGGTTAAACGGTTTACTAATCACGGCACATTTGCATGGGAGGCTATTTATAGTCATTTTAAGAAAACTACCTACTAAGTGTGTTACGCTACAATGATATTCTTATTTAGGTACAAACAATATATGAGAGTTTATGTGGAATTATGTAGCCTGTTTACAGAACCCTATGTCTATTTAACAAAAGACAGACTGGATGGAAATAAATACCAAATTATTACCAAGTAGCAAGGAGGACTCTGAGAAACTTTTTTCCTCTTTTACTTTCCCATAATTAATATTCCTTCTTTTATAAATGAAATGTATTACTTGTGAAGTCAAGAAACATTTTCACTGTAATTAATTTGAAAGAGTCTTTTAAATCTTTCTCTTATGGACTTTTCCCTTGACATTATATACTTTCTAAATATTCATATGCTAATTTACCAAAACTGTTTTCAATAATTCTATCACAACTAGTATGTTTGTTTTTATATTTAAGTTAAAAAGGAAACACTTACTCCAGATTTTATTCAACGTCTCAGAGGGCTTGGTAAACTGAATAATATTACATTCCTTGATGAGTTTACTAATCAATGTAAGAAAACTAAACAGAAGGCGATCTGCAGCTTTTTCTTCAGTCTCCTCCATGATCTAAAAACAGGATGGATAGAAATCAATCAAGACAATTTCAAAGTCTATGATGGCTGTTTTTACTCCAGCATGTAAATTGATACCAAGGTGTCTCAACATCAGTGGACATTTTGGGTCAGATAATTCTTTGTTGTGCTGTGGGGACCTGCCCTGTGCACTGTGGGATGATCTGCAGCATCCTGACCTCTGCCCACTAGATGCTAACGGCACCTTCTACCCTCCATTTGTGACAAACAAAAATGTCTCCAGATGCTACTAAATGTTCAGAGTGGGTGATGGTAGGCTGTGAAATCACCCTGCTGCAGAAATTTCGATCTTCATGTACTACGGAAGATAACTTACTTTAAACCTCATTTAAAATGAAGACCCAACTATACTATAAATTCTTGCCTTCGTTAGTAAATATTTTTTGAACACAAATATTTATTAGCTAAGTCACCTTAGGTTAAACTATAAAAATAAGCAAAAGTTTTATTCTCTGGCAAATTACTTACATCTTTAAAGTTTTCAGGATCAATTTCCTTTTCAATCATGGGAAGAACAGTTCCAAGTCTTCTCTCAAAAGAGACTCCTTCACTTTCCACAAACAAGCCACAGATGAGGGCAGCCAGCTGTCTATTTAAGCTCTACCAAAAATAAACCACCAGAAGACAATGTTAATACAACTTGAGAGGCCATTTACAGAAAGTACAAAATGAAGGTGGGCATGACTCTGTCCTCAATATTATGGGTCACTGGTGGCTAACATGAAAAATATGGAGAAATACTCATACCCAAGATTATAATTTAAAAAAATGGAACTCACCATTATCCATAATTAATACATTCCCTCCCCCAAAAAATCATTCTGAGTACCAAGTAATGTACAGAATTGTTGAATCATGATACCTGAACTAATATAACATTGTATGTCAATTATACCTCAATAATAAAATTTTAATTAAAAAAATGGAAATAAATTTCATACAGTACCCCCACTCCCATTCTAAATTTATTACTTATATATAATATATATAAATATTATATATATAAATATATAATATATATATATAAAAAAAATATACTTTATATTATTCATTAATAGAATGATACTTCATTACCTGAATAAGCAAAACTGAAAACAAAGATATTCATGATCCACTCATGTAGCCGTGTAATTGGCTGACGATCATGGACTGTATCATGAGATTTTTGTTACTCTCTATAGCTTATATGTCCTGGAATTTTACTATAAGAATATATATATATTTTTTTTAATTAAGTTTTTTATTTTAATTCCAGTACAGTTTTAACACACAGTGTTTTTAGTTTTAAGTGTACAATACAGAGTTGATTCATCAATTCTATATATTACTCAGTGCTCATCTAAGTGTACTCTTTACTCTCCACCTATTTCACCTATTCCCCCGATCCAGCAAGAATATATTAACATAATCAACTAAAAATAAAATTGTTTGGGAAAAATTCAACAATGTATAATATGTATTCTTAAAGTGAACACCAAAAGCTAAGACTTTTCATTGAAATATGACTAAAAGCAACCTTTACCTTTTTTGCTCCAAACCAGGTGATAACCATATCAAAGAGCCAGTCTTTTTTCTCAAGGTTGATTTTCCTGAGTAAAGATTTGATTGTCATGGATGCCATCTTTTTGCACATGGCAGAGTCATCGTTCACCACCATTAGACAAAGAGGAATAAAGAACATTCCACAGTTCTCATGGAGCAGCCCCTAAAAGAAAGCAAAAGCAGGCAGTTACGAGCACACTCAGACTGGAATTCTCAGAGATGCCCAAATGGGAGGGCTGCAGACACCCAGGGCTCATGGGGAACACAGCTACCGTTTGTGATTCAAGGTACCTGAGGGAATGTGTCAAAGAGGTAGGAGATCATTTCCAAAGTAGACTCTCTCCCGGTCTCATGTTCATAACTAGGGCAAGAACATGAGACAGACTTGTTAGTATCTTAAATTTACCAGTAATTCTTGAAAAACTTTTAAACATTGTTTCAGGGCATCCATCTATTTCATAAAAAGTGGAAAAAACTCCCATTTTCCCAATTTTAATGCTTTTATATATATCATGCTACTACGAAGCTTTGAATGTAAATGTTAGATTTTTTTTTTTTACCATTCTCTTTAAGTAGACTCTAATGAAAATCAGTGCTCAGACTGAATTTGAAAAGCAACCTACAGAATTGTCATATGAAGTCATGCATATCATTGGACAATCAAGTCAATGACGCACATGGTAATACCCTTAGAGACGGTGCCATTATGTTTAGGATTGATTTGTCACTTTCAAATGGCTGCCACATTAAAATGAGAGAGGTTACTAACCCTTTGCCTGGGTGTAGTTTATGGCTTAAACTTACTTCAGTTGAGCAAGCATGAATTCCAAGTTTGGTCTCAATTTGTCACCCAGGGGATAGTCAAGAATGTATTTCAGAAAAACCTAGAAACAGAAGTCACACAGATGATTACTTGGCTCCTGTCTGTCCCCAGGATTCCTGCTTCCTAACCTGCTTTGAGACACACTTCCCTAGAAGCTTGCCTTCTGAGTCAACTGTGCACTTCTCCTTTCTCCTCTGACCTCACTTACTCAGGTCCTGCCCCGCATGCCTGCTTAAGACTAAATGCTGGCCTACCACTGGCATGGTTGTTTTGGGCTCCAAAGCTTAGCTCACATGTAGGAAACACCTCTCTCCCATAGGGTATCGTGTGGTGGACTCAGTGTGGACTACAGTTTAACCCTGCATTTCCCCTTGAATGACAATGGGGGTAAAGTTAATACTGAGAATAGTAACTATTTCATTAATTAAATATCTTCTATATGCCAAGCACTGTGCTAAGTGTTTCTCAGTTAATGGTCATCACTCCACTGGAAGACAGGGGATATTAACCCCATTTTACAGACCAAGAGAACGATGCTGGCGCAGAGAGGTAAGTAACTCGCTCAGGTGACAATGCCAGAATTCCATGCCTAGTCCAAAGTCTCTGCTTTCAAGCCATCATACTAGTCAGCCTCGTCTATTAATAAACTGCAAGAACTGAGGCACATCATGAAACTTTAAGGCCTGTTTCTTCCCAGCCATAAAATTGGGATACCATTTCTTCGGAAGGTAACTACAAACAGAAGTCATGTATATAAAGTGCTGGACACACAGCTAGTGCTTAATAAGTGCTAGCTGGCCCTCACTCTTCCTAACAATACTCAAGGAGACTTTCTCTAGAGACATGCTCCTCCCTTTCCAACGTGGCTTCCTTGGGAGCCCACACCTTCCTTCAATCCCAAGTTCACATTTCCCATTCAGACCTTTCCACCTCCTGGGTGTGATGTGCACTCATATAATCATAGGTGAACAAATGTAAAAATACACATCTGCTCATGTCACTCTCCTCCCTTGATTTTAGGGATTGCTATCAGAATAAAGCCCCAAAATCTTTAACAAGACCATAAGGGCTCCCTTCTCCACCTTCATTTAGCTCCTCCAATAAGTGAGACCCTGATTGATCTCAAGTTTTATCCTTCTCAGGCATTGGCTACTCCCTTCCCCTAGAGAGCTAAGCCTTAATCTTCCTTACAGGCCAGTCCTCAGGAAAGCCCTCCCCAATTCTAACACTAAGGTGGTCCTCAACCATCATATGTGCTCCCATATTTTCTCAATTCTGAGTACGGTTTTTCACATTTTAATATATGTGAAATTAGAAAATGTCTTAAACTGATGGCATCTTACCACTATGTCATAGATTTTTTTTCTTTCTCTATCTAAATAATGGTGTGTCTTGTAAAAGATGAAATATGACAGCGCTTTCCGCCTCCGGGCACTTAGGATGTCTGTAATTTTAACTGTGGACTTTTTGCTTTGTGCTTGTCTCTTGTAAAAATTTCACTGATAGAGACTATAGAAATCTTTTTGACTGCTTTTCCAGCAGCACCTGGCACACAGTTATATGCACAATTAGTTGGTTACTGGACCCACAGATGGAAAACCTTTGGTGCAGGCTACTGTGCTGCAAAGGGGAAACAAATGTCTTCACCCATTTAAGACATCTCATGTGTGATGGGCTATACTCAAAATGCTCTTTGTTAACTGAAAATGCCCTGAGGACAAAGCAGAGTTGCTGCTTACACTGGGTAAGTAAATGGGTTCCTGAGTCTCAGAATAAAGCAACAGTGTGACATAAAATCATCTGCAGAATTCAGGCAGTGTTGATATGTCTCTTTCTAAAAACCAGAGAAGACAGGTCCCAGCCCTTCCTATGGGAATAAGGTCTCTCCACTAACCTGTCTGCACTGGACTCTGACAGGTTCACTTTGTGCAGAAATTGCCAACTTGGATACTTTCCGAATGACATCATCGATTTCCGGGACCAATAACTTTCTGGATAAAATGGCCTAAAATACAAAAGGAAAAGACATCTCATTTCCTGTTCTACTGCAGATGGGTGTAAGCCAGCCTGATGTTAAGGCAGTCATAGGCAGCTTCAAAAATAATGAAAGTAATCTCCGAAAGAAAAATAACATATCCTTAAAAATATTTAAGATCATTGAATTTTAGGTTTTATATATATTTTACAATAAAAAAGGGAAAAAAAACTTCAATGTCCAATACAATAACTACAAACATGAAATATTTTTTAACCTCTATTTATTTTCCTATATTTTTGTATAAGTCTCTGAAAGTGTTAATAGAGAGTTCATGTTCAGTTTAATAATCAGATATACTAGCTTATAATTAAAATCCACCAAAATCATAACAATGTTTATAAGTTAAGTTTGGGAATCTAAAGCTAGTCAAAACACTGTGTCCCACATTATTCTAAGTATCTACCCTGAGACTCATAAACATTCTGCTGACACCATACCTTCAGAAGACCAAATGCAGTGGCCTGCCTTGAAGAATCATAAATGTCTTCCTCAGCATATGCTAGTAGAACTTGAAGCTGCTTTTCGGTTATCTGGTAAGATTTCACTTTCTTGACAAGTATGGTCACACACTGCAAATTATAATAGTGAGGTTAATAGCCAGGACATCCTACAAATGAAGATCCATTGAAATGGTATGGACTTAATACAACATCAGTGTTTTGTTTTGTTTTGTTTGTTTTTTACACAGGATAACAACCTTCTGCCCTTAGCAAATTAATCTGGAAAAAATTTTGACTTAAGACCACAAAGGACAATGGGGACAACTATGACTCTGATGGTAATTCTCGTCCTGGCTATTTTATGCACAATTGAAAATGCCTCACCTTGAAACAATTTACTACCAGGTGGAAGTTCTGGCCCCTGGCAGCTCCCAGTTTTGCATAGTCCTTCAGCAACAGGAAAAGGTGTTTGGTCAGCTGTTCTGCTTTTGTTTCTATGGAAGGCAGAGGGAACCTCATGACCCAGATCAGGCATTGTAAAGCACCTGTGATCACCTGAAAAACAAAAATAAAACCAATCAACTTATGTAGTGACCAAACCCAATAACCCAACACCCGAACCCAAGGCTGTGTAGACTCTAAAAGTGATCAAGTTGAAAGAGTAAAATACTTTGCCCAACCCAGGCTGGAAGAACTGTACCAAAAGTGTAAGAGGATAGGGAGGTTTTCTAGTCTCTGTGATAGAACTTACTGCTTCTCCATAGCAAGGAAAGATATATTGCAAGCAAATAAGAAAAAGTGGTCACTGTATTCTTAACCTGTAGGAGTAAATGACTGGCTGGGTTGGCCAATTTTATCAACTTTGTTTTGTGTGTGGAAAATACATTATAAAGGACTTTTCTTTTTCTAGAATGGCACTGTAACCACTCTAAACATATGCATGTAAGACATTCTAAGTATTAAAAATATAAAGATAGAATCTCATCTCCCTATTTTTTTTTAATTTTTAAAATTTTATTAAGTAGGCTCCACACCCAATGTGGAACTTGAAACCAAGACCTGGAGATCAAGAGTTGCATGCTCTACCAATGGAAGACAGGTGCCCCATACCATTCCACTATTTAAGGAGCAGAGAGCTGGCTCTGAAATCAAGCAGAGGAATAATACACTGCGGAATTCCAAATAGCTAAGTGCTGTGCAAAAAATATGAAATACATATGCTGGGACCTTAGAGATTGCTGAGATCAGCTAGTTCACCTAGTTTAGCTCTACCTAACAGACTCATGCTGCTCTGGTGGCTGTAACGGTCTTGGGCTGAATCAGATGAAAACACAGAGGAAAGGCTTTAGGAGCCACAAAGGCCAGGGCTCATATCCCAGCTCTGCAGTTTCTTCCCTATTTGACTACAGAGATGTTACTTAACCTCCTGGCATCTTCACTGTAAGACAGGCAATCAGGAAATGGGAGTTGTGCAGGCTCTGGAGTCTGACAGGCTGAGGCTCATGTACCAGATCTGTCATCTGGGCCAAGTCACTTAGCCTAAAGCCTAGTTTTCACGTTGAAAAAACAGAAGCCTTCATAATATGTGCCTCGTGGGTCGTTACAAGGTTCACAGTTGGGGCGGGTAGCAGCATCAAGGATGATAAAAAGGATTAGTGCTGACAGGGGGACCCCACTACTCACCTTCATAACACTACCGTGAGGATTAAATGGAGTAACCAATGTACATTCCAGGGCTGGTAAAACTGTTAAAGACTATCCAAATATATTGGATTATTACAATGGGAAGCAATGTAATGCAGGGAACAGAAGCAGTTTATAATCTCTAAAAACTGAATCATCTTGTGAAGCACAAGCCTAGAAGTTCTGGAGATTTTGCACAACATAGCTCTTGTCAAAGAACAGAAGCTCACCTTCACATCCACGGAGACAAGGCAGTCTATGAGGAGAGAGACAAAAGGATCCAACATTTCCAGAACAGGTTCACTTGAAGACTTGATCTTGGAAGTCTTCAGACTCAGATGCAGAAGCTAAAAGATTCAAAACAATATTTTATGCCAGGAGACCAAATGGAGTTGGGTACAAGTGAAATGATTTGAAGAGACCCACGTAACATGTTAAGATGCTTCTGTATGAAGTGACAAAAATTTTGAAGGTATTGGGAAAGGACCTGGGAGACTGTCAGTAAATGAAGAAAGAGGGAGCTCACAGTGGAGCTGAGATGCCAAGTTCATTTACCAAGTGATTCCTCAGCATTTACTTAGGCACTGGCTCCGAAATATAGGACACAGCAGTGATCAAGATGAGCAGGGCCCCTGCTGATGGAACTCAGCCAGGAAGACAGACTAGCCAATTGTTAGCTGTAAAGGCAGTGAGCTTGGGGACCTGTGGAATCCAGGTGGAGGGAGGAGCAGGTGGTAAGGTCTCAGAGTGGGAGGAGATGGGGACCACAGAACTGAAAGGAAGCCAGTGTGGCAGGGATGGGTGTTGCAGTGGTATGACAGGAGGCTACGCCCTTACAGACCAGATGAAGGTCTGGGTTCTCAGGAAAAATGGGAGCCAGTGAAGGGTTTTAAAGGAAAGAAATAATCAAATTTGTGTTTTTAGAAGCTCACATCTTTTAAAAAAAAAAAAAATTAAAATAAATTTAGAGAAGTCCATGAGCAAAACAATAGTGAACCCATAAATGTTAGGTCAGAATCATTAATTCTGAGACAGGTGGAGCATCAAAGGAAGTATTAGAAAGAAGAAATGGTAAATGGATCGACGCACCTTTTTTTAAAAAAAAAATCCTATGATTTATTTATAGTAAGGCAATTAGAATGGAAATGAACGGGACTGGAAATTTAGCAGAGGATTAAAAGGCACTCCCCCGTGGGCAGCAAATTGCACCTTAGGGTTAATTCTTACCCGAAGCCCAGACTCAATAAATATGTGCATGTTGGTTTTCCTGCTCACAACAGCTTTCTGCCCACCTCGAGCTGGAGTTGGGGGCAGCAGAAGACAGCTCTGGGGTGGAAGGCGTGGGTCCGCTGTAGGGGCTGCTGGGTTTCTGTCAACCACAAAGGAAAGATAGGGAGAGGAATCCTGTAGCTGCGTTCCAACAAGTCCCCACTGCCCTGTCTGCTGACTGTAGCCCAGCACTAAGTAACGTGCTGTGCACTGTGGGCTTTTTCTCTCCTTTAACCATGAAACACAGAGATTATCAGGTTGTTCATCAAGGGCGTAGAACAACTCCAGAAAAAGATCATACTGATGAGCATGCATTTAAATTAAGATGAACAGTTAGGAGATACTTCCTTTGGTTTTTGAAAACATAAGCCAACCCAGAAGCAAAATCCAAAGGAGGGTATTTTAAAAACTTTTGAAGGTCTAAATATCTGTTTAATCAGAGCAAAAGGTGTATATTTAAAATCTATCCTAACTTTGATTCAATAAATAAAACAAAAAAGTCTCAAGATGAAATTTATCACTTAGAAGGACTTTAGCCCAAACACCACAAAGCAGCACCATCTTATAACTCAGATATGCAACTAAGGTGAATACTAAATTCATCCACTTACGAGTAAATAAGAACTGAATGGCTTATCAGAAGCAAGTACTTAAGGATAACTTTTTTTTCTTTCAAACTTACTTTTCTTTCTCTGTTAACAGGGGGAGATTTTCACTGACCAAACCATAACTGAGCAACAGGATGGATTCTGCTGTCATTTCTTGATTCACAATTAATCCTGCGATGATTCGGCGCAAGGTTTCATGAACCTTCCGGGCCAGTTTTAAACTTGTGGTATTTTGTAAGACCTAAAGGCAAACATAAAAATCAGGCTGAGGTGATACAGAACTGCATTTTCATTTGTTGTAATGGTAGTTTTTAAAACAGACATTTGCTTTTTAATATTTTTTCCTAATTAAAAAAGAAACATTCTTAATAAAAAATTTCGAACAGAGCATACAAAGTATTAATCTACATGTAACATCAATCCCAGAGACAACCACTGTCTACAGCCTGGGGATGTCTTGCACTCCCTCCTGTGCTCTCTGCTGGAGACACCGGAGGACCTAGGGCTGGAGATCTGATGTGACACTTGGAAGATGTCACTCTCCTCATGCATCACAGGCAAACACACACACATATATGACGACAGGATTCAGTCACTACTCCTCTGAAACCATGCTAATAAAGTGCTGAAATGGCCATGCCTCAGGGTTGGATATTAGTAATTGGGCCAAATCAGAGGAACTCAATGGGAATCTAGGACCATCAACCCCAAAAGAAACCTCAGCACTTTATTTGCTTCCCAAAGGACACAGTATTACTTACTTTCATTACCTTGGAGGGATTTGATAATATACACAGAAGATTCATATGCTCTGTTGACTCTTTTTCATCCTCAAAACATAGCTAACATTCTTAGGTTTAGTAAGATTAATGCATTCTAGGAACAATTATGGAGTTAATCTCACACCAAAACATTTGGAATTATGGCTAATTTATGTCATTAAATAGTGCTAGTTTTAGTACATAAAATTGTAATAAAAGGAATTAATAACATTTATTGAATGACCACCCCTGCATTAGGCAGAGAACATTATGAAGGTAAGTAAACTATAGTCCCCACCCAATAGGAGGCAGAATGAAAACAGTGCAGAGCTTTGGAACAGAAAGATCTACGACTAAATCCTTACCTTCCTACTTATCCACGAATCTTCTATCTTTCTGAACCTGTATTTTCTTATCTGTTAGTTAGATGGATATACTACTTATCACAGAGTGGTTGTGTGGATTAGAAGTGATAATGAAACACAGTGCTCAGAACATAATACATGTTCAACCAATGTCAAGAGGGAGAAGATCTGGCATTGACAGTAACCTGGGAGTAGCAATCTGACTCCACCAAAAGCTGTGTTCTAGCTGCTGACTTGACCCAGCTATAAAATTCACCTGGATTTCAATTTTTTTTTTTTGTTTGTTTCTGCATCACATGGTTTACATCCAGAACTCTGGTTCATGGTTTAGAATGCCCAACTAAGACAGCCAGCTAGTGGCTATGTGGTACAGGTGCCCTTAGCACCAGAAAAGATCCTGGTTGTCAAGTGCAGCATTAAGGTTTATCCTGCATGGCTCTTTTTAAGAACTCATGATAGTGTAACATGAAGATCACCTGCACTGCACTTAAGTCCTTACCTCTTTTAATGGAAGGATAAGTTTTGTAACCTGATCTTTCCCTACAAACTTGCCCAGGATTTCATAAGAATCATAACTCTTGCTTCTTCGTGCCTCCATGACTTTGGAGAGGATCTGCTTCACTTCCTTCTCTTCAGCGATGGCACCAAACAACTCATGGTTAAAAATCTTTGAGAGAAAAAAGCCAAATGGCAATTGTCTGCAATTAGCAAGGTATGTCAACAGAAGTAGTCTCTGATACATCCAGATCAGGGGAAAGAAGTTGACAGGACTGAAATCAGATGGTGGAGTTCTATTAGATTACACTTTTTCAAGGTATTTCAGGGACCAATTACTGAAAGACAACCAAATACAGAAACGCCTAAAGGTTTGTACTAAGGGGAAACAAAACAAGAATACTACACAGATTTACATATATAATCCTATAATATACAGACACTTTTTCTTTGATATTACCAAAGAGTAGCTTAATTTCTCTTTAAAAAACTCATATGATATTTGCAACTTAATTATCACAACTGATGTTTAATTTAAAATGTTTAAGTGTCTACATTTTTTTTATGAATGAACAAAGGCTGTGTGGCAAATTTAGTTTCTTCTTAATCCTACCTCCCCCCCCAAATGATCATATTATCCAATTTTAAAAGTTAACTGTTAATTGTTTTTCATTATTATAAGTAAAGCTTTATACTTTAATATAAACCCCAGACTAAATATATCTGTGATTCTTTACAACAGATTCTTGGAAGTTGAAATTTTGCTTATTTTAAAGCCCTTAACACACAACATCAACTTTCTTTCTAGAAAGGTTATACTAAAACTCATAACCTACTAGCAATAGCAGAATGCCCATCTCATGTCACTTGAATCAGCTTTTAAACCTCTGCTGATCTAAGAGATGAGACAGTACATTATTTTCATTTCTATAGGCTATAATTATTTCTAAGTTTGTGAACTGATTTTCTGTTCTTTGCCCACTTAGACAGTGAAACTCCCCTTTTCCAAATCTTACCTCAATCATTATATCTAAACAAGAGTCCAAATCCCCAACTTGTAGCTTGTTGGTGAGGCCTTGTAGCAACATGTACACAGTGAAAGTTAGCACATGGACCTAAAATGAAATGTACAGAAAGAGTATGAGTGTTTTTTTTTTTTTAAAGATTTTATTTATTCATTTGAGAGAGAGCGAGAGAAAGAAAGAGTGCGTATGAGTGGGGAGGCGGGGCAGAGGGAGAAGCAGACCCCCCGCCCCGCTGAGCAGGAATCCCGATGCAGGGCTTGGTCCCAGGACCCTGGGATCATGACCTGAGCCGAAGGAGATGCTTAACCAACTGAGCCACCCTGTGTCCCTAAAAAACAGGTTTTTACAATGCTGATTAGAAACTTGTGAATATTCTTGATTGCTATCTTGGTGGATCAACTTTACTGAAGATAGACCCAAATCACCATCACTTACTGCTCAAATTGCAAATACTTGAACTTCAATTCAACTTGAATGACCGTAAGGCACATAATGCAATTTACCTGATATCCACGGACAAGGGTAGTCTGTAATTCTTTTAAAATGTATTGTAGGTAACGCACACCCAGATCTTCTATTATTTTTGCTAGAGTGCTGCGTGCAATATCTCTGATTTCCTGTGCTCTGTTCTTGAGGAGGGCACATACTTTGAGCAAAACACTAGAAAATGAAAAATTGAAAAGCACTAATCAAAAAGCAAGCAAATAAAATTAGAAACATCCTTTTGTCTCTTATTCAGTACCCCAATTTCCCAATTAGGATTCTAAATCACAGCAAATTGTGACAGTACTTCTCTTTCTCACAAGAGTTTCAACAGTCAGAAAGAAAGAAACACTTTTTGAGTTTCACTGAACTTTCCTAATTTGTCACACAATATACCTTGGCAGATTAGCCTCCATAATTTCTTGAGGAAGGGACTGCATCAGTTTAACCATGGCAAAAGCTAAAGGAACTCGAACTACTTCCTCATCATTCACAACCTTAGATTTAATGAGCTTGTGTTCTTCTTCCCTTTTAGTCTGTAAGAAAAATTTAGGTTAAAGTAAAACAAAAATAAATGAATGGGGGACCTACAAACACTTGTGCAACCTTGCAGTTGAAAGATAAACTCTTTTGATACATCTTATGACCATTTCTAAGTTTATCATCTGAAAAAACTAAGTTATGCAATTTGAGAATAACCTTTTAAAATTATAAAAATAGTAGGAATAAGGTTTTTTTTACCCAAAGAAGCAACCAGAAAAAAATAAAGCCATATTTTCACTGACACAGATTAACACTGCTGTGAAATATATAAAAATCCTAAGAGATTTGTATCAATTGGGATTTTTCAAGAGTTTACATGACACTTGTTAGTATATAAGAAATACAGCACCTCAAATAAGTTAATCTACAAATATACAAAATGATCATGTCAATATTTTATACCAGGTGCTGGTAAACTTCTGTAGAGGGTCAGATAGTTAATATTTTTGGCTTTATGGTCTTGGTTGAAGCTATTCAACTTTGCTGTGGTAATGCAAAAGCAGAATTAGACAATATATAAAACAGTAAGTGAAACTGTGTTCCAATAAAACTTTATTTACAACAGGCTGCTGGACAGATCCAGCCAATGGACCACAGTTTGCCAATCCATGTTTTACAACTGAAGGAAAGGCTCTGACTTCATGAGAATCCACTGTTAACCAGGAAGAAGATGAATTTTGAACATTAGAGAAGTGCCCAAGATATTGATAAGGGAAACATACTCTAATTTTTAAAAATTTTCTTTTCTTTGGAAATGAGATTCATCTAATTATCTGCTTTGGAGATAGAGAGCATTTATCTACCACATGAAAATCATAATGAAGGAACACTGATGCTTAGCTGCAACAGGAGAGGAATCCAAACATGATGAGACAAATCAAGGGAGGTAAATTCTTAAAGGTTGAGGTAAAAGAAAATCCAAAAGCTGAAATCAGTTAATGGTTAGGAGCCTCAGTCTGACAGGACCCCACAAACATCCTGGTTCACAAAGACCTCCTGAACCCCAAGCAGAATGATTACCGTAGATACGAGGCATTTGTGGAGTCTGGGTAGGATATCCCCAGTTATCGTTCCTTGGATATTTTTAATTGTTTTCTCCAATTCTTCCTTATTCCGAGGAAGGAAAGAGATAGACTCCATGATACACTCAGGTTCTTTAGCTGATGTCCCTTCACGACTAGCTGGATCAGGGTTTTCTAATTCCTTGTTGTCGTCTGACAAAGTTTTACATTTGTTTTCCTTCTCTTCCTCATCCATTTGCTCTAATTCCATGGTTTCATGCTCTGGCAACTCAATCACTTCTATTGTGTCTGTGTTTAGTAAACAACAAAAGTCACCTTAAATCAAATAAGGGAACAACACAGTTGTGTTACATAGTCTTTCCCACCAATATCTAATAAAAACTATCTAGTTATCAGTATGGGTAGGTAGGCAGGGTAAGTGATGAGGAAACAGCACTAAATGAAAGGGTTATGGTTTTTTGCTTTCTTACAGTTTGGAGCCTAGTGAGGAACAGAGACAGGTAAATCGACAATTATGAGTGTAAGACAGCAAGTACAGGGTTCTTTGGGAACACACCAGGAGACTAGGCCGGAAGGAGAGTCTTAACCAAAAGAAAGCTTCCAGGGACGCCTGGGTGGCTCAGTGGTTGAGCCTTTGGCTCAGGGCATGATCCCAGGGTCCAAAATCGAGTCCCGCCGTCAGTCTCCCTGCAGGGAGCCTGCTTCTCCCTCTGCCTATGTCTCTAACTCTCTGTGTCTCTCATGAATAAATAAGTAAAATTAAAAAAAAAAAAAACCTTCCAAAGTACTGTGGGTGGAGGTTTCCAAAAACAAAAACCTATATTTATGAGCATGAAAAACATAATGACAACCAACAATTCTCATGCAGAAATGTCCCTTACTATATAGGGTTCAGTTTACTAAAGAAAATTAGGCAGTGCAGTACGATGGGGCAAGTCTAGGCTTGGCTCTAACAATCCATGTGACCACAGTCAATTAACCTAAGCCGAGTAGGCTTTGGCTTCTTTATCAGTAAGATGGAGATGGCACCTACCTTGCAAGGCTATTGTGAGGATTAATTGAGATAAAGTTTATAATGCACCCAAAATATGTTTGACAATGCACTGACTTTCAAAAATGGTAGCTTTTAGTCTTTATTTTGTTTACTGGCCATGTAGCTTTAGGAAAGTTACTTTACATTTTTGAACTGTAACTAACAACTAAGGTTCTTATAAGATTCTTATGAGAACAAATGAGATAATATCTATAAAAGGCCCAGGTCATAGTAGGTACTCAATAAATGTTTCAAACTTCAATCATATCTAAGAAGAAAGAGTTAAGCAAATTAAGTATTTTAATTTTTAATGTTTCTGTTTATGCAAAATTGCAAAATGCAGATCCCACTGCCTAAAGATAAACCATTGAGGGGCTTTAGTAAATTAATGGTTTAAAACACAAAATAGTTCCTATAAATTCACCCCAGTCTTTGTTATTAATTAGCGTGGCTCTATAGTAATTTTACTGTGAACCAAAGAATTAGAAAATTTTGAATAGGAAGGAATGCTGGGAGTAGTGCAAACTGAAGGCCAGAATATTTCAATGTCTTTAGCAAAAACAATTAATCTATTCACCCATTTAAGTGTTCATTTTTTTCTTTTAACAGGTTAAGGAAATTTCTAATTATTCCTTATTTGATATCATGGATACTGAATTTAATCAAATGTTTCCCTTTTGTCTCTTCAGATGACCACATTTTTGAATGCGTTCAATTCCACTAACCAGTTATAACAACTTCGTGAGTTTGTGGAGGCTTCCTCTATCAATCATCTCAAATAGCAGGCATAACATTGAAATTATCCATTCCTTAAATATTTATAGAATTTGCCTATAAAACTGTGAACCTGGTATGTTCATCAGGAGAAGTCTTTTAATTATAGAGTCAATTTCTTTAGTGGTTAGAGAAAGATACACCCAGATTTTCTATTTCCTCTAAAGCCAACTTTTATATTTTATTTTTCTAAGAATTTGTATGTCTAACTCAAGTTTTCAAATTTGTAAGTACTGGGACACCTGGGTGGCTCAGCAGTTGGGCACCTGCCTTCGGCCCAGGGCGCAATCCTGGGGTCCCAGAATCGAGTCCCACATCTGGCTCCCTGCATGGAGCCTGCTTCTCTCTCTCCCTGTGTCTCTGCCTCTCTCTCTCTGTCTCTCATGAATACATAAATAAAATCTTAAAAAAAAAAAAATTTAAGTACAAAGATCATAACACTATTTTACCTTTCATTTAATTGTGACCTTTTAAAATTTCTAATGTTGTTTATTGTGCCTTCTATTTTCACTGACCAATCTTGACAGAGCTTTGCCAACTTATAATCTTTCAAATATCTATTTTTAGATCTGATGATCCTTTCTTATTGTATCTACTTTATATTTCATTAACTGTTGCTGCAATTTTTAATTCTTTTAAATTTTGCATTCATTGCTTAATGTGCTTTCCATACATGCAGGTGTAAAACTGGATTTCTACATAAGTAATCTACAGCTCAGATTTTTTGGACCAGCCTTTTCTACTGCTAAATAAGTTTTTACACAAATTTTCAAACCCTCTGCTTTAACTTTCCCCTGACTCATTCACTGGTCACTGCTTATAGGAGCAGAAAAAGATGGTAACCTCAATTCTGTCATCTTTAATTCATTATCATCAATTATCCAAAAATAGAATGGAAATTTAGTTTAAGAAAGTTTTAAAAACTTACTTTCCTCATTCTGAGTTTTTCTCATATGTTCTTCAAGAGTTCTGTGGTCAAAGTGGAATGCTTCTAACACAATTACTAGCAAACTGTTAAAAAAAAAGGTACAAAGAAATGTTTGATTCACAATATCATTTGACGATTACAAGGAAACATTTAAAGACTTAAAGACATTAAAATTATTTTTATCAGCTTTAGTTATTTTTGACTTTAACAAACATTAGCATAACTTCATTAATAGAAGGTAAAAGTAAACTGAGATTAAAGAGACTGCTTCAGGAAATAATCCAAAATTGATTATTTTCTTTTTCTTTTTTAAAGACTTTATTTTTTTATTTGATAGAGAAAGCAGGCACACACAAGCAGGGGGGAAGCAGGCAGAGGGAAAGGAGAGCCTGCCAAGCAGAGAGCCTGATGCAGGGCTTGATCCCAGGACTCTAGGATCATGATCTTTGCCAAAGGCAGACGCTTAACTGATGGAGCCACTCAGGTGCCCCCAAAGTTGACATTTTAAAAATAAAACAAAAATAAGAAGTTTGACCATACATACCTGACACCCAACTTTTGATTGATCTGTCCTGTCTGTAAAACATGAATGAAATGTTTCAAGTAATATACATATGCTGACCAAGAGAGATGTCTGCAAATAGCTCCAATAACTTCTGTGGCAGCAATGGTTATATTTTCATGCTGTAAAACAAATCCAGAGCATCAATACAAAATAAACATTTGCTAACAAAATATAGGGCTAATTTCATACAGTTAAAAGCTTAGACAGTAGGTGATCAGCAATTATAGCAGAGTGCCCTAACTATACTCCATTTCCCCTCCTAGCTGTAGGAAAAGATGCTGTCAATTAAAGGAGTGACACTGTACTTTAATATGCTTAAGCCTACAGGCTGTGTATGAAATTAAATTCATGTGTAAAAAGTTGACAAATGCTAAAGTTAACTTTAATGCATAGCTCAGCATTCAAGAGTACACTGCCTTGGAGACAGCTCTTTCATACCATCATAGAGAATAGGGACTGGATTTATCCTCATACCTTAAACCAGAAAAGTAGACAAAAATATATGAAACAGCAGTTTTCAGATTTTGGACATCAAGCAGTACAGTTCAGTGTTCCCTGAGAGAAAGGCAAATGAAGTGTGTCTTATAATTGCCCTAATTCACTGTGTGAAAAGAACTGTCAGGTTCTTTTCATAGGAGGAGAAACACACAAAGGGCTCAGTGGTCTCCCTGATGTATGGAGGCAGAGTTGAGGATGTGGCCAAGTAGTGTCCAAAGGGCAGAGCATCAGAGAGGAGAGAGCTACACAGAGAGGAAAGCTGCACAGGCATACCAAGAAGCAGCAAAATACCTCTCACAAGAAGAAAAACCAACTAGTTGAAACAGATCCCCAAATGACACAGATGACAGACCTATAGTAGACAAAGGCAGTAAGACAAATGATGAAATTACATTCTATAAGATCAAGAAGGGAGAGGAAAGCAAGAACATATTAAGTAGAGAGAGATAAAAAAAAAAAAAAGGCCCAAACTTAATGTCTAGAAATGAAAAAGACAGTTCTGGGAGGGAAGACACACTGGATGGGATTAAAAACAAATTAGAATCTGCAGAAGAGGGATCCCTGGGTGGTGCAGCGGTTTAGCCCCTGCCTTTGGCCCAGGGCGCGATCCTGGAGACCTGGGATTGAATCCCACGTTGGGCTCCCGGTGCATGGAGCCTACTTCTGTCTCTGTCTCTGTCTCTCTCTTTCTCTGTGACTATCATAAATAAATAAAAATAAAAAAAGAATCTGCAGAAGAAAAGATTAGTGAACTTGGAGATATAGTGATACAGAAATGAAACAAAATGAAGCCCAGAAAACTAATGGAAAAAAAAAAAAAAGAGCCTCAGTGTATTTAGAACAAGTCTGAATGGCCTAATATATTCTGGGGTCTCCAAAGGCAAGAAGGGGACCCAAAAGTATCTTTGTAGAAATAATATCCAAAATTTATGTTTGAAAAACACTACAACTCCGTAGATCCAAGAAGCTCAACAAACCCCAAGCACAAGAAATAAGGAAACTACACTAAGGCACACTGTAATCAAATGATTTAAAACTATTGTTAAAGAGAACATTTTCAAGGCAGACAGAAACAAAAAAAAAAAAAAAAAGATACACTCAGAGGAACAAAGACAGGAATGACTTCTTGTTGGAAATTATATAAACCAGAAGGTAGTAGAGCAATTATCTTTAAAAAACAGAAAGAAAAAAAAACTTGTCAATCTAGAATTCCATACCTAGAAACAGTCTGTAAAAGCAAAAATGAGAAAAAATAAATAAAAACTGAAAGAATTCATCAACAATAGACCTGTGCTACAAAAAAATTTAAAGGAAGTCTTCCTGTAAGAGTAAAATGATACAGGATTATGTCTGGATCTACCCAAAGGAATGACTGGAAAATTGTAAATAATTGGAAGAGACCAGAATTTATAAATATGTAAGCAGATATAAAAGATCTTTCCTTATTTTGAAAATCTCTTTAAAAGATAATTGACTGTTTAAAGCAAAAATACTAACAATGTATGGTATGGTTTAAAACTGATACAGAGGTAAAATCTACAAAAAAACAGCTCAATGATAACTAATAAGCCAAGAGAGATAAAATAAAATCATTTTAAAAAACCAACTAATCCAAGGGAAAAAAAAAAGAAAAGAGACAAGTGGAAAATAAAATCAACAATTTAAACCCAACCATATTAATAATATTAAATGTAAATGGCTGGGGATCCCTGGGTGGCTCAGCAGTTTAGCGCCTGCCTTTGGCCCAGGGCACGATCCTGGAGTCCCGGGATCGAGTCCCACGTCGGGCTCCGGGCATGGAGCCTGCTTCTCCCTCTGCCTGTGTCTCTGCCTCTCTCTCTCTCTATGTCTATCATAAATAAATAAATAAATCTTTAAATAAATAAACAAACAAATAAATAAATAAATAAATGAATGAATGAATGAATGTAAATGGCCTAAGACCAATGAGAAGGCAGAGATTGTCAGATTCAATAAAACCAAGACCCAGTTATACACTATATACTAGAAACCAACTGTAAATATAAAGTGATAAATGTTAAAAAATAAAACACTAAAAAGATACATCATGTTAACATCAATCAAAATAAATATAATTTATGTTTTGCATCTACACCTTTTCCTATTTTGCTGCCATCAAAGTATAAGTTGGTTGTGCTTACTGACTTTAAACTGGAATTTAGAGGAGTACTTTTTTATTTAGGTAATTCTTTAAAAATTTTTGAAACAAGAGGAAATCTAACTTTGCACAACACCATGTGATCAACACAGTGTAAATTCAAGTCACAAATCCTGATATCACCTCAAATACACTTAAATTTCTGGGTACTGCTTTTCATTAACCTAATCAATAAATATCTATCAAGGCCTTACAACATGCCAGGTAGTTTTTGGTACTATGTAGTAAAATAGTGAAGACAGTCCTTAATTCAAATACTGATTCTCATTCTGTACATCTTTGAGAAAGTTAAATATCTCACTTATTCCCAGTTTACTTTCCTATAAAAGAGTAACAAGAATCCCCACAGGGTTAAGCTGTGGTGAGGATGAAGTAGGATTATTCCTTTAACTGGTATAGTGCTAAAGAAAAGGTAGCTATTGTTTAATTCATTTCTTATGAGTCATTTGGAAAAATAATGATTGTTAATGCTGATTAATGGCATTTACCATAATTAAGTCTTATGATACAAAAATAAAAGTATGCTATGTTGTAATGGGATCATTTATTTCTAAGAGGGGAAATATTTTGTGGTTGGCCTTTCTGAGCTAATAATAGTTAAAATAAAAATTATAGCTACCATTTATAGAGCATTTACAATGTGCCAAGTACCATTCTGAGGGCTTCAGAAATATTTTAAATCTCTAATTATGGTGACAACATCAATATGGATGCTACCAACTCCATATGCATTTTGGAAAAGTGTGTCCTGGTATGGGTAGAGGTTTAATGGTTTCTAGATCTCATGTCCTACCTTGAGCATTTTCTCATCAAAAATTGGAGTCATGGCATAAGGCATGATGTAATTCTGAAGAGTTTTAGAAGATAGTACAACTTTGCCTTCCATTAGTTGTTTTGCCAATTTCTTCAAGGCTCTTGCTCTTCTGTGAATCTGTGAGTTAAATAAAGTAAGAATTAGTTACTGAACACACTTACCTACAACTAGCTCCATTTCAGCATGTTCCTTTTCCATGAAAAGATTAAAGGAATGAAATACAGGACATGTGTTATGTAAGCCTGTAACACCTGTGCCTTGATTTGCTTCCAGAGATAGAATCCATGGCATTTACTTAACGATAGAGCCTAAAGTATTTATACATATCTTAGAAAATGGCAGAGAAATATGACGCTATTGTTTTGGTTTGTAAACCAAAAAAGAAAACAGACCCCAAGAAAATGATCATTTTCTGCGCTAATTTGACTGACAATCGAAGACCAAGGAATGAGAAGCTCAAAACTTTTTGGAAAATTGTATCTTTTTAAATGAGCAGAACAGTTTGAAATTCTTATTTTATACACAGGAAAAAAACAACACAGAACTGTCTTCTACCTGAATGTGTTTCATATTCTCAAAGAAGTCCATTTCTGGATCATGGCAATCAGTAAGCTGCACCAAGTCTTTAAATTCTGGTTGATATGGAAAGGTTTGAATTAAACAGGAAAGCACTGTGGTATAATCCTGTTGAATATTCTGCAAATGCCAAGTTGAGAAAAAAATTTTTTAAGAATTTGTTATCTAGGTAATACTAAGAAACACAGGAAAAAAAGCTACTATAATTTTTTTGTACATTTTTTTTTTTAAGTAAAACATTCCCACTGTAAACACAGAGGAGGTCACTCTCCTTCCTATTCCCACTCTCAAGAGTTTGAAAGTATTGATGCAATGAAGTATTTTAATTAAACGTACTAACCCTGACTGCTTTTCAACAACAGCATAAGTAGGGAAAATTAAAAACAAAACCAAAACCCATAACAGTAGTATGTAAGAGACAAAGATACAACTGCAAACCCAAATACCTCTATCTGGTTCTTTAATCCTTTCCTTAACTTCTCCAAGAGTGAACAATGAATGATTTCCCTGTATTCTTTCTCTGTGACATTCAAGGCAGCTAGCTTTTTGATGATACTCATTAGGCACATGCTGGCATTATCACTTAAAGACATGTCTCCTAACTGAAAACAGGAAAAAAAAAAACCCAAATTATTCTGTGTAATAACTATAATATGGCATATTACTTTCCAATGGAAGAGTTTACAAAATGTTGCCTCTCTTCTATGCAAACTCCCTCCTAAGAAATGTCCCCCAAGTACATCATACCTAAGGAAGAACCCGATGTAGGGCTAAGCAGGCATACCTCAGAGATACTATGAGTTCGGTTCCAGGCCACCACAGCAAAGTGAAAATCACAATAAAGTGGGTGAAATGAATATTTTGGTTTCCCAGTGCATATAAAAGTTATGTTTACACTATACTGTAGTCTATTAAGTGTGAAATAGCATTATGTTTAAAAACACAAGGTACATACCTTAATTAAAAAATACTTATCATGATCTGTGATTTCAGTATGTAATAATCACTGATCACAGATCACCATGACAAATATAATAATAATGAAAAAGTTTGAAATAACTTGAGAATTGCCAAAATATGACACAGAGATATAAAATAAGCAAATGCTGTTGGGAAAATGGCACTGATAAGACTTGTTCAAAGCAGGCTTGCCACAAACCTTCAATTTGTAAAAAACAAAAACAAAAAACCCCCAACAGTATCTGCAAAGTGTGATAAAATGAGGTATGCCTATAGTAAATAACTTTGAAAAATCATGCTTACTGAAAAATAAAACTGATTTGGAAAATATGATGAAATAGACTTTTCAATTAGTTTTATTTCTCAAAGCAAAAAGAACAAAAGCACTAAGCCAGTTTTCAATATTCAATATCACATGATCACTGAAAATAACAAAGTTGGCTGATATAATTCTGGTTAGTTGTGTTCCAGTTCCTGGTTTGAGCAACGTAGGTAGTGAACGTGGAAAAAGTATTGCCAGCTCAGCCAACCAGGCAGTGATGTGGAATTCTCTGTGCTGGAATTTGACATGAAATATGAAGAATTAGCCCCAGATGGGGAGATTACTTTTTCATATATTACATAATTACATAATATCAGAGAGTAACTATAAAATGCCACCAAGAGATTACGGATACCCTTACATAGTTAACAATAAACCAAGGGTTTTATTTTCCCCAGTTTTAGGTTTTAATTGAGTGACAAAAACATAGTACTTAATATCGTCCAAACCCTTTATATTTATCAATAAAAGAGGGCCATTGTCAAATAATATAGAAATGAAACTTCAAAAAACTGATATAATTGAAATACTATAAAACTCATCCTTTTAAAGTGTACAATTCAGTGCTTTTTTAGTATATTCACAAGGCTATGTAACCATCACTGCTATCTAACTTCAGAACATTTTCATCAGCCTCAAAACAAAACCCTGTACCAATCAGAGGTCCTCCCTCCCCAAGCAGCCCTTGGTAACTACTAACTTACTTTCTATCTCTATCAATTTCCCTATTTTTCTTTTTAAATTTCCTGATTTTACTACACAGCTTTCAGATTTTTCATGGTGCTTCCACATGCATTATTTTATTCGAGATATTCGTCTTTTAAATCATGAGAATGTAAAATCAATCAATCAATCAATCAATCATGAGAATGTTATTCTCATATGGTCTTCACCAAACAAAATAGCCTGCAACTAAAAGAAATTTTAGTTATACTATATATATGTTGGCAAATTGAAATTTTTTTTTTTTTTGGTAAATTGAATTTAAATTAAAAAAAAAAAATTTTACACAAAAACTCTTGTCTTGCTCAAAACACAAATTAAGAAATCAGGTCACATAGTTGTGTTATCAAAACAACGAGAAAGAATTCATAAATTTTTTTGCTATAAAAACCTACCTCCATATTATAGAAACAATTATGCATAACTGGAATTAGGTAGTTAACATCCACAGTTTGCATCTCTTTAATGTAAGAGGCGATCGTCTGGAATGTTGAGAAGCGAACATCAAAGTTGATATCATCAAGATGTCTTTGATCAAAGGCGTTAAGCTACAAGAAATGAAAACATTGAAATACAGAAAACATAGATGAAGGTATATAAATCTTAAGGAAACAAAAATGATAATACTTTTGAAGCAAAAGAGAAAAAAGACTTTCTCTCTTACCTTGACAACATCAGTAATATATTTTAATCCATTCTCAAAATCAGAAAGTGTCTAAAAGGAATAAAAATAGTATATTATTACTGAATAAAATCTTAACTTTTCTGCCCCCCTCTCTTCAACTCCCTCTTTCCACTTAAATTTATAAGAAACATCATATTGGCACCAAGAAAGCTGTTAATATGTGTTATATGTCAGATATCTTTTTTAAAAGGGGTGTGGTTTGGGGTAAAAATGAGTATTACAGACCTGGAAAACTGAACAAAGCAATTGTCTTGACAACTTATTCTTAATAACTGAGAAGAGTTTTGCTAGAGGCTTGAGGAAGCTTGTAGGCTCCAGACAATGTTTTAACAGGTTTTGTACTGTCACCAAAATATCAACTTCTGTATCCTTAAGAAGAAATATTAAGAGAAATCACATTTCAGTAATTTAGAAAACTAGTCAACTTGACTTTATTATATACCACAGACTCTCTGTCTCAAATAAATAAATAAATTCTTAAAAAGCGGGGGGGCGGCCCTCGGTGGTTCAGTTCGTTGGGTGTCTGCCTTTCGGCTCTGGTCATGATCTCAGGCTCCTGGGATCAAGCCCTGTGCATCAGGCTCCTTGCTCATTGGGGAGTCTGCTTCTCCCTCTGCCTCTGCCCCTTCCCACCCTTCATGGTCTTTCTCTCTTTCTGTCTCAAATAAATAAAATCTTTAAATATGTATTACTGCATAGAAAACAATCATGAATAAGCACAAGTAGTAATTATAAAAGTTATTTTATAGGCCTTTAAAAGTTCTTAGCATCTTAACATAAAATCCACAATAATGTCCATTAACAATTTCTTCCTTTAATTCTAATAGAAAATAGAATAAAACTGTCTACTGTCTAGTCCAGAGAAAAATCCACACTTCTGGTTGTCTATAGATTTGTGGTCTCCCTACTCCTGAATTACTGTGTGGTAAGAGATAGTGTAGCTACTAAAGCTTCATTAAATTTGAGCCACAGGAAGACTTTTTTACTCGAGATTGAACTAAGGTTTGAAAACCATCTTAGAAACTCAGCTACAAGTGATATTAATATAGTCTGACTTTTCACTCAGTTCTACAACTGTGATCCATATATACGATGCACTTCTTGGGCTCCAGATTTTTTACTGATCAAAGTGAGAGAGGGAAAGCTAAAGAAAGGATTGATGATGAATGCTTCCACCCTTTTGCTTGCCCCCATTCCTACCTCTGTTCCAATGTTTCTCCTCTGTTTTTAATTTTATATTTCTGTGTAAAGTCTTTTCACAAATACATCACAGAATCTAACCACCAAAATTACTGCTCGCTGATTAATCTTAATAATAAAGTGCCACTTTAAAGACAAAGCCAATGTCCTGTGAATTTATACCTGAGCAATATTGCCACGTTGGAGGAAAGGAAGGAGAAGTGTAATGAGTAGAGAACTTTGTTCTTTGTCTCTCATGAACTTGCTGATCCTAGAGAAGGGGAAAAACTGATATGTAAGGAAGACATACAAGTTAAGAATACTTCTCTAAGAAATTAAACATTTTGTAGAAAAACATGTAACAGACACAAGCGATTTTTATGTGTTCATGTAGGAACAGTTTAACACACTTACTCAGCAGTATCCACTTTCCAACTTCAGGTTCACGGCTACTAATCTATTTCTCTTATGATGTCTGATTTTATAGGTGGGTCAGAGTAAACACCGATGCTATAATTTGACGCTATTTCTTTTACAAAGAAAATAACATTAAATGCCACTTTTTTAAGGCTTTATGTGCAGTATTTCAATTTAACTCCCACAATACCCTTCAATGTAGGAATTATATTTAGCCCCATTTTGTCCAAAAAATCCTGAGACTTAGAGAAGCTGATGTCACATGGCTAAGAAGCAGTAGAGCAGGCCTTTCAAACGTTGGTCTTCCTGGTGTCTAATCTCTTAGCCTCTTTTCACTAGCATACAGCCTGCGATAAAATTTAATGAGTGTATTTTGTGTGGTTTCCCATTCTGAATAACTTAGAAATGCAATAGTATAAATAAAACATTTCAAAGAAGTTCTTGAAAGACTCTAATATATCATTTTTGTCATTGTTGGGGTAACAGAAATAAACTGTAACAATTCAGAGCTCGAAATAGAAACATTTTCTGCACTCTTGTTTACCAACCTTGCTACAGAAATCACAATTATATATTATTAGGTCTACTGCCACAGAGTATCGTTAAAAATCTTTGGAAGATCTCCACTCTTAAAAAACAAAACAACCACAACCTTCTCTTTTAAATGAATTATTTTTATCAATTAAACTTAAATTAATTTTTATCAATTAAACTTAAATTATTTTTATCAATTAAACTTAAATTTAAAAATATGAAAACCAAGTGATCTCATGTAACTCAAAATTCTAACTGAACAAAATACACAAATCTATTAAGTCTACTTTAGAATTTTGAAGACTGTTCTTTCATAATAAAATGAAGATGCCATAAAAGTTTTCTAATGAATATTCCAGGAGAGAAAGGAATTCTACATTAACTTAAAAAGGGAGGGCATTTAAAAATACTGAAAATCTTTTCAACTTGTTATTAAAATAATTGAAAAACTAGATACAATTCAGGAAAAATTAAAACCACGGATAGTAATGTTATCTTTTAAGGACCAGTGTATCACTTACTTTGATAGAATGCCAAGTTCCTTACTGACTTGTGCCCTATTCTTTTTCTTTTTCACCTTTTCTGCACTTATTGTGGTTTTGCTGAGATACTGGAGAATTACAGGTACATGAGGCAGAATTAATCGTCCTCCCATCGTGATAGATTCTGAAAAACAAAACAAAACAAAACAAAAACAATGATGTTTTGATTTTAATTAACTATTCTCTTAAAGGATAATCATACACTATCTTCATAATGACAAAGCACTCAAATTTTTATAAATATTTAACAAATTTAAACTACAAAGATTAAATTACTTATTTTCTTAGTCATAATAGATGTATTATTAGCTAAATTAAAAATTTACGTAAGAGATCCCTGAGGTTTTATTTAAACCATTTTTGGTAGTAGTAAAAGAACTGTTAGGATAATATGACAGGAAGAATTCAGAGACACGGCAGTGGAAGTCCTTTAATAATTTCCTGATGGATAGTTGAGTGTTCTGGAGCATAAGTAATCTAAATTTCTACTACTGCAAAGAAAATTCAGTTTATATAAATTGGCATTAATTCCTATTATCAAAAGAAACTCTTTTGATAATATAAGTAATTAAAAGAGTCAAATTGTATTGACTTTTTCCTTTCTGAGGGCACAAACGCTACTTCAAAAACCTAGGACTCATTTGCTTTGTACAGCACACATACCATCTGCACTTTCTGTGTATACGCATCCAGTTACTGGCAAGCTCAAAAGTGTTTCTGTGGGTTCAAAATCTGGAAGGTTAAGAAGGTCATCGGCTATATCCATCACCATAGAGGCTGTGGCTTCAGAGAGATTCTTTGCTGAGAGAATTGCAAAAACGTTGGTTAGGATATCATACTCTGGGTACCCAGGTTTCTGTTTAGCCAGGAAAGGGAAGTATCTGCAAAGAAAAACATTGAAATTGTCATCTTATTTCTCAATACATTTATTTCTGAAAACATATTCCATATGAATTTTCATATTGTTTATATATATATATATATATATATATATATATATGAACACTAATAAGATTACTCAAAAGGGAAATTACTTTAAAATCTAAAATTGGATGGATAATTTTAGGCACCTCATGAACATTATAGTAGTTAGGCACTTTATGTATATCTCTCATTTAATCCTCATAACATCTCTATAATGTGGTAACACTGTACCCACATTACAGATAAAAACCTGAGACTTGTCTAAAGCCACTGAGCTAGAAGTAGTAAAGCTGAGATGTGAGCCACAGTCTAACTCCAAAATCTAAGCCTTTTCTAAAAGAAATGTATTGAAGACAGGCTATTTTTTTATTTATAAGTCTTTTAGAACATGAATGTTCATACACTCACATAAAAACCAGTGCTTCAAACATGAGAATCAGGAGTACAGACCAAAGAAACATTTGCTGTATCAGGATATGCAACATTAAGAGACAAGGATCATTTTTTGGGAGAGGTGGGTGAATCCATCCCCAATTATCAAAGATGAAAGACTCACATAAATGATAGGAGCATCTTACCCAGAGGAAAAACACCAACAGGGTAAAGAGCACAAAGGCTTTCCACCAGTGGAAAACCAGCAATTGTTTACGTCAAGGATGTAGTCCTCTTAACAATCAACAGGAAGGTAAAACCAAAAAGAGTATGGCTTCACCAATTTATCACTGTTGGAAAAAGAGCTCAAGCACTTATACTTAGTAGTAACAAACTGAGGAAAAGTTCTAGGTGGTTGTATTCATACATCTTTGTCCAACAGGTATTACGCAGAGCGTGCGCAGGAACCAAGCAGGGTCCTTTACATGTTATCATCTCTATTATCAGTAAGGTAGGTACTGCTATTATTTCTATTCTACAGGTGGTGAAACTGAGGCTCAGAGAGGCCAATTTTGTCAAACAACCTGCAGTGGTGCTAGGATTTGAAGCTAGGTTTGTGTGGCTTTGGAGACTGTTCTCTTAACAGTATGTAGTACACTGTCTTAACATTTTTTCAAGCACAAAAGGTGAGAGGACTGCTCTGATTGCTGCCAAGGTCCTAGCAAGAACCCATTTAAACTCAATGAAACTTCTAAGTGACCGTACTGTGTTTACTAAACAGCAGTATAACCTGATGCCAAGGTACACTAGACATGCTCCATGTACGGTGCTGTCAGAAATTTCAGTCACTCTTTCAAAATGTAATGAATACCGGGCAGCCCAGGTGGCTCAGCAGTATAGTGCCGCTTTTAACCCAGGGTGTGTGTGATCCTGGAGTCCTGGGATCGAGTCCCACATCAGGCTCCCTGCATGGAACCTGCTTCTCCCTCTGCTTGTGTCTCTACGCCTCTCTATGTGTCTCTCATGAATAAATAAAATCTTAAAAAAAAATGTAATGAATATTGACTAACCATGGATTAAGAGGGGCACAAAATCCCCTGTGGAGGAAGATGCGGTAATAAATATGAAACAGTCTCTGCCCTCAGGCAGCTTTAGGTAGGTCAGCTATCAAGAGATGAGTGTACTAATGGTGGCATGTGATCATAGGCCCTTCCAGGGGTGGAAAGCTCAGAGGAAGGAGAGATGGTGCCTCATGGAGGCCATGGCAGTCAGAACCAGAGCAGCTATTAGAGAGTGGCCAGGGACACTCCTGGTCTATGCTGGTTGTTCTGGCTTAATTATTTATAGCATCTCTTTTCGCCCTCAGGCATACAGTTGGGATTATATAATCACTCTAGTTAGGGAGCAAGTTTTTGTTGTCCTGAGTTCACTTCACTTCTGAGACAATTTAACCTTAGTTATAAGCTTGAAGATACTGGCTATAGTTCAGCTCTACTTGCATCTGTCCAAATACAAGGTAAATTGCTCAACTTCTCTGTAGATGAAAACCTGCTTAAATGTCTGGCACTATGTAAACTGTAACCATCCTTCAAAATGGATTTTTTTTTTTTTTTTTTTACTGAAGAATCACATTCCAATGAAGAGGTTCTGAAATATTCTTTCTTCAATTCTCCCACACACAACAATATACGCACATCAGCTGTTGGAGATTTCAAAGAAAGTCAATCCATCCAAAGATTTCTTTCACGTATGAAAACATTTTTTCACATACAGAAAAATTTTTAAAAAGTTCTGCAGCATACCTCCTCTATTGCTCTGTGGTTTCTATTTTTCTCTGACCCATAATGAGAGAGAAACTACAAAACATATGATGAGGTAGCATCCAGTGATGAAGGTCTGTACCCTAAGTAACGAATGATCCAACTAATATAAAAGGGTGCTACTATTGCCAAGTCTTCTTGGATGAAATGTCCTTCATGGGTCATTTGCATACAAATTATACAACTATAAAACATTCCTCAAGCATGCCTATGAAGTGCTGCTTATAAATGTCCAGTTACAAGACAAGATAGGAAACTACTTTCTCAAGTTGGGAAGTAAGAGAGTCCTTACTACCAGTAAAAATATTTTAAACAGGTTTTCCTGAGGAAGATGATGTCAAGGTCTTTGGTTTGTTTCTGAGGACTATTTAATGATGTGGGGAAATGTTCATGATATAAAGGTACATAAAAAAATAAAATCAAAAGCTGGTTATATAGTATGATACCAATTTTGTAAAAAGTGATGCCCAAGATATTAAAATGTTGGCGTTTACTGAATCAACAGTAATTTTTTTTTTTATTCTACCTTTCATTCTTCAAGACAGATGAGGGCAAACTTAAGTCTGTTTCCATCACTGAGATAAACAACATATGTTTCTACACTCTTCAGGAAATGTGCATTAGGTCTGTGACACAAGCATCTCTGAACCATCTATGGAGGAAGGTCCTGTGAACAGCTCATAATGTCCTCAAAAGGATGTTGACTTATGACCATGAGAGCTCTCTATATATTTGGACATAGTTTCATAAGAACAGGAGACATCTAGGAAATCTAAATGGCCTGTGAAAATTTTCTGATTTTAAGTGGTAACTGGGAAAAAGACATAGAATGCCAATTACAAATCAGTTTTTATTTTTAAGCAAGCATCCAAAAAAATAGTAATATTTATATGCTGGCATAAATACAGGTATCCCTGGCTTTTCAAAAATTCATGTTATAACCACTTTGCTTTTATGAAAGAAGGTGGTAAGCTAAAACAGACTTCACCATTTGTTTCGCAGCAAGCCGTTACAGGGACAGCATGCACCTCTTGAGCAGTGACAGTGGCCCCTGTCAGGTTCCTTCCCTAGAAACTACACTCAGCGTGTCTGCATTCAGCCACCAGAGCTGTGAACTGTGTCTGGGAGCATCTGTGCTTTATCTCGATTTATTTTGTGCATCCCTTAGCAAGATGTGACCTCAGGTATTGGAAAAGCTTAAGAGAAGTAATTTTTTGGATCTAGGAACACTAAAACATTCTTCCACTTAAAGTAGTAATTACCTCTTTGTTTGATGCCATTTCAGCTTATGAAAGGTCTCATAGGAATGCTCTACTTTGAGAGAGCAGTGGGAACCTGTATCTGCCATGTTTCACGTTCTGTTTTTCCCTTTTCTGGGCCAAATCAAACTACTGAAACAATTACTACACATTAGAAGAACATCCGTATCAATTCCAATACTTTTGATTTTTAATGAAACTGTAAAACTAGTAAAAATGTGTAAGTTTTGGTATAATATATACCCTACAATCTTTAACTTAAGTTGTAAAATGTTATTTTACCTATATTTTCTGTTTTTTAAAATTATAAATGAACACCCCAAAGATATATCATAAAAAGTACCTCTTCCCTGCTCTGGGGTACCCAAACCTCCACACTTAACATTAGTAGTTTCTCACGTATTCTTCTAGACATTTTCTACTTCATTTTATATTTATATGCATGCACAGGTATATTTCTTGGATTACATTGTTTGGCAACTTGTATTTTTCTTTAAACTGCATATTTTGAAATTCAGCTGCCTTATTCTCTTTAATTGCATCTGTGGTATATCACCACAAATTACATTATTAGTAACCTTGAACTCATTTTGGTCAAACCTAGTCCTTTAAAGTCCTTTAAAACACTGTCCTTTTCAAAGGTGGGAGAAAAACGGTCATACCTTGCATTTCTGCTCCAGATACTAATTAGTTTCAGCAGAGGAGTAGGAAAATACTGACTCTCAGATCCAAGCCTTCTGATCTAAGACAAAATTAAAAACAGAATACAAAATAAAAACATATACAGAATTTTTGGGAAAATACAACTGAAAAGCAGGACCAGTATAGAAACCACACCAGAGGGGACGCCTGGGTGGCTCAGCAGTTGAGCGTCTACCTTCAGCTCAGGGCATGATCCCAGTCTGGGGATCGAGTCCCGCATTGGGCTCCCTGCGAGGACCCTGCTTCTCCCTCTGCTTGTGTCTCTGCCTCTCTAAGTAAATAAATAAAATCTTAAAAAAAAAAAAAAAAAAGAAAGAAAGAAAGAAAAAAAAGAAACCACACCAGAGGATAAAGAGCCAAGGGGCAGAGATTAACATTTAAAGGAAAAAAAAAATAAAGGAATCCAAAATAATATCTACAGGGGAAAAATAGCAAAGCAAGAAGTGCTAGACATTTAAAAGGAAGGAGGTACTATAGGTTTCAGCTGGTTAGAAATGACAGAGCTAAAGCAGCTAGAATTCCTAAAATCAAGTCTCCTCTAAACTCTTTTTAGCTATAGTTTCATCACAAAATGGTTACAAACAAGGAAATATGTAACAAGAATATCTGTATCTTCTCAAAATCCAGAGACACATCATTGAGGTGCTACAACAGTTACATTCCATTTGCTTAAGAGACACAACCATGTTCAAATTGACCTTAAGTATAAATGTCATGGTATTACAGAAACCAGCTCTTGAGCTTTAGGTGACAGTGGAGGCAAGAAAACAGTTCTAAAACTTCCAGAAGCAAAGAAAGACTCGCCGTAAAAGAAAAGACCAGGACAGGCACTAGTGTCTGGGTGTGGACTGCCCTGGTTAAATAACACAATAATAAAGGAAGAAGCAGAAGGTATCCATGCAGAGTGTAATAACAAAGCTCACCTGGGGCCAAACTGCACCGTGAAAGACAGCATCAATTTCTTCTGTTCTGAATTGGTAAGACTCCCAATCCAAAAAGATGTCAGTTACCATTTTGATTCCAAGACGTCTTAAATTTTTCAGTGGGTTAATAAACCTGAGTTGTATCTGTAAAACAAAGATGTTCCCTTAAAAAAAAAAGTTATTTCATTTTTTATCTTTGATTCCTTAAGGAGGCACTATTGCTCAGATGACTAAAAATCAAACTGGAAATCCTATTACTAAGTCTGGTGACTCTGGCTCTGAATCACATGGAAATTCCACTGAGCATTATAGTATTGCTGTTCTCATTGAACAAAATGGGAAAGGAGAGACTTAAAAAGATCAAATGGTGAGATGTGCTCCATTATCATGTTAAAGTGTCCGTGAGGAGGGGGGATCAAACAGCTGTCAAACAGTCAAACAGCTGTCTTGTGTCCTACATTGTTGTATTTATTTATCCAACTAATTGTCTCAAATAAAATCCTGATTTCTTCCTATGAACAGAACATTCTAAATAAAACTTTTTTTTTTTTTTTTTTTTTAGTTTTTGACATCACAATGCCTTAGATTAGGGGGAAAAATTAAACTTTTATATCAAACGAAAGTCACTTTCTTTTTTGTTTTCATAACTTGTATTATTATTTTTTACTTTTTCTAAAGCTAGGAGTTTTCAATTATTCTTGTAACTTAGTCTAGGAGACTAGTTAAAAGAATTTATGGTCTTTCTATATAGTAAAATACTTCATACAGTATAAGAGAATGAGGTGCCTGAATCAAGGCATGGGAAGATCTCAAAATATATAATTTAAAGAAAAATATAATTTGAAAAAAATCAAAATTTGTCTGTTTAGAGGCACAAAGGCTGGAGTGGGTGGGAGTCTGAATTAACAGCGAACCTCTTTCATAACATAACTACTTCTAGTGGCACCCCCCTTCCCTATGAGTTACAAAATCATAAATATGTGGCCAGTTTGTTCAGGCTCTGAGTAGAATAATTTACTCAGGCCCCACCAATGACCCCAATGGCATGACAGCCATAGTTCTGACTTCAGCTTAAAATCTCACTGAGGGAAAATGTATTAAATTATGTGACAGACTGAAAATGACAAAGATACCCAATAGGAGAGGAATTATAAATTTGAAAAAAGGAAAAGCTTCATGAAAGAGGTAGAATTTCTAGTGGATCTTAAAGGAATGTTGTAAAAACCAAATATATGGGGAAAGGTGCAACTTCTGATTGTTTTTCCATTTGATTAATATACTGTGGGCTCTGGATATATAAGTGGCAACTTATTTTTACATGGGACTTAATTATCTACACCAAAATTTAAACACCACCCTGAAATTTATGAAGACAACACAATAATATAATGAACATCAAGTTTTATGGCCATAATATCATGAAAAAAATGAATAGGGAAGTTATACTGTCAGGAAAACTGGATACTTTGATCAATGGAAGTATCTGAATCTAGGACAACACATTTTAAAGGCCAGCGAAAAGGAATAAAAATGTTATTAATATGCCATGCAAGGTCTCAGGTATCATCATATTTCATGTACCCATCAGGCTTCTACCATCTACTTTTGGCTAATTATCTCTTTATGCAAGTTACAAAGACAGGAGATAATAGGCAAGCCCCAGGGGATACAGTTGCAGGTCACTGTGCTTTGCTTCATTTCTAGGGCAGTATTTTCATTATCAGCTCTGTCATGTTCACTGAAAGATAAAAATTATTACTGCTTTTGAAAAAACATGGTATCATGATCCCCTGGAACAAGTTTAAGAAACTAACCTTAGCAAAAATATGATATCAAGTCAGACACCCCCACCTTCTCCCTCTTCCCACTGCCCTGTGTAGGATCCACATCTGTTACTATGGTGCCAGCTGCCCAGTTTAATCAATAATTTTCAGTAAACTTGAGAAAAGCCCAGGAAGCAATTGTAGACTCTAGTTCCAGAGGAATAGTCCATATGCCTGAGTTATTCCATTGTTTAAATGTTCCAAATTAATGAAAGCAAAACCAAAACAACCCCTGTGATATACACTTCAGTGTCAGTCCATGACTTGGAGGAACTAAAAGATACAAAAAATGTAAATGTGTAACTTAGCTCAAACCCACCAACAAAGTTTAACTTACTTAAGCAGTATTACTATACAGTAATTCATTACGGTACCTCAAGGAATTCTTTGAACTTGTCCAATATATTTTTTTTAAAAGCTCCAAACTGTCAAAAAGTTTAGCACCTCACTAACTAATGATCCATGAAATTGCATAAATGACTTTTTGAGTTACTGACTGTTGACTCAGGAGTAAAGCTGCATTACTGAGTAACTTCTTCTAAGTTAACCAACAAGTCAGAGAACTTAACACGGTTTATAAAATCTCTAACCTTTCATGATTTAATATATCCATGTATAGATAAAGTCATTGTCACTCACTATTTGGCACAAAATGAAAATTCTCAGAGTTCTTCTTGTGGCCATGAAGCTTTTAAATAACAGAGAGAAAGAATTTCCCAAGACTTCTTTTCAGCTTCCACTGTTGCCTGCCCCCCAAGCCTCTTTCCCACAGAGTAATCAGAGTGAAATTTTAAAAACATCAGAGAGACCTAATCCTGGCTTCAAACCTTTTCAGGTTTTCCAGTACACTTTGGAGTCAATCCATGTGGAACCCATAAGCCCATGAGGCCCCACCTACCTCTTGACCTTATCTGATAGGCTTCTTCTCACTCCTTGTGCTCTAGCTATCTTGCCCTCTGTTCTTAGAATGTGCCAAAGTGGTTCTACCTCCACAACTTGTAGTCATTTTTCTCTGCTTGAAATGTTCTTCCCATAGCTGGGTAAATACATGAGTTTAAATACCACCTCCTCAGACACGACACTGACCATCCATTCCCAGTTTGGTCATTTCCTATCACATTCTCTCATTTTATTTTAAATTCTTCACATCCTCATGTCTCTCCTCAACATGCTCATGTTTTCCTCTACTTTTGTGAATCTATGGAGTATACTCCTACTACCTTTTTTAAGTTTTTGGCTAATTATATCATCCGTGCCACTGCTGGGTCTGCTTCTATTGACTGATTTTTCTCCTCATTATGAGGAAAATTTTCATCCTTCTTAGCATGCCTGGTAAAACTTGACTGGATGTCAGACATTGTGAATTTTGTTTTCATTTACATCATTTGAAAGCTTTTGAGTTTTGTTCTCAGATGCAATTAATTTGCTTGGGAAAAGTCTGATCTTTGTCAGCTCTGTAAGGTGTTGCCAGGGCAGCCTTTACTCCAGAGCTAATCTGGTTCCCCTACTGAGGCAATCCCCTGCCTAGGAATCTTCCTGGTGCCTTGGGTATTAGGAGGATTCTGCTCTAGCTGTTGAGAACATGAGCTGTTCCTAGCTTGTGTTAGTCAGAGGACTGTGGCTGCTCCTCTCTCATGGTTTCTCCATATCTCTTTAAGGTGGATCAACTAGATTTGGCCTTCCCTCTCAAGCAACTAAAAACTAAAGGGAATACATGAGACAATGATTTTCAGCTACTAGACAGCAGGCAGCAAAGAACAGTCAGTCCTGAGATGGTAAACAGATGAGGTAGAGTCCTGTACGTCCCCCAGATTCCTGCGGGGAGTTTCAGGCATCGGTGTGAGAAGGAAGAGTCCAGGCACAGGTCAGTCAATGGATATAAACCTGTCTCATTCCCCACCTAGAATGATGTCTGGTAGATAGGAGGTGTGAAATAATATTTATTGAATAAATGGACAGGAATTTTTGTTTGCTTTGTTCACTGTTCCATTTCCAGTGCTTAGAACAGTGCCTGTCACGTAACAGGGGCTCAATTAATATTTGTTGGAGGAATGAATGAAAGAATAAAGAAAACAAAATGGTGCCTAACGAAACAGAAGATGTATTCTAAATCCCTGGAGCATGGTAATCAGAGAATATTATTTACCACTAAAGCAGATTTATAACCGTGTGTGGCCCAAAAAACAGCCTAAAATTTTGGCTGTCAATTTTCAGTTATCATGACCATATCTGAAAGGCAGTTGACCAGGCATATCCATAAATCAAATGAAAAGATTTTATCCCAATTAAAACCATGCCTATTTATCATTAACTGAGAATTTACAGTAGAAATGTGAGTCTAGATCTTCAAGTCCCACTAAGAAGCCTTTAGTCCATACGGACATTAAATTTCCCTAAGCTCTCCAGAGAGTATACTTATGCCCACATACTTCTTCCAACAGAATATAAATATATTGTCTTTAATGCAATTCAGAAAATATTTACTGAGCACTAACTTGTGAGGCCTCTGGCAATTAGCTGGCTGCCAGGTCTTGCTGCTTCTCTTTCTTTATTCAAAACGTTGCACTTATACCAGGCAAGCATTTACTTTTAAAAGACCTCTGGGCAACTCTTATCTCAAAATAACAAGAATGATATTATTAACAGTATTTTGTTCATTCTCCAACCATTCTGGATAGAGCTGGAAAATATCCTATACCTCTAAGCTCTTGAAATTAAAATAAGAAATATCAGCTCAACTATCCCTGACTTTAGCTTCTGAGATGTGTACAGAACTAACTCACATCCTATTATTTGAATCTCTTTAAAATATACAAGTGATACACAGCTGACCCTTGAACAATGCAGGGGTCAGGGGCACTAATCCCCTACACCATAAAAAAAAAAAATCCATGCATAACTTTTTATTCCTCCAAAAATTAACTACTAATAGCTTACTGTTGCCTGGAAGCCTTACTAACACCATAAACAGTTAACACATACCTTGTATGTTGTATGTACTACATACTGTACTCTTACTTTATAATAAAGTCAGCTAGAGAAATGGTTATTAAGAAAATAGGAAGAGAACATATATTTATGGTACTGTGCTGTGTTTATTGGGGAAAAAAATCTCATTTATAAGTGGACTCACACAGTTTAAAACCATGTTGCTCAAGGGTCACCAATAATTTGCATTCTCCAACTACACATAAATATTTAGAACAGTGAAGATTGCTAGATATTCAGCTCCCAACCAATTTTCCAAGTGAAATGCAGAACTCTTACTGGCCCAAGAAGAAAGCAACTGCAGTGAGTCTCTCTCACCTTTTCTCGTTGGTCGAGGACGTGTGATGCAGTTGCTGTCAAGCATAGCAGTATCTGCAAAATCTTTGGTAAGTATGCACTGATCAGATGACTAATGTTCTTCAATACTATTTCAAGGCTATTTAGGATACCATGCTGACGACCTAAAGGCAGAACTTTAGACAAATCCAAGTCTTCTACTGCTTGAATGACAGCAGAATGGCATTCTCCTAGATAGCATGTAAAAGGAAATATTAGTTACTCTCTAATTACAGCTTCCTTTTAATTTCCCTCAATGATAGAGTATTTTCTGTTCTAATGATTTATAGATGATAATATACTTTCCTAATGTATTTTCTCCTGATTCTCTTACCAAATATTCAATGAGCTAGGCATGTTGGGTTTTAGTATTAGCACTTTGTAGATGAGGAAACTGAGAATAAAGGAGAAACTTGTGCCAGAACTAAGTCTCTAAGCCCCATTCTCATCCTATTTAGACTACTTCCCCAAACCTGAGTTATCAATAGTCTTTTGTTCTACCTAGGGACTTCCTATACATTTTTCTCATTCTCAGCTTTCACTGTCTATGTTGACTTGAGCAGTTTCAGAGAAAATGTCCTGTCTGCTACATTAGAAGCTTCTCGAGTGCTGAGAATCAAATGTTTTCTCTTGCCCCTGGTGAATGAATAAAACAATAGTCCTTTATAAACAGGTACCAAATTGATTCTATAATTTACTTAAAAGACTTGAATTGTTATTGCTTGAGCTTTACTTGAAACCAACCGGTATGGAATCATGAGCTTGCTAATTCATACACCTAAATAATCTAGCCAATAAAGAGTATCATTTATAGCTGCCCTCTTACAATGGAAGTTGTTTCACTGAGCAAAAAGCCTTTGTCTTCATCAGGGCCAACTTCCTTCATAGGGCAATATTATACTGAACAAAAACATTTTAACAACTGAACCCATTATCACAGAAAAAATACAAAACTTCATCCAACACATTAATGTACAAATAAATACCTGTGTTTGCCCAAGGCAAAGCAATTTTGGGATAAGAGTAGAGATTCTGTAGTCAGAAAGATCTGCCTTTTTTTTTTTTTTTAAAGATTTTATTTATTTATTCATGAGAGATACAGGGAGAGAGAGAGGCAGAGGCCCAGGCAGAGGGAGAAGCAGGCTCCATGCAAGGAGCCCAACGCGGGACTCGATCCCTGGAGCCTCCAGGATCATACCCTAGGCTGAGGTGGCTCTAAACTGCAGAGCCACTGGGGCTGCCAGATTTGCCATTTTCTAGCTGAATAGTCATAAGCAAAATACTAAACTCTTTAAGGCTTAGTTTCCTCATTGGTAAAATGGGAATGGTCAGGTAATGATACCTCAGGAGGCTGTCTTAAGGATCAATGGATTTGTACGCAAAAGGGCCCATTATAACATCTGGCATGAAGTAAGCACTCAATAAATGTGAGCTATTATTATTGTTAATTACTAACACTGCATACCAGAGAACAGACCATAGAGCCGTTGGTCTATGGCATTCTCCTAGATATGGAGAATCAGCTCACTGTACCTACTTATTACATCTACTTTGTTTAGATGGTGAGGTTGAGAGAATCAATTCTTACTTTTCTGCTTTCAAAAGTGAAAAGTGTACAGGAGGTATTCAACAAATCATTTACTCCATATATAAATGACTTTGTGAATGGATAAATATTAAGACAATTAAACATGCTCTAAGTTTCTAAGGAAAAACCTATTCATTATATTTGGGTAAGTAACATTTTTCAAATGCCTAAATGCACAACAACAATACATGTTCCATTTCTTTCCTTTTTAGTTGTCTTTCTTTTTTTTTTTTTTTTAAAGTAATCACTATAATCAGCATGGGCCTCAAACTTACAACCTCATGATCGAGTCACATGCTCCACCAACTGAGCCAACCAGGTGCCTCCCAAAATACACATTTTCTAATTAGGGGCTTATTGATCCATGGATGATGGTAATCTCCAGGATCAACTGTGAGCTCCATCTAATTTAATCAAAATTTAAAATGATTACACTTTAGCCAAAAGGCCGCCAATGAGATTGGGAAGAATAATCCTATTAGAAGATGTCCAAGAACATGGGAAATCTAGCCTGAGACATTCAAAGTCTACAGCAGACAACACACATTCAGAGTAGCAGGAAGTTGATAGCTACCATTTTTGAAGTGCTTCACAGGTTCAAACAGCAAGTCTAAGAACATCTGGATCTCCTCTGGTTGGGTCCCAGCGAGGAACCTCAGAACAATGGACATACGAGTGCCTGAAGCAGATTTCCCCTGAGTTTTACTGCCAGTCTTATTCTTCATTCGGCCATACAAAATTCTAAAAAGTCAAAAGAACATTATTTTGTTTGCACATTAATCCTAAAACATAATGCTAGTCATTTTGTTTTCCTAAGAGGTTAGAATAGCAATTCAAAAGACTTAAAATATAAAACAAGGAAGGACGAAAATAGAAATTAGATATTGAACATACAAAATTTAGAAAAACAATGACAACAACAAAAACTATGGCTGAGGGAAACAGGAAGAAGAAAATAATAAAAATAAAGGCCAAAAGGTGGTTCTTTGTAGAAGGAAAAAAGTAGTAAAATAGGCAAGCCAAATGAAAATGAAAAAAAAAAAAAAAAAAGAAAAGAATATGTAGATTAAAAGGAAATAAGTGAATACAACTAAGTAAAATAAGGAAACTGGAAAGTCTTAAGTGGGTAATTTTCTGAAAAAGAAAAAAACAAAACAAAACAAATAAGGAAAAGGAACTTAAGAAGAAAACCTGAACAAAGAGTAATCATGAGTAAACATGGAACTCAGATGAATTTTTTAAATTTTTAAGGAAAACTAATTCCCATGCTATGAAGTTTCATAGCTAAGAGAAAGAAGGAACAGTCCTTTTCCATTTATGAAGGTGGTATAACTGTGACACTGAAATGAGATGATGAATGAAAATAAAATTATATACCATTCTTGCTTATAAACATAAAACCCATTTCTAAATACAGAATCCAGTGCTGCATTAAAACAATATTAAAGCCAAATAAGGATTTACCCCAGGAATGCAAGAAACAATCACTAGCAAAGTCTAATGAGTTGATATAGATCAATGGCTCATTGGAAAAATTAATATTATCATTTTAATCCATGCTTAATAGACATTCTAATAAGATTCAACATCCATTCCTGATAAAATACTAAACACCCTAGTCATAGGACTTACTTTCTTAGTACAAGTGTTAATTTATAACAAATGTTACTGTTTTAACATTCAAAATTTAAACACCGTGGTTTTTAAACTTTTCAATATTATAACCCTTTTATCAGCATTTTTGAGGTCCCCAAAGAGCTTTTGTGTGAGTTTTATTTACTGATATTTATCTTGGTAGAAGTTATTTTTAAAAAATATTTTATTTGAGAAAGAGAGCATAAGAGACAGCATGTGGGAAGACACATGTGAGCATGCACAAGCAGGAGGGAGGGGCAGAGGGAGAAGCAGGGAGTCTGACGTGGGACTGGATCTCAGGATCCTAGGATCATGACCTAAGCTGAAGGCAGACACTTAACCTACTAAGCCACCTAGGTGCCCTATCTTGGTAGAAATTAAAATGAGTTAATGTAAGTAGCATTTTTAATGAAAAATTTTATCTTCCAAACCTCTCCCCACCAAAAATTAGTAAGTCTAAAGCCATACTTTAATTTTTCCTCCCCACATTTTTTTATTGTCTTGTTTATTAGAAAATAACTGGATTTTCCTATCTGTTTCTGCATTTAATCAGCTGCATTATGTTATAGCTGCAGAAAAGCCAGCCATAACAAAATATGCAGTTGGAGAAGGGAAAAATATTTCATAAACTTTCAGATAATTCTTTTGAGATAATTGTGGATATTCCACTTTGATACTATACCAGACCTCAACAAGTGGTAGTTTCTTAAAGGCTAGTTGCAAGGCAGATTCCAGTCTTATTAAAAAGCTTTGTGATCTCTGTTACATTAAAACCTAGCTATCTTGCACTTTGAATTGATCTTTAGCTGTGAATGATTCTGTAGCATGCATTGGTTATTTGGAAAACATGCCAATCAATGGGATAACTAATATTCAGAAGTGCTTTATGCGCACTTCCCATTTTGTCATTTAAATCAATACAAAGACAAGCACTCAAGGCTTAAGATTCACCAAGAACATGAAATGAAACTAGCGTTTGTTTGTTTTTTTTTTTTCTTAAACACCAGCTGTGTGACAATGAAGACTGACTTGTATAGTTTGAAGCCACTGTCATGATTAGTGCTAAGGTACTGGCAGTTTTACACTGTTGTTTTTTGGGTTGTCAGCACAAATGTTGGCAGAGTGGGAAAAGGTGTCTGAGTAGTATTTTTTTAAATTTTTTTAATTGGAGTTAAATTTGCCAACATATAGCATAACACCCAGTGCTCACTGCGCCAAGTGCCCCCCTCAGCGCCCACCACCCAGGCACCCCAACCCCCTGCCCACCTCCTCTTCCACTACCCCTTGCTCATTTCCCAGAGTTAGGTGTCTCTCATGTTTTGTCACCCTCACTGATATTTTCATTTTCTCTCCTTTCCCTTTATTCCCTTACACTAATGTTTATATAATTCCCAAATGAATAAGACCATATAATGTTCGTCCTTCTCCGATTGACTTATTTCACTCAGCATAATACCCTCCAGGTCCCTCCACGTTGAAGCAAATGGTGGATATTTGTTGTTTCTAATGGCTGAGTAATATTCCATTGTATACATAAACCACATCGTCTTTATCCATTCATTTTTCGATGGACACCGAGGCTCCTTCCACAGTTTGGCTACTGTGGACATTGCTGCTATAAACATCGGAGTGCACGTGTCCTGGCATTTCACTGCATCTGTATCTTTGGGGTAAATCCCCAGCAGTGCAATTGCTGGGTTGTAAGGCAGTTCTATTTTTAACTCTTTGAGGAACCTCCACACAGTTTTCCAGAGTGGCTGTACCAGTTCACATTCCCACCAACAGTGCAAGAGGGTTCCACTGTCTCCACGTCCTCTCCAACATTTGTTGTTTCCTGTCTTGTTAATTTTCCCCATTCTCACTGGTGTGAGGTGGTATCTCATTGTGGTTTTGATTTGTATTTCCCTGATGGCCAGTGATGCGGAGCATTTTCTCATGTGCTTGTAGGCCATGTCTATGTCTTCCTCTGTGAAATTTCTGTTCATGTCTTTTGCCCATTTCATGATTGGATTCTTTGCTTCTTGGTTGTTGAGTTTAATAAATTCTTTACAGATCTTGGATACTAGCCCTTTATCTGATAGGTCATTTGCAAATATCTTCTCCCATTCTGTAGGTTGTCTTTGAGTTTTGTTGACTGTTTTGGTGTGCAAAAGCTTCTTATCTCGAAGAAGTCCCAATAATTCATTTTTGCCCTTGTTTCTCTTGCCTTCATGGATGTATCTTGCAAGAAGTTGGTGTGGCCAAGTTCAAAAAGGGTGTTGCCTGTGTTCTCCTCTAGGATTTTGATGGATTCCTGTATCACATTTAGATCTCTCATCCATTTTGAGTTTATCTTTGTGTATGGTGTCACATGACTGTCCAATTTTCCCAGCACCATTTATTGAAGAGACTGTCTTTTTCCAGTGGATAATCTTCCCTGCTTTGTTGAATATTAGTTTATCATAAAGTTGAGGGTCCACTTCTGGATTCTCTATTCTGTTCCACTGATCTATGTGTCTGTTTTTGTGCCAGTACCACACTGTCTTGATGATCACAGCTTTGTAGTACAACTTGAAATCCAGCATTGTGATGCCCCCGGCTCTGGTTTTCTTTTTTAATATTCCCCTGGCTAAAAAAATAAAAAATAAAAATAATAAAAACAATAAAAATAAAAATATCCCCTGGCTATTCAGGGTCTTTTCTGATTCCACAGAAATCTTAAGATGATTTGTTACACCTCTCTGAAGAAAGTCCATGGTATTTTGATAAGGATTGCATTAAATGTGTACATTGCCCTGGGTAACATTGACATTTTCACAATATTAATATTAATTCTTCCAATCCATGAGCATGGAATATTTTTGTGTCTTCCCCAATTTCTTTACCTCTTTGGTTAGGTTTATTCCTAGGTATCTTATGCTTTTGGGTGCAACTGTAAGTGGGATTGACTCCTTAATTTCTCTTTCTTCAGTCTCATTGTTAGCGTATAGAAATGCCACTGATTTCTGGGCATTGATTTTGTATCCTGCCACACTGCCAAATTGCTGTATGAGTTCTAGCAATCTTGGGGTGGAGTCTTTTGGGTTTTCTATGTACAGTATCATGTCATCTGCGAAGAGGAAGAGTTTGACTTCTTCTTTGCCAATTTGAATGCCTTTAATGTCTTTTTGTTGCCTGATTGCTGAGGCTAGGACTTCCAGTACTATGTTGAATAGCAGTGGTGAGAGTGGACATCCCTGTCTTGTTCCTGATCTTAGGGGAAAGGCTCCCAGTGCTTCCCCATTGAGAATGATATTTGCTGGGGCTTTTCGTAGATGGCTTTTAAGATGCTGAGAAATGTTCACTCTATCCCTACACTCTGAAGAGTTTTGATCAGGAATGGATGCTGTATTTTGTCAAATGCTTTCTCTGCATCTATTGAGAGGATCATATGGTTCTTGTTTTTTCTCTTGTTGATATGATCAATCACACTGATTGCTTTATGAATGTTGAACCAGCCTTGCATCCTGGGGATAAATCCCACTTGGTCATGGTGAATAATCTTCTTAATATATTGTTGGATCCTATTGGCTAGTATCTTGTTGAGAACTTTTGCATCTGTGTTCATCAGGGATACTGGTCTATAATTCTCCTTTTTGATGGGGCCTTTGTCTGGTTTTGGAATTAAGGTGATATGCTGGCCTCATAGAACGAATTTGGAAGTACTCCATCTCTTTCTATCTTTCCAAACAGCTTTAGTAGAGTAGGTATGGTTTCTTCTTTAAACGTTTGATAGAATTCCCCTGGGAAGCCATCTGGCCCTGGACTTTTGTGTCTTGGGAGGTTTTTGATAACTGCTTCAATTTCCTCCCTGGATATTGCCCTGTTCAGGTTTTCTATTTCTTCCAGTTCCAGTATTGGTAGTTTGTGGTTTTCCAGAAATGAGTCCATTTCTTCTAGATTGTCTAGAAGACAATTGGCGTATAACCGCTCATAATAAGCTTTTAAAATCGTTTGTATTTCCTTGGTATTGGTGGTGATCTCTCCTTTCTCATTCATGATTTTATTAATTTGAGTCTTTTCTCTCTTCTTTTTAATAAGGCTGGCTAATGGTTTATCTATCTTATTAATTCTTTCAAAAAACCAACTCCTGGTTTTGTTAATCTGTTCCAAAGTTCTTCTGGTCTCTATTTCATTGAGTTCTGCTCGAATCTTTTTTAATTCTCCTCTTCTGCTGGGTGTAGGATCTATTTGCTGTTTTTTCTCCAGCTCCTTTAGGTGCAAGGTTAGCTTTTGTATTTGAGTTCTTTCCAGTTTTTGGATGGATGCTTGTACTGCAATGTATTTCCCCCTCAGGACGGCTTTTGTTGTATCCCAAAGATTTTGAATGGTTGTATCTTCATTCTTATTAGTGTCCATGAATCTTTTTAATTCTTCCCTAATTTCCTGGTTGACCCTTTCATCTTTGAGCAAGATGGTCCTTAACCTCCTCCATGTTTGAAATCCTTTCAAACTTCTTCTTGTGATTTAGTTCTAGTTTCAAAGCATTATGGTCTGAAAATATGCAGGGGACGATCCCAATCTTTTGGTATCGGTTAAGACCTGATTTGTGACCCAGTATGTGGTCTCTTCTGGAAAAAGTTCCATATGCACTTGAGGAAAATGTGTATTCAGTTGCATTTGGTGTAAAGTTCTGTAAATATCTGTGAAATCCATCTGGTCCAGTGTATCATTTCTTTGGACATGTTGTGCTTAGAAGATCTGTCGATTGTAGAAAGCACTATATTTAAGTCACCAAGTATAAGTGTTATTATCTAAGTATGTCTTAACTTTGGTTATTAATTGATTGATATACTTGGCAGCTCCCACATTCAGGGCATAAATATTCATGATTGTTAGGTCCTCTTGTTGGATAGATCCTTTAAGCATGATATAGTGTCCCTCTTCATCTCTTACTACAGTCTTTGGGATAAACTTTAATTTATCTGATATGAGGATGGCTACCCCTGCTTTCTTTTGAGGACCATCTGAATGGTAAATGCTTCTCCAACCTTTTATTTTCAGGCTGTAGGTGTTCTTATGTCTAAAATGAGCTCCCCCTTGGATGCTTTTTTCCATCTGTATTTTTTTTTCCGTCTTCCTACCTTGACAGAAGCACAAACTCTTCTCACTGAAGCGTTCCAGCTGTTCTCTCTTTAAATCTTAGACCGAATTCGTAGGTTTTCAGGATGATTTGAAAGTTATCTAGGTAAGTGGGTGGGGACAGGTGACTTGGGGACCCTACTCTTCTGCCATCTTTCCCACCTCCCTGGGTAGTATTTTGAAAAAAGCTTTAACCTTGTGGGCCCCTGAAAGCATCTCAGTGACAGCCCCTGCCAAGAAGGAGCAAAACAAATTTTAAGAAGGGCTGCAACAGAAACATTACTGTTAAATCCAGCAGCAAGACAAGGACAACCACAAACACTACCACCACAGTCAATTCTTCTATACTGTGTGGGTAACATGCAAATTAAAAAAAAAAAATAGAAAAAAGAGGTTTTAAAAAAATCTTTATGATTAAAAATTAATTAGATTAATTAGGCTTAGATTCACTATAGGCCATGGAGTTTACCTTCTGGCAGGGGAAACAAATGATAAACAAGAGGCTATGTCAGACGATTGTGAAGAAAAATAAAGCAAGGTTAAGGGACTAAAAGGGGTTTAAAGAAGGTGGGACTTTACACAAGGTGGTGAAGGGAGGCAACCTGACAATGACATTTGAGAGGAGACTGAATGCAAAAGAAGAGCTAGTGCTCACGTGTTCCAAGCACAGGGACCAGCAGGTCCACTGACTTTGAGGTGGGCTCCGAGGGGGCCAGGGAATGGAAGTGGTGTGGTTGGACGAGAAGTCTGGAGCTAGGTCATACCAAGCCCTCAAAGAAGGAGCAAGGATTCCCTACTTTATTTTCAGTAAAATGGAACCTCAAAGGGTTTTTTAGAATAGGAGACTAACAATTTGATGACTGTTACTGACTATTGCTTTTTCAACCAAGAAAATTCAATGAAAACAATTAAAGCTAATAACAAAGGTTTGCAATGTGAATGTTTAAATAATCAATACCAAAAATCAACAGCTTTTATACCTCATAATTAGTTATATACCAAATGAATGAATTATTTTTACTATTTCTCAATAATAAAACTTAAGAGGAATCAGGATTTAATTTTAACATTATTATTAAAATAACTGCATGGCAAAATCTTTCCTTATGTTACAGACAAAACATTTTACAATAAGTCTCTATAACAATTTGACTTTGTTAAAAAAATAAAATAAAAAATGGAATATTCCATTATAATCACTGAATGAATCATAATACCATATTCACAATTACTTTTGTAATCAACTTTTAAAAATCAACAGTTTTAAACAGGGTAAATACCTCATCAGAACAGGAAACAGATCTGCTCGGTGGGCCGTTTTCACTACCGTATTATCTTCAGAAATGCTAAAATGCACTATCTCTTCCTTAAAGCTTCTGTCTTCAAGCAATCTTTGCAAGTTTTCCCTTTAAAAACAGAATATAGAACAAATCATCACTTAATAATCAATGGTATTTTTTAAAAATGCAATATAGTAGTACAGTGATATGTATAATAGAAATAGGAATTAATATATTATAGTTGACATTCATAAAAGAAAATTTTCAGGAAATGACAGGTTCTCAAATTTTATAAAGTAAAGGTGATTATGAGGAACTAAAACTTAGTCAACAATTCAGCCATTTAAAAAAGATTAATACAAAAGCTTTCTTCAGTTCTTATAGAGAGTGATCATGATTCCCTAAGTAATCACCAAGATTCTGACATCACTGAAGCAACAAGAAATGGTATAGCCTTCTCTTTTCTACCTTATCTTTGGAGAAGCACTCTTAATACACAAATATACTTTGAGTTTTCATTTTTTACCTGAAAATAGCCTTACGATTATAGTCAAAAAGGGAAATTTCCCAGGCCTTCACAAAATTATTTTAGAAGAAATGCTCAGGTAGAAAGGTAAAAATCAGCCAAAGAAATAGCATTTCTTTAGCTTCAAATAACTTACCTGTAAGGGAGGATATGTGGATGTTTATATGTCATTATACAATCCAGGGCTATTTTTTGCACCGTTTGATCTTGATGTAGCAACAACTAAGAATAATATTTTATAGAATAAATTAATGAAGTCACATATACACATACCATGGAATAGTAATTTACTTGGGTTAATGTGCTAAATTAGATTTCTTAGAATCTAAATTTTTTAGATGTGGGTTAAAGGTGATCCCTGACAACAGCCTTACATTTTCTCAGAAGTGCAGCATGAACAGAATATGTGCAATGAACTAAGTGGAAACAAAACTCTGACCCCTGAATCCTACATGCCAGACTCTCGGGTTTATCAGCCTTCTGGTCAAGGCCAATTCCCTACATAAATTTGGGTTCATACCAGCTGGGCTGGTCCCATGATGACAGAAAGTTCCCATAATGCTGTGAAAGTAATGGCAGTCAGTAAGATGCCAGGAAAGAGGGCCTAGTACAGAGCCTCTCAGATCAAATGGTTTAGAATTTAGCTTCCTACAGATTTGAGCTCTGGCTTTATAAACAAACTGTATCTGAATTATGGGCATAACGACGATAAATTCTGCTGAAATCATGTAAGTTCCATCTAAAAAAATCCAAATGAGGGGATCCCTGGATGGCTCAGTGGTTTAGCGCTGCATTTGGCCCAGGGCCTGATCCTGGAGACCCGGGATCAAGTCCCACATTGGGTTCCCTGCATGGAGCCTGCTTCTCCCTCTGCCTGCGTCTCTCTCTCTCTCTTTCTCTCTCTCTCTCTCTCTCTCTGTGTCTATCATGAATAAATAAAACCTTTAAAAAATAATAAAAGACATCCAAATGAAAAAAGGAAATCTTGTTTCCCCAGATGGCTTAGAATGACATCCAATGCTTACTGTTTCTGATATTAAATTTTTTTCTGCAATCTTTTCTGTAACTGAAGATTATACATGTGACTGCAAAAGATACTCCAACTATCAGCTTTTACTCAGTGTAATAGATCCTGAAATCCCAACACTCTGTAAGGTTACCTTACCTAGAAGTGAAAAGTAGCTAGCTTCTTTTGACACAGCCTCCACTGTTAATACAGCTGATCAAGGTTTAGACACCTGAAATGTGTTTATAATCAACAAAATAGCTAAAGTCTAAAACTGTTTATCAAGATACAGAAAATAGTTATTAATTTTTAAAACACAGTACTTAAAATGTAGACATGGGCCCTATTCATCAACAATTATTAAAAGCCTAAAAGTTATTTTGGTAAACAACAGAGAAAAGTCACAAAGAACTGCAGTGGCAAAAATTTATTTTACTTACCTGAAGATATAGCTCATATAATCTGGATTCCAGATATAGGGCGCGTGGATTTGAAAACTTAGAGAAAACTTGCAAATGAGCAATTAACTGCCTAAAAAACAAAAACCAAAAACCATAGGGTAATACAGAATTAAAGAAAAGAGATTTTCTTTTTTGGGGGGGGGTGGAGAGAACACAGATGTTGGGGGTAGAGGGTGGTGAGCAGAGGGAGAGGGAGATGGAGAATCCCAAGCAGGCTCCACTCCTAGCATGGAGCCCAACATGGGGCTCGCTCTCATGACCCTATGATTATGACCTGAGCCAAAATCAACAGCTGGACACTGAACCAGCTGAGCCACTCAGGCACCCTCAGAGATTTTCTTAAGATGATAGTACCCACCAATTTTAGTCTCTCTGACAAGTATGCCAAATGCCCTGACTATAGTTTCACTGTTAGTTAAACAAACAAGTTTTAATTATTTGCATTTAGGAACTTATTCTCCAGAAATTCTAAATCTTAGGCAGGACTTCCCCTGAAATCCAGGCTTCCCTACCCCAGAGAATCATTCAGGATGTGCTTAGAATGGTTTAAATTAAACCAGACACAGGAAGAAAGTAATCAAAACAGCGATATATTGCAAAGCTGAACACAGATAATTTTTGGAATGATTCCTTTTCTAGGTTCTATGCAGCAGAAAGGAAGATTGGTAAGGTACATTCTTCCTCATTTTCATATGACATAAACACTGATGTCAGGAGCCAGAGGTCCATATGTAGATAACCATAGCTCCTGCTTAAATCAAAAAGGAAGATGAAAGAACAACATTCGGTGGTCAAAAGTTAAACACGGAGATGAGACAGCAAGCCAATTACATCACCCACTGAAAGAGGTCGAGAAGAGAGCTTCTACAACAGCTACTCACTCGACTTCTTAATCCACAGGCTCCAGGAAGCTTTAAAAACATTTGGGAAACAAACTGTTTTATCTCTACATATAATTGATAAGAAGTATTAAGGCTTAAAAAAAAACAAACAAACCCTGAATGAATAAACAGTCACAATTTGGGGGGATTTTATTTGCCTATCTCAAGAACAAAAGTGGGGAGAAGTGAGGAGACAGAAAAAACAAGCTGTATGTGTGGTACTGACTCAGGGGGATGGGACTGAGTGCTTCAGAGCCTCATCTTCCTCATCTGGAAAAAGACAAGACCCCCTGGACTTTGTGCAAAGACTGAACAACAACAACAAAAAGAGTTGTGGGGCCTCTGCTCCACAAAATAAATTGCTCCTGGGCAAAAAAATGCAAAACTGTAAAAGTCCTACTGGTTAAAACAGACAAAATAACTTGGCCATTATGACCTTCTTATATATGATAGAGAAATATGGTAGCACTTTTGCTTATATTTAGCTTATGTGCCAACCTGTCTACATTATGTGTTTGGTTTTGTTATCAAACACTAATTTATGTGTTGCAATCAAAGTATTTTGTAGATGTTCACATTTATAATCAGCTGACTTTAAAGGGGATTGCCCTCAATAATGTGCACTGGCCTCATCCATGAAGCCCTAAGCGCAAAACCGGGGGTCTCCCAGAAAGATGGAATTCTACCACAAGACCAGGACACAGAAATCCTACTCTGTGAATTTTGAATTCAAGGCTACAATAAAATCCTGCCTAATTTTCCAGCCTGCTGTCTTGCCCTACAAACTGTGCACCTACTAGGTGCCATAATCGTTGTGAGCCAACTCCTTAAAATAAACCTGTTTAGTCATACATATGTACACCCTCATCGTATCGGTCTGCTTCTCTGGAGAGCTCTTATATAATTATCACCAAGCCCTTGCAGTTTTACAAAGTAACTTAAAATTTTCTTTTGAAACATCCATTCTTTTCCAACATTTATTATTATTATTTTTATGAGCTATGTAGCCTTCAAGACCCAGAGAGGGGCGCCTGGGTAGCTCTGTCAGTTAAGCATCCGACTCATAGCTCACTCAGCTAAGATCTTGATCTCACGGTCGTGAGTTCAAGCCCTGTGTAGGGCTCCATGCCCAGGGTGGGGCCTACTTAACAACAAAATAAAAAAAAGAGTCAAAGAGAACAGAAGCCAATTTACATGTTTTCAATAAATACTCATCATCAAGGAGCATGTTCTGTGAAGGATTATGAATGTATTGAGGGGGCACTAGGAATGTGATTACCCATTTACTCACACTTTCAATGGTGTATGTTAGCAGTATTCTAATTTTGGCTACGGGGGGGCAGAAAAATTAAGATGTGGACCTTATCTTTGGACTTTCTGATTTACCCGGCAAATCTGTAAAAAAGTAACTAACATCCAAGGTAAGGAGAAGCACCATGCTAGAGGTATGGACACCTGTTCTGACAGTCTGAAGCTGAGTTACTTGAACCTGCAGTCTAGAAGACAGGAGAAACGTTGGTGAGGTAGCGCAGGAACTGTTTCTGGAAGTAGGAGCAGAATTTCAGTCGGCAGAAATGAGGCAGGGCCACAGAAGGAGGGGAGGACACAGCAAAGGTCCAGGGGTGAGAAAGGAAGAGACATGACTGGTTAAATAGCTTATTCAATTATTCAGCAAAGAAAGATGAGGACTAATCTTCTGCTAGCTATCTGCGAACATGAAGCAGAAAACAGCAATCTTTCTCTGAAAGGAAGTAGCAGGGGACAGTTCGTTCGCTCAGGGTTCTGTCAGGTAGAAACAGGACGGAGCTACAGCATGAGGAAGCGTGGCCATGCTCCTTCATGCCCCACGTGCTTTGCACACTGCTTCTACGAGCTGTCAGGGGCCTTCCCTGCCCAGCTGCCCTTTGCCTTTCAGCCTCAATGGGGCCCTCCCCTTGGTAACAGTCTTCTCGTTGTGGTGGAGTTAAGTCATCTTTTAGTATGCTCCTAGAACTCCTCGGTGTTTTGGTTGTTTCTCTATTTGTCCTCTCCTAGAACTCCTTTAAAAACACTTCTTCTATAAAAATATTCAACCAGGCGTTAGACTGTGCTTCCTGTATAGCAGGGGCTAAGTAAGTACCCTTCATCTTTGTAGCCCAATACTTAGCAAAAGGCACCCAATACAGCTGCTGAATGGATGGACCAATAAGTGGCTCGCGGGAAGACTGGACAGGTAGGTGTATCAGATTGAGATCTAAAGTGTCAAAATAACACAGTAGCACGGATACACGGGTCCTTGTTGCCCTTAATTCAGTCTTCAAGGAAGCTGCAGTAACTTTTGAAAGCCTGATCACTCCTACTTTCTCTAAGGCTTCTTAACAACTTAGGTAAATGAACAACCCAGAGAATAGGAAAGAGAATGTAAAAACATGGAAACAAAAAAGGCAACCAGACATAAGTCAAACGGCAAGGTAAAAGTGCTGATGCATTTGTTTTAAGAGAAGGGATATTCCATTACGTGTTCCCCTAGAACACAACCTTAACACATGGTGCCATGAAAGTGATGGGCAAAGGCCAAAGAGCATTCAATAATTCCAGGCCCAATGCTCTCTTTGTAAAGAGAACTTATGATGAGAGAATCCTAAAAGTCCCAACTCTAAGAGTCTGAGACCAAATAAAAAACAAGTAACAACAAGCAAGCAACCAAACAGCTCTGAAGGTAGGATGTTTTCTTTGGGCTATAAAACAAAATCCCAGGGGGATGCAGCACTTCAGTAACTATCTGAAGCCTTGTCCAAGGCCTTGTCACACATAGGCCATCAGAGGTCTCCCCATTTCTCCTAGGGCCCTGTATCTGTGCGCTTTCAGCAACACTGAATTTACTTTGCTGCAGCTCTTCTGGTCTTTTTCTTCTGTGAGGGTTCATCTACGGGCACCGTCTCCTCCTCCAGCTCTTCATCATCTCCAGCAGCAGGTTCCTCTTCTATTTCCTCTGCTGCCACCCCCTTGGCTTTCCTTCGCAGATCCTGGGTCGGAGCGACTTGCAGGTCTGCTGGGTAATACTCATTGCTACAGTGAAAAGAGATGAAGGTGAAATGTCCTCATTTTGTTTATGACAGATGTGTGACCATGGTTCATAGTGTCACACGCCTAAAAGTCATCAATGGCACCTTAGCCAAGCCTCATCACATTCTTTTTTATTCAGCCCAGCTTAAGTACCCTACTTGACAAATCTATTGCTAACTGCAGTTATGCTTTTAAAATCCCCTGTTACACTGCCATGAAAAAAGTCCCTTTTGGACTGAATTGAAATCAGTCTCCCTGTTTCTGGAACCATAATTGGAGGAGGGTGGGTGTAGGACTGGATTATGTTAAATAATTAAAGCATAGCATTAAGACCATGCTGGTCACTCTGCACCAGACGCTTTCTACTTTGCCAGTGTTCTTTTGCAAATACAGTGCCACAACAGAATTCCGTCCTCTGGACGTGGTCTGCTAAGACAGACGGTCAACTCCTTGGCTATGGGGACAGTCATGACATAACACAGACTCAAACTGGATGTCCAGGCAATGAAAATCAGTCAGTCTTTATCTTTTGTCTCTTTAAACTAAGCTTGTATACTTGGTGTTCACATTTATTTCATGACATTCCATCCCTTTGTGACCCACTATTCTAAGGAACTACTATCATCTTGAAGGCTGTCACAGAGTGCATTGGTTTTGTGTTCCTTTCATTCATTCATCCAACAGTTATTCATTTGTTGTCTGTTTTGTGCATGGCACTGGGCTATGGATATAAGGAAACTGATCAGATGGACTTTAAAGTCTGCATTCAAAAACATACTGGTGAAACATGTTTGCGGATAGCACCCTACCAACCTGGAAGTAACCCCAGGTTAATAATGTTAAACTTCTGGTAAATATACTAAACTGCACCTGGAGAGCTGGGAAGCTACACCTCATTCACCTTCGTATTCTCACCCAGCATGGTCTAGTGCTTAACACATAAAAAATGGATGAATGAATAAAATGAGCAAAGTTGCTGTGTCAGTTACCAACCATACCATCATCCATTTAATGACATCCCTGCTGTATTCTCAACACTCAGTTAACCATATAGGACATATTTGTTTAAACCTTTTCTCCATGCTCAGCATGTTCCCTCATGTTTATTAAGTAAGATAACTCAGAGCATTTACAAGCATGCTCCCAATACGCAGCGAGTACTCCTTTAATGTCACCTATTTCACAGTATTGTTGCCATTGTTGGTCATTCCAGCTTCTGGTTTGCTCCTCTCAAAGAATGCTTACAACAGATTCACGAACTAGTTCTAATATTGAATTGTTTGAAACATATTTAGAAATGCAAACTTCTAGTCAAAAAATAAAAAATAAAATAAAAAGCCTAAAATATATTTTGAAGATGGAATTAAAGGTGATATTTAAGTTTTCCATTAGCTTGGATCATCTATAAAAGTATTTGCTACAGGTAATCATTGCCAACTAATTTTAAATATCTTTAAAAATTGTAGATCTTTAGTTTCTAAGTCTTCTTAAATGCAGAAACCACTTCTTTTTACAGGCTCCTTTCCCCATCTCCAGTAATCCATTTGTAACCTACTTCTTTTTTTAGGGAAAAATTTGGAAACTCAACATAGTGAGAAACTGATTTCCTATTAACACCGTTAGTCCTAGCTTGCATATGTATAGCTCTTTGAAATTCACAAAACAACTGATACATTATTTTGCCTTCAAAACAAGGCAAGGAAACTAAATATCACTGTCTTCATTCTATAAATACAATTAAAGCCTGAAGAGTTACGTGAAAAAAATCACTACTCTTCTACCACAGTATCGACTGACCTGTCTGAATCTTTGCTGCAATGAATTAGTCACATAAACTTTTCTACTTATGCATTGGATCCTATCTTCTTTTAACTATTCAAAGACAGGACTCCAACAATTTTATTCCCTTTCTTGCATTATGAATTTTCCCTCCCTTCTGGATCATTCATACCAGCATGATACAGATTTATGCTGCTTAAATCTTAAATAGCAACCTAGCAACAGCAGCTCTCTCTGCTCTCACATCTCCCTCCACCTGTCTGCTTCCTTTTTTACAAGAAGTGTCCATACTTGCTGTTTTTGTTTTTCATTTCCTTTTAAGCTCATTTTAATCAAGCTTTATCCCCTACCCAGTTAACCAAAACAACTCTTGTTAAGGTTACTTCTAAAGTCAATGGTCAAGTCTTATACTTCATCTGACTGATGTCTCAGATACGTCTGATCCAAGTCATTACTCCCTTTTGAAATACTTTTTTAACTTAGCTCCTGGGATACTACGAGGTCTTGGTTCTTCCTCTGTCACTCTGTCCTGGCTTCCTTTCCTGGTTCCTTATCTCCAATCTCTAAATATCATTATTAGTCCTTGGAAGTCTTCCCTCTCTACATTTGCATTTAGGCATGGCCTCATTCCCCATCTCCTAATTTAAGAAATCATCTGTATACGAACGATTTTCCAATTTATAATCTTTAGGCCAATATTCCCCTTGAGTCTATACTCCAAATCCAACTGTCTACCTATTACCCCTACTTAGATGTCTATTCAGTATCCCAAACTGAACACGTCTAAAAATGAACTATCTTCCCTCACAAATCTGCGAATCTCTGCAATCCTCCCAATCTCAGTAAATGGTGACTCTTCGTCCAGTCGCTCAGATCAAAACCTTAGGGACATCCCCAGTTGCTCCTTTTCACCTTCCTCTACCACTCCCCAGCGCCCCCCCCCCCCACCCAAGACCCAGACATCTAATCTGTTGGCTGACCAAACCCCACAGAGGCTGATCTGGTTGCAATCCTTCAAAAAGATTTTTTACTGAGTTGAAATCCAAGAATATCCAGAATTTAACCACCTCTCATCAGTTGCACTATGTACAAGGTATAATTAGTACCTAGTACCTTGGTACCTTGGTCAAGTAACCATCATTTCTTGCCTGGAATTTTATAATCTCTGAAACCGGTCGGTCTCTCCACTTTGGCCCACCTACAGTCTATTCTCAACATGACAGCTAGAAAAATCCTCAGGAAAATTTAAGTCATGTCCTGACTCTGTTGAAATCTTCTAATGGCTTTCCATTTCACTAACAGAAAAAAACAAAGTCCCTTACTATTACTTAAAGACCTCACACATTTGTCCTGTAAGTTTTTGCCCTCATCTTCAACTACTTTCTCCAAGGGTCACTGCTGCAGCCACTCAAACCTCCTGGCTGTTCCTCAAACAAACCAAGCATGCTGTGGTTTGTAGCCTGCTTACTACACCAAGAATATTTTCCATATGATGAAACACTAATGGAAAATATGTATTTTTACTGAATAATTAGTACTGCTCTGTACAATACATCCCTTATCTTTAGAGCTTTAAAGCAATCCAACTCTCACACAACCTATCTAGTCAAAACAAAACAATGCTCCAGAAAGTTCTTGTTATCCTTTGAGAATACATTCCATCAGCATCCTGGGAAACATTGGGAGGCTCACAAAAGAGTGGCAGGGGTTGTGTTACTGGAAAGTACTTTAAAGCCTCAGGCAGGCAATAAAATGACAAACAACAGGGCAAGAAATAACAAGGGCTTTGTACATTGATCTAATATGATGGCCTTTTTTGTTTTGTAACCTGGAATTTTTAGATTTTTAAATTTAACCTAGAATTTTTATTAACACCATTTATAGGCTGGTAAAATCCTGACTCATATAAAATCAAGTGGTGAATAAAACCAGTTGTTCTCTGAGACAGCCAGTGCTTTATAGAGGTGTCGATGATCTGAAAACGTGACGGACATATAAAAACACTGAGGCTACTTGAGAGCTTAAGACTTTGCATCTTCTCTTCCTCACACCCTACCAGGACGTTCCTAGAAAGGAAGACTTACTTGATAAATCTCAAGAAAAGTGGGGAGAGCTCCCTGGACCGTGGCTCTATCCTCTCTGGGAATTTTGCCAGAGCTCGCCAGAGCAAAAATCGAAAGTTGGTGTGGTCCAATCTTTCCTGACAGTCAGTTTTCGACACTAACTGCTCATGATAAAGAGCTCCAACATCTCCTTCCTGAGTCTGCTCCCAACTTTCATCTCCAATGGACTTCTCATCTCTGACATCATTTTGTAGCTCCTTCTCTGCAAGGAAAAGGTCAGAACCGTTAAGAGAACTGTAAACATTTGTCCTATGTGTTTCTTTAAATGGGGGCATTTCTTTCTCTAGTAATATGAGGAAACAATAAACTATATCCAAAGATCAAAATAATAAATTTCTCATGTTTCTCCATTCATGTGCAATTAAGCAGGAAAAAATTAAACAATCTCTTTTCTTCCCAGTCCCCCCCTCCACTTCTGCTTACATACCAGCATGTACAGCTGCTTTTTCTAGATGTTCATAGTAGACCTTCCAAAATTGTTTATTTTCCATTTCATGTGCATGAGAACTAAGAGAAAAGATCACAAAACAAAGTATGTGGAATAATCCTTTTTAAAAGATCTCTTGCAGGAAAAAAAAAAAAAAGGTGAAAAGATATAACTAAAATTTAATTAGGTTATCCCCAAATATGGGGCTTAAAAATTTTGTACTTCTTTATATTTTTTAAAATGCCTGAACTGAGCAGGAATTATTATTACTACTATTATGATTATTGAGTATAGTTGACACACACTATTAGTTTTAGGTGTACAACTTAATGATTTGACAAATTTATTACATTGTACTATGCTCACCACGTGTGTAGCTACCATCCGCCCCATTGCATTGCTATTACAATGTCGCTGACTATATTCCTTAAACTCTGTCTTTTATTCTCATGACTCACTCCATAACTGGAAGCTTGTATCTCCCACTCCCCTTCCCATTCTGCCCAACCCCTTCACCTCTTCCCCTCTGGGAACCATCAGTTTGTTCTTTGTACTTGTAGGTCTGATTCTGCTTTTAGTTTTTTTTTTTTTTTAAGATTCCATTCATAAGTGGAATCACATGATACTTGTCTTTCTCAGTATGACTTATTTCACTTAGCATGATATCCTCTAGGTCCACCCATGTTGTTTCAAACGGCCTGATCTCACCCTTTTCTATGGCTGCATAATATTCCGTAGTATACCACACCACATCTTTCTTATCCATTCATTTATTGATGGACATTTATGTTGCTTCCATATCTTAGCTATTATAAACAATGCTGCAGTAAACATATGTCTTTTCGAATTAGTGTTTTTGTTCTTTGGTAAATACCCAGTAGTTGAATTACTGAATCATGTGGTATTTTTATTTTTAATTTTTTGAAGAGGTATTATTTTTAGAGTCATAAAATACTAAATAACATTTTTGAAAACCTATAGATCCCTATAAGAACACTTTTAAAGGTACAATAATAGGAACAGAGCATCAAGTATGAAGCATGGCACATTAAAGTAAGGAGGGAACTGGAGAGAGAACTTAGTTTGTTCAAAACTAATGTTAAATATTGGTTTTTCTTCACCGAATTAATATACTTATCATTAACAAAAAGGCAAAATAAATAATTACATGAAGCATCTTTCAGAATTTGAAGCAATGAATCACTTAAGTGTTTATATAATCTGGTATCATAGTCTCAAAATGTTTATAATCTTTCTGCCATTAATTTTGTAAGAATACTTTTTTTTTTCCTGTTCCTAATATCTTACTGGTCACCTCTAGCCCTGTGCCTGACCAGACAGGCTCCAGAGAGAGGATTAACAATTACCAGGACCCAGATGGAGCATGAGAAGGCCTTAGCCTAGCTCTTGGGGATCACTGACTATGGAGTTTGAAGGAGCAGGTCTGGCCCCTCCCGATCAACACAAGGCACCAAACCAGGGACACAGGTTAAGGACCAAGAACCTTCTTTTTCACATTTGGAGATTGGATATCATCTTTAATAGTAATCCCCCAGCTCAACACTCTTTTTACTGCCATAGCAGGTTGTGATTAAGTGTGTGTGTGTTGAGTGTGTGTCTGTGTTCCCGGACAGATGAGGGGCCAGTAGAGACTCTCAAGCAGGTCTCAGCCAATAGGTCTACTGAGGAGCAGCTGGAAGACAGTCTCTATAGAGACACAGGCTGGATTCCTGCCTCCCTTTTCCCTGAGCTGCTTTTCATGCATTCTGAGCCCCATGCCAGCCCAGATTAAAGGGCTTCTTAGTAAAGATCAGTCTCCAGTTCCCAGGCGTCACTTCTCTGACCACAGGGATGTCCCTGGGCAAAGTACAGACTGCTAGGCAAAGGTGGATAACCATTATACAAGACATGAACTATGTATGTTGTTGACTATACGTGACAAGTAAATGTACTTAACTATACATGACAGATAGATGTACCCAGCAAGAGGACAGCCTACCAGCAATGGAGAACCATTAAAGGCATTCAATAACTGAGAAACCAACATTTTTGATAATGGGCTATTAGAAACACATATATCAGATTCTTCCCCCTAAGCACAATAAACAAAATTATGAAGTTGATGTTAGAAGGCCTTGTCGTCATCATAATGGTCTAATGGTTCTAAAGGGCAGTAAAAAGCAGACAAATTAGTTCCAAATAGGAAAGAGATTGGTTTATTCTACTTCTGTCAGATAAAAACTGATGGTTAGGGTTTTGAGAGGTCACCCATATTTCTAATCTGACAAAAAGCCAGATCAGACCATCTGAAGGCAAATACCTGCAAAAGGACAGACTACATATAAGGCATAATATATGTATTTTCTATGTGATTATTAAGGTCCTTTTTAGAGCTATAAGGGAATTTTGGACACTGGACAACTAGGATTTTAAAAAGTCCTTATTTTTATTTTTTTAATTTATTTATTTTGTTTATTTAAAGATTTTATTTATTTATTCATAGAAACACAGAGAGAGAGAGAGGCAGAGACACAGGCAGAGGGAGAAGCAGGCTCCATCCAGGGAGCCCGACGTGGGACTCGATCCTGGGTCTCCAAGGATCATGCCCCAGGCCGAAGGTGGCGCTAAACTGCTAAGCCCCTGGGACTGCCCAAAAAGTCCTTATTTTTAAACTAAAGTTTGGCTCACTCACTATATAATAAAATTTTGCAATTATTACACAATATCCTGTTACTCTAAAAAATAATTCAGCAATAAAAAATGTTTCATAAAAAGTAAAAAGACAAAGTCCTCCAAAGTTATTTCGAAGCACAAAGAAACATACACAGAACAGTCAAACTGTTGAAAAACTTGGTATTAGAGAGTTAAGTGATGTTTACTTTTTCTTCACTTTGTCCAAAGGACTGGAGCTACAGATACTATACCTACCCATTCATTTAAATCACACCTAGATGGAGTATAATACTGGCCTGATCATTCTACAGTAGTTAAAACATAATAGCGTCATCATTGTAACCCACGTTTACCTTATTAGTTCAATAACAGGATCCCAGAGGGCACTGAAGTTAACATACAACATTCCTAATAAATAACGAAGTGGCACCTGCAATTATAGGAGACTAGTTTAGTAAATGGGTAATAAAGCAGAATAGAAGGCGTGAAGATACAAATATCCCAACTCAAGACAACTGGAGGTTGGAAAGAAGCCTGTGCTTTAAAGGAAAAAGCTGTAGGTACCACTCCAAACTTCAGTATATAATAATTTTCCAACTCTACCCCAAACGTCACTCGCTATTTAACAGAGAAGAATCCCTAAAGCAAACGTACTCAACACTTGCTCCAGATGTTCACAAAAGATGTAGAATTTGAAAAGACTTGTGATTAAATTCCCACCTAACAAACACGTTCTTCCTGTCCCCTTGTAAGACAAAACCTAAAGGGTAAGCAGTAAGGCACAGATCCCCAAGAACCCAAGATAGTACACTGTGAATGGCAGCTAGGGTTTTACAAGCAGATGGCTGAGTTTTCAAACTCTGCATTACAGGCATTCAGTTCCAAAGGTCTAAAGTTTTCTCAGTTGCCTTGAGAACAATTGTCATTACTCACATCCCCATGTGCTAGGGAGGCATTATACACAATGGTAGCTCTATTATAATTGGGGGCGAGGTGTTTGTGACAATTTTAGCAGCAGAGCCCTTTTTCCAAACGAAACGTAGCAAAGGATGGTAATATATAAAACAGGTTAAGGGCGGAACTGCTCTGATCTAAAGGGAATTCCTCTACTTGGCCTTCCTCCCAAAGGCATCTCTGATCCACATTCAACGGTCATGGATGAAAAATACCATACAAAAGGTAGGTGTGCCTGACATCCTGCGGTAGTGAACAGACCTGGAGAAGAGCATCAGGTTTTAAGCCTGATGTTGAATGCTCCTGTTGCCATTTACTTCCTCCCTTCACGTATTATGCACATACTCAGGAGAATGGAGGAGGGTAAATTATTTCCACTGTTGAATAGGCTGGCAGAGCCATTTAATTCAAAGCATCTAAAAAAAACTGTGGAGATTTACGTAGCTTAAAAATTTTTAACTACTTGGTATGTTTCTCTTTTCAAAAGCCAGCAAAACAGATCATAAAGCATAATTAAGTTCAAAAAACATGGACACTTTTTTATACCTCCTGCAATGGCCCATCAGGGACTGTTGCCTGCACCACATCATGTCTTAGTTTTCTCAAGTGAAGAAGTTTCTCTCTGTAATCACTCACAGTTGCTGGAACGAGTTCTGCCTGGCGTAACACAGCAAAGGCAGACTGACGCTCTGAAAGCCCATCATCCTGAGTGAATGGAGAAAACCAAGGAGGCAGGTCAGTACTTTGATTTCCAAAAAAGACCATGAAATGGAGCCAAAGTTCTAAAAAAAGAAAAACTGGGATATGTTAATGTTTGAAATTAAATAAGCAACACTTTTTTGAGTAAATGATTAATTTTTCCTCATATCATTTGTTTTTCAAGAGATAATTTAAGATTAATGTTTAGCACAGAAATGACAAGTAAAAAATGGAAAACTAATTCTCAAAATGACTCAAATTGATTGGCCACATTTGTTGAAATAAAAATGTGTATATATACTTCCACTCTACAGTTCTGCTTTTAGAAGTAGTAATCTGCATTATGGGAATATTTCCCTATTCAAATACATCAGCATAAGGATGTTCACTACCCTTTTATTGGAAATGCCGAAAAACTACAAACAACCCACGTTAGAATCCGTCAGCAGAGAACTGGTTATGCAAGATATCTTCAACTGTGGTATAATGTTGAAGCTTCAGAAGAAATGAAGTAAGCCTACAGGTACTGATACGGAAAAACCTCCATGAGGCCATTTGTTTGAATTATACATGTGGATACAAAAAATCTGAAAGAATATTCACCAATTACCAGTGAATTTTCAGTGTGGGCAGAAGTAAAAATTACAACAAAGAATTTCAGTTTTTAAGACAGACATTTGTACAACAGTGTTTGAATTTTCTGCACAAATGTCCTTTTGGAAATAAAAAAAACTGAGTAATGTTTTTAACAAGTTATCCAAATTAACAGTGAAAATACCTCCATCATTTCTGGAAGTCGAACCTCAAAATGGTTTAGGATCCTTATTGTCAAGAGCCGAATCTAGACAAGGTAAAAGGCATGTTTCAAATTCCGAAGTTTACACATAAGAAACTGATTTATAGACAGTGAGATTCCATGTTATATAGGACTAAGGAAAATAAACCACTTGTCAGAGAAATACATGTTATTCTATCCCTTATTTCATATTGGACACCAACCAAGACCTCATTCAAATAGTACATGGATCAGTTTAATGACCAGACTAGACTGAGAAGATAAAGTTTCCCAGAGAAGCACGTTTTCCTTTCAACTATGACACTATGAGCATCTCTGTAAATGAGTACAAAGAATCTCAATAAATTTACAATCCTGTTGCAATTAGTGATTTTTATTTGTATGTAATGTATTTGGGTATTTATGTACACTTGACCAAACAGCAGAATCACATAGGGGGCTTTAAAAAACTATGCAGATTTTTCTGTTTCAGCCCTACTGAGTCAGAATTCTGGCCTATGAGGATCTAGAATTTATATTTGTATTTAGCTTCCCAATTAATCCTGCTACGATCAGCTTGTAGGTCAGTGTTCACGAATCACTGTTTTAAACAGAAATCACCCCACAGCAGCATTTTCTGAGTAAGGGGCTCTGATAATGATGGGCAATACATACATATCAAAAGATGAGAGACCGAGAACATGTCACAAAACACCATTACCTTGGATAGACCAGTTGAAATGTTTGCTTGTAACTTGGGAAATAATTCCATTAAGGCTTCCTCAGAAAGTGGCCCTTTGCAGCCACATAATGATAACCTCTGATAATAGAGATCAGCTAACAGCAACACAGATGGCTCCAAGGGAAATGTTCTGCAACAAGATATTTATTAGACCCAACCCGCACCATACAGCCGACTATTTAGACTATAACAAAAACCACAGAAAATCATCACTGGTGAAGGGAATGTACAAGGGACCAGGTTAAAGCTTTATGTAGACATCTAGCATCATTTTAGAATCTGAGGCCTTGCAACAATGAGTGATGTGCTCAAGGACATACAGCTTAAGCAGAAGCATTCACATATATCCTATCTCTGTGGGAACTGCAGGGGGATGTCTCCTCAGAGGAAGAACACAGAAGCTGTGGCACCTGCCATAAGCTAACACGCTCCATTCGTAAGTCATTCTTATCATGACATACTTCAATGATTTGAGATGGCTGAGGTGGCCTCACACACACCAAGAAAACAGCTCATCCCCGCGGCTCAGAATCATAGTTTTGACTACATGCAAGGACTGTGCCTGCTGGAAGTTGGCTTGGTGTTGCAATCAAGAGAAAAGTTCCACAGTGGCTCCTTGCTGCGCAGCCCCTCCAGTGGCGACGCTCAGGTCTTCCGGGACAGCAACGCAGGGAGCCTCAGATCCCAGATCCCCCGATTTACTTCCTTCATGCTTCTGCGTTTCTGCTCAAATGTCTCCTTCTTGGTGAGGCCTTCCCTATTTGAAAGTGTCCTTGTCTCTAGCCCTTCAGACTCTCCCTATCTCGCCTCTGCTTTAATTTTCTTACCACAGTCTAATGTGCTATACAGTGTATGTATTATTTTGCTCGGTATTTCTTCTTGCTACAACAGCAACTCCATGAAGGCAGAGTACTGTGTGTGTCTCACTCACTGAACATGTCTCCCAGTGCCACGGCCTGGTACATGAGAAAAGCGAGTGAATATTTACTGAATGAAGGAAATGAATAAACCTGTTTTTAAATGCATAAAATGGATTAGAGTCTAGAAAAAGAAGTCAACTACTTTACCAGGTTTTACTTTTAGAAAGGGTACTGGGCTGAGTAGAAAACAGCTCCCCAGTAACAGCCCAGGGCTACTACCAAAGTCGGGAACAGGCTGACATCAACTTGCACACAAACAATGCACTGGGCTGTGTTTGTATGCAGTAAAAGGACCACAGGAAAGTATTCTAAAACGGTGAACGTGTGGAGATGAGACTGAGTGTAGTAGAAATATGTATGCTGGAAGTACTCGGGAAGTTACAGAAGGTCAACATGGGAAGATGGTAGGGTTGGGGACAATCTACAACACTAGTTTACACACATGGTAAAATACCTCTCCACAGAGATGGATCTGCATTTAAAGACCATGTAAAGGATGGACTTATTTTAAGGATTCAGATCAATAACAAATTTCTAATACGAACACAACTAAGATATAAAGTAGATCAAACCAAGGACTTTCATTATGCCCAAGTTTTCACAAGAACAGAAGCTTTTATATTTTATTTGTGAGTAAGATAAACTGGGGGTGTATTTACTTACATTACTAAATTCTTCACGCGTTCCACAGGAACCAAATGAAGGAGTTCAGAAGATTCTTCTAAACTTAGCAGAGTATTTACAGCTTGACAAAGAACAAATAAGTTTCCTGAGGGCAGAAAAACAGGACTAACCATATAACTCATTCCTTTGACAGATTAACTACTAGACATCTCATTTATCTAATACTTGCTATTTATAGAGGTTGTTAAAGTGAATTTGTGCCTTCTAAAGAATCATCTGTCCAATATTCAGAATGTAACAAGAAGGAACTGAAAAGACAAGGTTTCCAAGTCATGTATTTTAGCTTTTTTAAGAAAAAAATATTCAAAAACAAAGAATACATGTTCATTAAGATGAGGAGGAAGTTCGATGGTCCCACACAATGGCATTACCCAAACTAGAAGTTTTAAGGAGATGCACTTGTACTTTTCAAAAGCTAATAAATTATTTTCCTTTAATTCAACATTCATTTATTCCTAGACCAGAGGCTGGCAAACTTTGGTCCACAAGTCAGACTTTTTGTAGCCTTTTTTCTATATGGCCCACAAGCTAAGAATGCTTTTTACATTTTTAAAGGGATGTTTGAAACAATAACCAAACAATAAAGAATATGCCACAGGGACTGAATATGAAAACCTAAAATATTTACTCTCTGGTCCTTTACATAAAAACTTTGCCAACCCCTGCTCCAGAGACGAGGAAAGTGCTATCCAATACAGCTTTCTCCAACGACAGCAGTGTTCTGTACTTGTGCCAATACGCAGCTGCAGTCCAAGCCACATGTGGCTATTGAGCACTTGAACTTGTGCTGAGTCTGCTGTGTCTGCTTAGTATCTAACAGAGAACCTAGCACAGTAAATAAATGAACTGCTATACATGATGTTCAAAAAGAAATAACTGCGCTAGGATGAAACAAAATACCTACTTTCAAACTGCTGTCCTAGGCTAGTGAGAGGAGATGTTCAAGTCTGTAACTGGGAAGGGTGCTCTGGGCAGGGCAGGCTAATAGTGCCAAGAAAGTCACGTAGGCCTTCCCAGAGGAGGTGTGCTTGAAGTGAGTTTTGAAAGAAAATCAGTAAGAGTTCCTCAATTGACAAAGACCCAGAAAGGATTCCGGCAGAAGAAAGAGTCATGAGGGTAGTCAGAGGGCTGTAAGAGATAGTATCTCACTCAGGGTAAGCAAATGGAAGTGCCTGGAGTCCAAGGTGTATATAGGGATGGCATGCGCGTGGGACATTTCAAGCTGTGGCTTGAAAATGAGGCATCCTGGGTACCGGAGTGTCATACCCTCTGATGCTCCATCTTCAGATTTGGCTTGCCCTCAGGCCGCCCTAACCCAGTCACCCTGTGATGAGGCCCAAGCGCAGCACCTCCAACCTTACTGTCTTTCTTCTGGATTTACCATAAAGGGGGTGTGTGTCAGAGCACAGTGTGAGCCCAGTCACTCTGGGTGTGCCAGACAGGAAAGAGAAGAAAACAAACAGAGATTGTAACTGACCTTTTCCAAAGCTGCCTCTGTCAACATTCACGAAGAGTGACTCTATGAAGCAGGTGACTAGTGGTATAACCTTCTCCTTCTCTAGAGGTCTGTACAAGAAGTTGGGAGACAAAGGGAAAAGTTCAAACTGGCATTCAGTGGCTTTGTCAGGGAATGGCAAGGAGTGGCTAACAAATACTTAAATCAGCACACTAAGTGCCTCTTTCAAATCTAACCATAGTTTATTTTCTCACCTAATATGAGGTAACACGACAAGGGCTGCCCAAGACTGTGAGAGGTAAGTAATATCTTTATCTGGGGGTAGCTGAATTATAGACAAGAGGTGGTCCAATACTGGGATCTGTTCTTTTCCTCCCTTGGGTCTAGTCTTCTTCTGCCTTAAATAGGATCTGAAGGAAAAGAAAAACGAATGTTTGAAAGAGGAGACAATATAATCGCTCTTGCCCTCTGAAGTTTGAAATAAACCTGGTTCCTCTCCATGCATGGAACATTTGTCCGGGGGAGGGAAGCAGTGGGTGAACATAAATAACTAAACAAATGGGACTCATTTACTGATTTTCAGTGAGAGGCTTTTTCGATGCCTTTGGTTCTACTTTCTTCTAATTTTCTATTTTAATTTGCTTTGTAACTTAAAGCCAAGTCTCTTCTGGTTTTAGCTGCTATTTCTGAATTTTCTGATTCATTCTGATTCGGTCTTTTCTGTTCACTCTGCTGATGGACATGTTTTTTGAACACTGGAGAGGTAATATGTTGTAATTAACAGACTTCCTCTAGTCCCTCCTTCCTTCTTGACACAAATTTTACTACTTTACAAATGTCACTGAAGTGATTACGATGGAGAAGTAACTTTCTCCACTTCTTAAATCTCATAGATGTTTACTCAATGACATTTTCTGACATGACATTTGGCTTTAGGTATCTGTGACTTTGGCACTATTCTTTGTTTGCCTCTTTTCCTTTTTGCCAATGAACTGCACCTAGGTTCTATTTGAAAGACAGAAATCTAATTGAAAGAAAAGTCACAGAAACAGTACGTAAAATGATTTGTTCTGATTAATTTACCCCCCCATGTCCAGTTTGGTTAGCTTGTGACACATGAGAAGTGGAAGATCAGGTTTCTATTCTTGTGTCTTTGTGATCATGAAAATTAACTTAAAAAGTTCTATTCTTTTTTGTTTCAGACTTACCAAGACACTGAATGTTTGGAAATTACAATTGTTTAGTTAATTTCACTGATAATTTCTGATAGTCATTACACTTTGATATAGTCTTTCTAGTAGTAAAGACTCAACAATCTGCAAAAATCCTACAAGAAAACAGACGCTTTGGGGAAAAAAAAAAAAAAGGTGGGTCATTGCCCTGCTTCATCACACCTGCCAATGAGCTCCTCCAATAAAATCCACACTCTGAATCTCACCTTATAACGCCCCATGTGATCTGATCCTGGCCTGCACCTCATTCTACTTTCCTCCTTGCTCAATGCTCTGTACCCACACAGGCTTTCTTTTTGTTCCTCAAACATACTGGACTTATTCATATCCTAGAACTTTTACACTAAGTCTTCCCTCCACCTGGAAAGCCTTTTGCCTAGATCTTTGCAAGGCTGCATCCTTCCCATCATTACAATTAGTCCAAAAGTTCCTTCCCCCAAGAGGAGTCATGTTGCCTTCCCATTCATTCTCCCTCTCAACACCTTAGTTTTATTTTTCTTTTTATTATTAAAATTATCTTGCTTATTTATCTCACATCCCAAGAATGTCATCGCCTCAAAAACAGGTAAACTCTTATTCATTATTATATCCCAATGCCTAGAACACTGCCTGATATAATTAGCATTTGTCAATTGATAAAATAATCGTATCTTCTAAAGAATCTTTTTCATATCCATTATCTCTTTCTAGTCTCACAACAAATCTGTGAGATAGGTGAATGGAGTATTACTAAGAATTACTGAGAATATTCAGACAAAGATGACCATTCACATATATCCTATCTCTGTGGGAGTTGCAGAGGGATGTTTTCCCAGAGGAAGAACACAGAAGCTGTGCAAATGCCTTAAGATAACATGCCTCCATTTATTTATTTATTCTTATCATGACATACTTCAAGAAGGACCTGAGATGGCTGAGGTGGCCTCACACACGCCAACAAAGCAGCTTCATTTCCACTGCTCAGAAGCCACAGTCTGGGCTGCATGCAAGGAATGTGCCTGTTAGAACCTGGCTTGGTGTTGCAATCAAGATAAAAAAATCCAAGAGAATAATTCTACAGGAGTTACTAATTATTCACTCCTCAGGAATCAAAGCTCAGTAAACTGAAAAACCAACAAGATTCTATTAGCATGTTTTGATACAGAAGCTACTTCTAAGGTCAGTAGAAGAGCAACATGTGAAGAAGAGGAGTTCTTCCAGAATCTCAAGCTGATCCAGAATCATAAAGTAACTCTGCATGTGTGACTGTGGGAACAATAACATCCATCTCAAAGAATACTATGATGCTTGAAAGCTGAGTACTCAGCAAAAACTCAAGGAATGTTCATCTATTCCTACTGCCCCAAAGCACACCACAAATGCAGCAAGTCTAACAAATCCCAGAGGAAAAAAGAAACTTAAGCATAAACATATAGGAATTTGATAAGGGAACTGATTTCCTAACCTGTAACTTCTAAAAACTCAACCACAATTACTGGAAAAATGGTAAGCAGAATCCTCTCACATATTTATATAAGTCTTCTTTTCAACATCTAAGGGTACAATTTATTTTTAATGCAATTAAGAAAGTAATCCATGGCTCTTTTAACAATTCAAACAATGCAAAGGTATATAATCTAAAAGTTAACAGTCACTTCTTTCTTCCCCTTCCCAGCCTCCTAACATAAACAAAGTTAAAAGTTTTGTGTGTCCTTAGGGAGATGCCAATTCTCCCCAAATTGATCTGCAGGTTTAAGGCAATTACAAATAAAATCCTAGCAAGTTTTTTTTGTAGACATAGAGAAGATTCTTCTAAAATTTATATAGAACAGCAAACGACCAGGAATAGCTGAAACAATCCCCACCCCCCACCCCCCCAAAAAAAACAGAATGGGAGGAATGAGGATTTTTATTTTCAGGATTTCAAGACTTACCTTAGAGTTATTGTAGTAAGACAGTATGGTATTAGAGGAAGAGAATACATGGATTGATGGAAGAGAATAGAGAACCCAGAAATAGAGCCACACATACATGCCCAACTGATCTGACAAAGGTGCAGAAGAAGTTCAATGAAGAAGAATAGTCTTTTCAACAAATGTTGCCAGAACAGTGGGCATCCACAGGCAAAAACAAAACTTGACCTGAACCTCACACCTTATATAAAAATTAACTCAAAATGGATCATGGACTTAAATGTAAGACATAAAACTATGAAACTTTTAGAAAAGTAGGAGAAAATATCTAGGACCTACAGCTAGGCAAAGAGTTCTTGGAATTGACATCAAATGGCCTGATCCATTAAAGAACAGTTGGTCAACTGAACCTCATCAAAATCTAAAATGGTGGTCTGTGAAAAATCTTAAGTGAACAAAGACAAGCTATCAACTAAAACAATAAATCTGCAAACCATTTATCTGACAAAAAAACCTTTGTCTAGAATATACGTCTTCTCAGAATTCAACAGTAAAGAAACAATCCAGTTAGAAAACCGGCCAAGGAAATGAATAGATATTTCACTAAAGAGGATATACACATAACATACATATAAACCCAGGAAAAGATGGTCAACATCATTAGCCATTAACAAGATGCAATTTAAAATCAGTGAGGGGATCCCTGGGTGGCTCAGTGGTTTAGCACCTGCCTTTGGCCCGGGGCGTGATCCTGGAGTCCCGGGATCAAGTCCCACGTCGGGCTCCCTGCATGGAGCCTGCTTCTCCTTCTGCCTCTGTCTCTGCCACCCCCCCTCTATGTCTATCATAAATGAATAAATAAAATATTAAAATATTTTAATATTAATATTAAATAATATTTAATATCAATTAATATTATATTATTAATATTATTATAATTATTAATAATTAATAATTATTATATTATTATTAATTATTATTTTAATATTATATTATTATATTATAATATAAATAATATTTAATATTAATTAATATTTTAATATTAATATTAAAATAAAATCACAGTGAGATTTCACTATATCTTATTGGACTGGCAAAAAATAAAGCCAGTGATAATAACAAATGCTGGAGAGGATGCAGAGAAACTTGATCATACACACTGCTGGAGGCATATAAAATGGCATAAACACTCTGGAAAACTGCTGGCAGCTTCTCATCAAACGGAGACGTACTTTTGATGTATAACTTAATTCCACTTTTGGGCATTTATCTCAGAGCAACAAAAAGTTATGTACATGAATGTTTGTAACAGCCTTTTTCATACTAGCCAAAAACTAGAAGTGACCTAAATATCTTTCAACAAGTCCGTCATTACATGGACTATGCTACATCCATGCCACAGGCTGCTACTCCAGAACAAGCACATGAAAAGATGTTCAACAGAGGGATGGACTCTTGATATACACAACCTGGATGGGTCTCAAGGGAACTGCATGACTGAAAGACAATCTCAAAGGTCTACTCTTACATTCTATTTATATAATATTCTTAAAATGACACAATCATAAAAATAGAGAACAGATTAGTAATTGCCAGGGGTTAAGAATGGAGAGTGGAGTGTCTGAGTGACTGTGGCTATCAAAAGGTTGCATAAGAGATCCTTGTGATGATGGAACAGTTCTATATCTTGACTCTGGCAGTGGTTATGAATCTATACGTGATAAAACTGCATAGCACCATACCGCCATATACACACAAACCCAGAGATGAGTGCGTGTAAAATTGATGAAATTTGAAAACTGTCAATTTTATGGTTGTGATATCACAGTTAACTTATGCAAGATGTTACCACTGGGAGAAGCTGGATAAAGACTACACAGGACCTTTCTACACTATTTCTTTCAATAGCATATGAATGTAGTTATTTTAAAATAAAAGATTTAAAAAATTAATAATCATCTCTTTCTTTCACATACCATCCTCCTGACATTAACTAGGTTAACCTGTTTGTGTATCCTTCCACATCTTTTCCTTTAAAAAAAAAAATTTAAAGATTTTATTTATTTATTCATGAGATACACAGAGAAAGAGGCAGAGACATAGGCAGAGGGAGAAGCAGACTCCATGCTGAGAGCCTGATACGGGACTCAATCCCGGGACTCTATGACCATGCCCTGCCCCGAAGGCAGACAGACGCTCAACCGCTGAGCCACCCAGGCATCCCTTCCACATCTTTTCCTTTGCTTATTTACACTTTTTGTTTTAACTCTGAAAAATGAATTCATACTCAACAACCATTCTACAACTTGCTTTTTTCACAGAACAATATATCATGGATACCTTCCCAGTTAATATATAGAGATCCTCATTTTTTACAGTATTCTTGATGCATTATAAAATGGGTAATCCTACTAATATTACAGGGAACAAACACTTAGAACTTACCCCACCGTCTGATGTGAAAAAACCAGAGGGTACTTCTCAATTGCCATTGAGCCAGCAGTGGGAGGTGCTGCTTTGTTCAGAATAAGTTTAGCCAAAACGGCCAGAGCTTCATCTTTGGCAGTAGCCTCATCAGTCAAAAAGCAATTTTCAATATACAAGAGAAAGCTGGGTAGAAAAAGCTAAAAATAAGAAAGGAAATCACATTTATTAACAGATATACATTTCATAACACTAAGGAAGAGAAGATTCTAACACATCCACAGAGGGAAAAAAAGATCAGAAACACAGGATCAGAAATCATAAAGGCATTAGACCTCTCCACAGAAACAATGCAAGCTAGAAGACCATGGAACAATGCGTAAAAAAAACTGAAGGAGAATGACAAAATCTATAATTCTATAACTCATTCTACTAGCAATATGAATAAAGACATTTTCCAAGGTAATAAGTCTCAAATTTTTATTTCTATTCGTCCTTTCTCTAGAACCTCCAGAAAATGTCTATCATCAAAATAAAGAGCAAACTAAAACAAGGGAAAGGTTTGAGAACCAGGAAATAGGAGAAAAGCAAAAGGAAGTCCTGTTATGACATCTGTGCCATGGGTTGAGAAAGCAACCCATTCAGACTTGCACTGCTCCAGGAGAATTGATTCCAGGAAAGGAAAGAAAAACAAAAACTTGAGCTGATAAGTTTTCTGACATGTGAAAAGGATTTTAGAATGCTGCTGACAGACAGACTCATTGACCAGCTATTCAGGGAAAATAGTTTCTAGTTTTTAAAGGATGAGGTAATCTATAACTTCAGGGAAAGTGAAAAAGTATACAAAAAAAAAAAAAGAAAGAAAGAAAGAAAAGAAAAGAAAAGAAAAGAAAAGAAAAGAAAAGAAAGAAAGAAACATAAAATACTCCTTGTTTTTAGAAAGGTTAACTTTATGGTGATTAAGAATCCAACCAAAATTTGTGATGTAACTCTATTGAACGAGAGGTATAAAAGAACCAGAACACATCCACCATAGGAGGAAGTCTACAGAAGAGTACTAGAACTAATGGATCAAGGAAAAGCAGTGCATTAGAAAACATAAAGGAACAGAAAAATATAGACAAAACCCAAGAAGAGATGTGGTTGTTCTCAGTGAGGAAGAAGTTAATAGAAATCAAGTGACTAACTTTGTGCCTCTGACTTTTAAAACTCTATACAAAGGGTACTCTGACAAAAATAAGATGTTTATAAAAAGACCAGAGTGAACAGGAGTGAAGGAGAAGATGTAGTTGGTAAGAAAACCAGAGCAAGGTAAAGGGCTCTCACCAGATAGTACAGAACAGGGCTAGGATATGCATGAAGAACGTTTTTCTTGAAGCAAATCAGAATATATTAATGACTACAGGGAAAATCAGAGAACAGACATAGAGACAGGCTTCAATGAGGTATGCAATGGCTGATCAGTTACAAGAAGTGGCAAATATTTGATGGAAGGGAAGGGAAAGGGATAAAATAAACTCAAGATTTAATGGGAAGAATTTCTACCTCATTACATCAGGTATTTACTCAGTAGCAATGAAGTGCATTAGCAACCTTCCTGCAGTCCAAATGTTTCAGAAACAATTTTCTATGCCTCAAATTCACATGAAAATTCCTTAATGTCTTTTTTCAATTTTACCACATGGTTCTATTAACTTCCTAAAGGATTATTTAAAAATAAGTTGATTATCTAATGTTATTTTAAATGCCTTAGCATCTGGAATAAAGTTTTACTTATAAACTAAAATTGAAACATAACTGCATTAAAAAATATGGACTAAAATATCAAGTACTTACTCTATTCCTCTCAAACAAAAATCATAGCATTTTTAAGCTTATTTTATCATGACAGATTCATAACAAAACAAATTCAAAACCTGAGTTGCTCACCTGCTCAAACTGCTTCATGACAAACATAACTTCAGAAAATTCCAAAATTAAACGTCTTTCAAATCTGCTCTCAAAAGTCTGTAGACCACAGGTAAAAAACAGTAAGTGCACAGAGAATACTTTCCCTATTCGTGAAAATAAAAAACATCCCACACCTTCAAGGTCCTCTAACTTGCAAGCAGGAAGTGGTGGGATGCTTGATACAAGTTAGTAAGAGTCATTGGGAGGCAAAAAGAACTTGATGACTAAATTTGCCACCACACAGAGGGGCACATCAGGGATGAGATACAGGCACTGAACCCTTCTCCTTCAGAAAGCAGCTGGAGTAAGGGAGGGGCAGGCACACTTCAACCAGTTTTCTGTATAAATGCTCTGCCCTTCAGCTGAAAGAACTTATAGACGTTAGGGGCACTGGGTTTTTAGAGATCATGCAGGGCTCTGCCTAAGAGCTGCTTAGTCACTTCACAAAGAGAATTAGGAAAGGGCGAGCAGCACTGTTTTACACCTTTCTCCATACTGCTTACTGCTGCACTGCAGGAACCTAGGAGGAATCTAACTGGTTTTTCTATTTTCAATCCCACTTCCTTATAAGCCATTTTCTAAACTCATCAAAATGCAAATCTTATCAAATCATTATTACCCTGCTTAAAATTTCTCCAGGGCTTTTCAATACTTGCAGGATAAAACTCAACCTAACTTTTCAAAGTCAAGCAGAGCCTCGCTAATACACACACTTCCTTATGTACCCATGTGCTCAGCAGGCATACATTTTCGGACTCCAGGTATATTTAACCCCTTCACTGACTGGCAGATACTATTTAACCTTCAAGGACTATCCCAAATATAAGTCCTTTGAAAAGTATTCTCTGCCCCTCAACCTCACGCAGAATTAATCATTATGCTTCAATATGACATCAATAGATTAATTCAACAGATTATAACAGCTCACTCCCAGGGCCCCACTTCCCTAACAGTCAAAAACCACAGGTACCATAATGTCCATCCTGAATACCTAGTCCATACCCAGCACATGGTAAGTGATACACATTTGTTGAATACTTGCTGAACATTTATTTTATCACACTTTGCTTTGCCTCTTCCTATTACAGTGTGCAACTCACTCCTTAAAAAGATTATAAATTTCCTGAAGGCAGAGCCTTGCTACACTTCATTTGTATTCCCGAGGAAGCTTAGTCAATGCTAAATATCTAATTAACTACTCAATATTTGTTGAAGTAAATTACTTTTTGAATGGTTTCTCTGATAAGGGTCTCTGGCAAGGAAACATTTTCACCCAGGATTAAAGCAGAAATTACAGCCAAGAGGGTTTCCCGGCAAGTTGTAGAAAGATTGGCTATTTGTAACGTCTGAGATAACACCTGTAAAATAAAAGAAGAAATAATGCACACTTAGAATAGCTTTTAATGAACAAACTCAAAGCAAATGAAGTTGGGAACTCACCTTACAAACATCAACAGGTTTGGTTATCTTTGATCCATTCCCATGTTTCACAAGTATCAGATATGTTTCTAACAACCTTCCTATCTGTTCAGAACTTTCCCCACAGTTAGCTGTGGTTACTTTTGTATGTAGATCTAAGAGTGATTCCTGCCAATGAAGAAATTAACAGAAAGAATAACTATAAGATATCAAACTCATCTGTTAACCTAATAATGAAAGTATTGGGTGAAGCAGTTCAAATTTTCACATTCTTTTATTTTGAAAGAAAGACATATTTACCAGGAGTCACTAAGGCTACTACTAATAACTAACATTTTTGAGTGCAAGGCTGTAAAGTGCTTTGTAAGTATTTATTCACAACCCTCATAGCAACCATGATGTATTGAATATTACTAACCCATAGTCTCACCAGATGAAAAAACTGGGGAATAGAGATTTAAGTAACCTTCCCAAGTCAGTGACAAAGCCAAGATTCAAAGGGAGGCTGTCTGGCTCCAAAGGCTGTGCTCTTAACCATTATGCTCTACTCATCTCAAAATATCAAAAAAATACAGAAGATGGGGGGCTGGAGGGAAGGGGTAAAGTACAAAGAAAACAATTATAAAATATAATCTCCAGGAGTGGTCTAACCTGAGAGCAAGAAGAATCAACTCTTGGGCCCCCAGTTACATACAAATCCTTAAAAATTAGAACTCACTTGCAAACATTCAAAAAATGTATCAAAATGTTCTTTGTAGATGTAGAACACAGTGGATTTGACCATGTTTTTGAGTGTTTCTCCAACTAAAATCCATGGTAGTTGAGTTTCTGTTTCAGTAACAGGTCCTAGTTTTTGCAAAATTAGTTTCACTGCCTGTGGGAATCCAATAATTATTAAAATGGACATGTACACTCCTTTTTTAAGTAATACACTGTTATTTCCCACTCTGATTACTCCCCGCTCTGATTAAGCTATATTGAAATCTGATCTGGACTAATCAAAGATACGGCAGCTTTGACGGTTGAGCTAACTACAGGTCCCAAAAGGAATTTCTAAACTAGCATGGAGAATTTTACCATCCAACCACTCACTCTTCAACTCATTAATAAATTTATGTTACCTCTAGGATCCAGAATAAAGAAAACAGCAATGATTCTATAAGTAAATATGCCTAATTACTTACAGCCTACATTAGGTAATAAGCATTCTTATTAAAGCCCTAATGCTCCCCATTTAGTGCTTTTTATTTATCCCACACTATGCTCTCTCTACACCATTTACATAAACCTCATCTATTTTTTTTTTTTTTTTAATTTCTTTCACATAGACTCAGAATATCCTCCCGGTCATTTACCTTTCCTGTACAGGAATGAAACATGTTTCTAACTCCTTTGCACATTTCAAAGAGCAACTGTCCAACTCCTTCTACCTTTTCTGGATGTCCATCAAGATCAACAAACATTAAATTGAAAAGTGCATTTTTATCAGAAACCTAAAACACAAAATACAAATGGAAAATTGTATTTACAACACAACAAATCCAAATGAAGACATATCTACTATTCCACAGGTTCATAGTTAAATGTAATTGGGATAAAATTCTAAAAGGAAGAGACACAGTGATTTCAAACTACTATAATGATATATACCACTTCTAATTTCACACACAACACTGATTCAGGAAATAATATGAAGGTGTGTGCCAAGGAAAACTATAGAAGACATTTTATCTTTTAAAGTAAATCATATACTTATGAGTAGAAAAGAAATTAATACCAGTGTTTTTGTTTCATTACAAGAACCTTCTAAAATCTACAATGGAAACACATGCAACATTATGGTATCAATTTCTTCCAGGAAATTATTATAAAAGTTTCTATTACTCTCACCATTTATTTACTGACTTGAATCAGAGGGCACTTCTGATATGCATACAATGAAAGCTACCAAAAACCTAAATAACAATAAAAGAATGACTCAAAATTTTTCCCATTAGTGAGCAAAGATAACCTAATGATGAGATAAACTCAAAATAGTAATATTTTGAAGGTCTCTTCATATATATATATATATATACACACACACATATATACACATATGTATTTATATATACACATATAAAAATATATATATACAAATATAAAAACATTAGTCCATAATAACATGATAAAAGATATCTGCTTCTCATCAGATTCTTGATTAATGAACAATAAATAAATATCAAAAATAAATAAATAAATAAATAAGATATCAAACTAACCTTTCTCATCAAAAAAGTAAAACTTTCAGCAGCAAAATTTCTTATATGTAGTTTTTTATGAGCCAGGAGTGTACTGTACATGCTAAATTAGAAAATAAGACATGTTTAATTTAATCACATTTTAATAAGTATACACTCCATGTCAACGATATGCCCCACACTGTGCTAGGTATGCAAGGAACACACTGCAAATATAAAGAAAGTGGTTTAAAATCTCATTCAGTTACAAGACAGAAGATGAAGGTAACAGACATGAAAAATCCTAGAATTGGTGGTGCAGGACTTACAAAAGACTCCATGAATAGCTAAAACTTGTAGTGATTCCTGAATGATGAGAAAAATCCAGGTGGGTACTGGAAGGCCTATGACTAGAGATAAAAGTGAAAGCACAGACAGGCAGGGCAGAAATTATCACAGCCAAAGGACAAGGAGGCTAGTCCATCTGAAGGAGAAAAGGTGATGTGGTTGGGGAGGGCTACTGCAGACAAAGCTGCTCAGGTAAACAGGTGGCTCTGAACACAACACAGAGGAAACTAGACATTGGCTTACACCTCTGTCGCCTCCTCTAACCAACACAATCCCCTGGAGTATAGATATTGTCACTCTGGCTTCAGATAACAAGCCAGAAAGGCCAAGCAACCTGCTCAAGGTCACAGAGCCACATAGCTATAACTAATTACTTGTATGATCATGTTGTTTAAACTGGTCTCCCTAATGACAGGAGAGCACAGATTAGATCGCTCCTATTTTCACCATATCCTCAGTAGCTCACACTTCCTTGCCCACAGCAGGTACTAATAAATATTGGCTTAATAAAAACTGAGTATTTCAGAGAGATTAATTTACTAATAGTATGCAGGATGAAATAAACGAAGAAGCTGGCAGTCCAACTAGAAAGCTGCTCAAGTCATGGGAGCGTGGGCAAACATGGGCATGAAAGAGGCTTGTGACAGAGGGAAATGCTGAAAGATGGACCCAAGAGACATTTTAGAAGCCCTTGCAGTGGCAGCAGACCTTACAGTACCCACAAAGCGCTCATGATTTGGACTCTACTAATAAGACATGGCACTGTCTAATTACTCTCCCCTTATACACACTGCGGCACGACCCAGGACTTGCTGTTCCTCACACATGCCAGGTATGCACCTAACATGTTCTCTTGCTAAAGTATAAACTTTGGACAAAGAGGGATTTTCATCTGTTTTATTTGCAATTTTACTACAAATGCTGTATGCACAGACGGTGCTCAATAAATACTTACTGAACTGAGGGAGCAAATGAATAACAGAAACAAGAGTCCTTGAAGACAATGGCATCAAAAACACCTCTAAGACACCAAGCCTCAGGTGACAGGAAGAAAAATGGAATCACTGTTGGAAAATGGGCAACTAAACAGGGCCTAGCATAGAGTGTATATTTACTGAACACATGAATGAATGAAGAGTTAGTTTGAGTAGGAATGCATTGACTTTGGTTTCAGTACGACTTTAAGAGAAAATATCCAGGCTATTGAAGATGTCACACCAAGAGCAGATAAATTTAGAAGTGGAAAGTCTGACTCAGGAGATATGATATAAAAGAAACAACAGAAGTCATGAAACCAAAAAAGCTATACAAGGGTCCCTACCCCCTTATCTGTGGTTTCACTATCCATGGTCTCAGTCACCTGTGGTCAGCTGCAGGCTCGAATCAGATGCTGCTCCTACTCATCATCGTCAGAAGGTCCCTAGGAGCCCAGCATTAAGCCATAAGGCTACGTCACTGTTCACCTCACTTGATCTCATCATGTAGGCATTTTATCATCTCGCATCAATACGAGAATCACGAAGATGGTACAATAAGGTATTTTCAAAGAGAGACCACATTCATAAAACTTTTATTACAGTGTGGTGTCATAATTGTTCTAGTTGTTGTTAATTTCTTGCTGTGCATTTTAAATTATACTTTACCATACGTACGTATGCATAGGTAAAAACCACATATAGAGCTCAGTACTGTCTGTGCTTTCAGGCATCTACTAGGGGTTGCAGAACAAACCTCACACATGATGGGGTACTGCTGTGTTGCCTAAATAGTCTCGGTTTCTAATACATTTTACCAAAAGCTTCACAGAGAGCTAGTAAAGGCTGGAAAAATATTTCTTCCTCATTCTTTGTTCAAAGGAGGATAAAGGGCAAAGTTCAACAAAGGGTAGAGTGAAGGGGGAGTTGATACAAAAACAAAATCTATAGCCCTATCCCATACCCATACCTATGTTTGGAAGGAGAGTGGTAATCTTACACATTCCTGTGGCAATGAAAGTATATAGAAATAATCAGTAAACCAAGTGGGAAATTCCGGCAAGCCCCAGACTGAAATCAATCATAAACAACCTTTCTCTTAAACAGAAAGCAACCATGGAATTCGTCCTCTTTCCCTGTCTATATCTGCTCACAATGTTCCCTAAGTGTCTCTTTGGGCTTATTAAATAAGTTAGAGGCTGGGTCAATGCAGATATCTAAGACTGGATTCTTTAAGAGTTCACAGGTTTGTAAAGGACATCGTTACGTTGTGAACAAACAATCATTAACAGAGGTTGTGTGATGTAAGTGTAGAGAATGCCAGAGGGGTTCAGAGTTCAAAGGTTACACCTCTGGCTAAGCTGCCCAGAAATATCTGTGGAGGTTATGAAAACCAAGCTTGGCTTTGACGGTGAGAGGCAGTATTTTGGTAGCTGGAGATAAGAGAAGATCAGGTCACTGTACACTAATAGAATAGACCATAGACCCTTTTGGCCGGAGAACCAACTTCGTAGGATGAGAGACTGAGCTGGAAAGGCAGTACGGAGTCAGACAGAACCCAAGGAAAAAATCATCAAAAGGCCACGTCAGAGTCAGGCAGCTATGTCGGCAGGTTTGCATGATGGATACTGTGCATATGGGATGGGAGTGAGAAATCCTGGTTCTCAGTATTGATAAAGACTGCACTTGACTGAAAAATAAAAACTTGAAGTGTAAATGCTGAAAAATTTCATTACTGAGGGGGACTGTTCTAGTTAAGAAGCCTCAAGCACACAACTGTGTTCACAAAGGCTATCTTGAATATTTAACAGGTGTATATTGCTTTTGCTCTCAAAACTGATGCAGGTTGGGAGCGGGACTGATCGTAGACAGACTTTAGAAATCTTTTTGGGATTATGGAAATGTTCTTAAAATGGATTATGGTGAGATTTGCACAACTTCATAAAATTACTAAACAGCACTGGATTGTAGATAAGATAAAATAAAACTCAAAAGCAACAAAACAAACTGAAACCCGTCTTAGAGAGAGGAAGAGTCACCTGTATATATTGGACATGTCCTTCACCATTTGCCTCCACAGGTACTTGTAAAGATAGGACAATGAGGTGAAAGCCCATTCTAGTAACTCCGTGTCCTGAGTCTCCAGGATTGAGGTGATAGTCAGGAAAAAGTCCTGAAAATGTGGATAGAAGTCCATCTGCAGATCTCGTGCCAACTGTACAACCAAACTGGATTAAAAATAAGTAGAAGTAACTGATTGAGACACATATGTCAAAAAACAAAGACCGCAAATCTATTTCACAAATGATAGCAGACTGAAACCTTCCAAACAAAGTCTAAAGACATAAAAAATATTTTACATTTTAAGGGTTTAGCAAAGAAATCGGGCTGGAACAAGAAGGTGTGCTTTATCAAAAGTTATGCTCAGCCATTCCTGCAGTGTGAAAGAAAAACGGGGTTTTCTTAAATGTATAAAACAAAAGCAAAAAAAAAGAGGATACCTCTAAGATTCTGTTTTTTGGCAAGGCACTAATGTTCTGATCTAGCGGAAAAGGTAAAATTCTTGTTTTAAATTCAAACACCAGATCTGAGGCAAATGTAGCAATAAAACACAACTTTTTTTTCTTTCTAAAGATTATTTATTTGAGAGAGGGAGACAGAAAGAGCAAGCATGAGCTAGGGAGGGGCAGAAGGGGTGGGAGAAGTATTCTCCACTGAGCAGGGAGTTTGATATGGGGCTTGATTCCAGGACCTCAGGATCATGACCTGAGCCAAAGTCAGATGCTTAACCGACTGAGCCACCCAGGTGCCCCATAAAATACAACCTTTCTTAAAAGTGAGATAAATGTCATTGAGCTTTCTCTCAACATACTTACTCCAAAAGGGGCTGATAGGCAAAACTGTTCTTGATTTGCAGGTGAGTCTTCAAACTCTGAACTATCTCATTTTGATGATAGACCAACTGATTGAAGGACTGGCATTTGTCAATAACTTCTTTGTAAAATTTGCCTGGGGGTGGGGAAGGAGGGAAAATAGAGAATAGGTTCTGCTTTTCTATCATACCACTATTTAGTTATTTTGAACACAACAAGTACAAATGTTGGGAGAATAAAATAGAAACAAAATAGAAAATACCAAAGTGTTCTGTAAGGTTCAATTCTCTCCATTTCAGCAGACCCTCAAAAAAGTAGGTTTCAACTTCCTGCCAAGATTAAAGCAGTCCATTAATCAGGCAACTCAAACATTATGATCAAAGTAAACAGGAATTTTGATATATTAATACCTCAAGACAATGATAATAATCAAGAGTTTAAAAACATTTCTTTTAAAGAGCATTAACACACTTAAAAAGCAATCAGGTATACAGTATGGGCATATGGTTCATAAAAATAATATTTTATTGATTTGGTTGCAACAAATAATTCTCTAATACCTATGTAATAGTCACACTAACGAGAAAAAATTTTTTTTCAGTTTTCTACAATTTTAGGCCCAGAAAAAAATATGCTGACCCCTACAATTTTTTTTTGGAAATACGAATTACAACTCTGTGGAGAAGTACTCTGGCAATTATTAAAATGAAAAACAACCAGGTATGTCTTCTGACCTATCAATTCCTCTTTAGAGATATTTCTTATAATATTTACAAACACACCAGTATAAAGATGTTTATTCAGCTTTCTTGTAGTGGGGGGGGGAAACATAAAACAGCTTCAATATCTAACAATAGGAAAGTGCTTGATGTAACTTATGGTCCATACATACTAAGGTATATTACGTGGCTATTAAAAATAGTTCTATCTTATATTGAATTAGAATGATGCTGATGATAAACCCCTAAAGTGATAAAAGCAAGTTATATAGTGAAGGATATAAGAGGAACCATTCTTAAAAAAAAAAAAAAAGACCTCTATAAATCACACATTTGTACATATTTGTCTAAGAAAAAAGTACAGAAGAATACATATATACAAAATTGTCAGTATTAGTTTCCTTGACAATAAGGAGCGTGAAGGGTGAGATAACAGGTTTTTTCTAAGTTCACAAATATGCTGTCATGTTATTTAGCTTATTATTACAGTATATTTTACTTTGTACTTTGAAAACTAAAATCAATAAATTATTACCCTGTGTGTGTGCGTGTGTGACAGACAGGGAGTATGGAGAGAGAGAGTACAAATTAGTACACACACAAGCATGTCAAATCTTCTATAATCTCAAAAAAAAAGGGTAAACCTTTAAACTGTGCTTTGCAATTCTTTAAAAAATAAAAGTGAAGGAAAATCAATAGGCAGAATAGAGGGAAAGAAAGAGGATCCCATTAAATTTTGTTGTCTCTTAAGGCAGTAGGGAAATATGCCTCAGTTTAAAACCTAAATGTAGAAGACATTTCCAGACTAGCAGAGTGACTGGGACCTATCAGCGGTTTGTCCCTGTCCCCTTGCAGTGTGAGTCAGGGCTCCCACCACAAAGGGATGGAGGCTATTTCCTCACTCCTTGAATCTGGCCTGGCTTTCTGACTTGCTCTGACCATAGTGCACAATGGAAATGATCTCGTAACTGCCAAAGTTAGGCTCCAGAGGCTTTGTAGCTTCTGCTTTCCCACTCTCAAAAAAGATTCTGCCATCATGAAAGAAGCCTAGTCTACCTTGCCGGAGAATAAGACGCCATGAGGACAACCACAACTAACAAGATCCAGAAGGTGACTGAGACCAATGTGGACCATCTAGCCCAAGATCCTCTCCTAGACTTTCTTCTCTACTAACGTGACATTCTACCTCTTACCCATCTACCTCATCCGTGGCTTAACCTATAAACCATACACTGAATGCTAAATCTGTAATTCCACGTCCAAAGTCATCTGTACTTCTCCAGATCCACATATCCAGATATCTTCTGGACACCATCACATAGACAGCCGTAGGTATATCAAATTCAACAAGCTCCAAATGGAACCAACCCTGTGCTTCTCTTCCTATAAATCTATCTTGATAAGTAACATCCTCAACCACCCAGTTGTTAGAACCAAAAACCTTAACCCCCTACCAGCAGATCACAAGTCCTATCCACCCTACTTTTTTAGTATCTCTGGAATCCTTCCCTTCTCTCCATCTTGACTCCTGCTACTACAATAATTTCTTACTTGGATGACTACCATACCCTCACACCTGGCTGGCCTGACTCCAATCCCATTCTTTCTTTCACAGTAAAGCCAAAAAGATCTAAAACTTAAACTTGATCATGTCACTCACTCGTTTGCCTCAAAACCCCCGAAGGATATCCCATAGCTTCAGGATAAAATGCACACTTAGCTTGACATATGAAGTCCTTTATGCTCCTTGATTTTTCTTCAGCTTTATCTCAGCTTTATCCCTCCCCTATCCCAGTCATCATCAACACAGACAAACACCATACATACAATTATAACCTCATTGAAATGTTTTGGTTTCCCAGTTTCTTGAATGTGACATGTATTTTCTAGCATCTGTTTATAAGGCTTTTCTCTCAGTTTGAAACATCTCCTGTCTTCTTTGCCATGCTGCATCCTATACAAATAACAAGACTCAATTCAGCTATCATCTTGTCTACATTACCTTTTCAACACCCTACCATATACTCACAAGGAATTTAGGTTAGCCTCCTTCGGGATGAGTTGCCAAAGCATTATGTGTTTACCCAGATCGTATCACTTAATTCGCTAAATTCACACACAGGAGATAAGGCATCCAAAGAGACAATGAGCAAAGTCTGACCAGAGCCAAGTGAAGAACTAAGAACCAAGTGAAGTTGAATCCCTAAGTGAAAGGCACGATATACAGGACCTTAAAAGGCAAACAAAGAAATAATGACTTGATGTGGGAAAACAAGATTTTTAAGTAGAGGTGTGACTGAGTTAAGGGCATGGTTAGAACTAGAAAAATTATGTTGTGTATCCCCTTTCTTTTTATAAAGGAGGAAACTAAGCCCCAGGAAAGTGATGTGCTCAAAATCTCTTTAAAATGGTAGCTTCAGGGGACGCCTGGGTGGCTCAGTGGTTGAGCATCTGCTTTTAGCTCGGGGCATGATCCTGGAGTCCTGCATCGGGCTCCCCATAGGGAGCCTGCTTCTCCCTCTGCCTGTGTCTCTGCCTGTGTGTCTCTCATAAATAAATAAATAAAATCTTAAAAAAAAAATGGTAGCTTAAGGAATATGAATCTGCAGCAGAGCTCAGAATGCCCATGGGAAAGGGAGAGGCTGGAATCACAGAAGCCATCTAAGCCATCAAGTTAACTGTCTAACACAGCATTACCCAATAGAACTTTTTGCAGTGATGGAAATATTCTGTATCTGCACTTGTGCAACATTGTAGTAACAAGCCACGTATGGCTATTGAGCCTTTGGATTTGAATTTCCTTTAATTTACATCTAATTTACCATGTGTAGTAGCTACTGTATAAAAATCACATAGGTCTAATGCATTTCATTTTCCAAAAGGAGTGGCCTGAAACACAATTCATTTCTACTAAGAGGAGAGACTAAAAAACCCAACTATGAATATTTGAAGATTGGCTAATACAACATTCTCTTACCTCATCATAGTTTGTAGTTCTATCAATCCGGTGAATAATATCAATATTCACATTCCCCAGTCGTTCAGCAAATGTAAGAAACTGTGGGAGGGGGATAATTAACATACAATCATCATTCAATACATATGCCATCTTGAATACCCATTTTGAGTGCACTGTATACTAATCACATGTTGACCATTTCCTTGTGAGAACAAAGTTTAAACTTTCAATAAACCTCCTCGTGTCCTGTCATTACAAATAAGGGTATGGTGTACTTGCAATGTCAGATTTGTATTTTTCAACCAATCATAAAATATAATTGTGTTTTGAAACTCGAAGTAGACATCACTGATGAGTCACAAAAGTGTAAAAAACAAAAAGACAGTCTTAGATGCCCTGCACAACTTAATGAAAATAATTAAATACTTCCATGAGTGTATTTGCAAAAGTTCAGTTATGTCTTTTCAAATAAAATTTCCATGCTAGACTGTGATAGGACCCAGGTGAAAGTTGGCGGTGTGGCCTCACCAGACCTACTGCTAGGTTTCAAGACCGGCTACAAGCACAGGGATCTGGTTAAGTTGTTGCAACAGCAGTGTCATCAGACAATGCAGACACACGGTTGCACAGTAACAGAAATTCTCAGGGAACCAGCAGAAAGTGAGGTCACAGCCCATTAGCTGGAAATCATTCACCTCCTCTCGCCGGCTCGCTTCCCAATCTAGTCTTTAAGAATAAAGGCGATGGGGATCCCTGGGTGGTGCAGCGGTTTGGCTGGAGACCCGGGATCGAGTCCCACGTCAGGCTCCCGGTGCATGGAGCCTGCTTCTCCCTCTGCCTGTGTCTCTGCCTCTCTCTCTCTCTCTGTATGACTATCATAAATAAATAACAAAAAAAATTAAAAGAAAAAAAGAATAAAGGCGATGGAGAGCATCTCCTAAGCAGTTAGTCCGTGATCAGGAATTTAATTCTGGGCCACGGGAATCCCAGGCAGGCCTGACCCCACAAACCACCGGCGGTCTCCTGCCCGGACGTCGTTCCTCACCACATGTTTACTAAGCCTGGCAAGTCTCCCTCTTGGGCCCGATAAGGGACTCAAGCTGGGCCCAGACACCCACACCACGGTTCCGGGCCCAGGTTCCTTCGCTCACCCTGTACGTGTTCTCGGTCTTGTGGGAGACGGGCTTTGTCTTCATGGCTGCAGAGAGGCGGGGGCACGCAAGGACCTAAGTGGGGGCGACGGAATGCAATCCACGGTACGGAGGGAACCCCGCTGACTGTCCTGCACACTCCGGCTCCCACGAGCTCAGACCTCATCACATGCGGCTCGCACCCCTGGGCGCCGCCATGTTGGAGGACGGGGAGGCGCCTGGGAGGATCACGTGGACGGAAGCAGCGCCAGGGCCGGCGCAGCCTACTGGGACCGGCGGGCCCTCGGGCGGTTCTGCGGCTGAGGGCTTGGGTTTATTTTTCTCCTTTCAGGAAAGCGCTAGAATAAAAATGTGTGTTTTTATTATAAAAGAACACTTGCCCGTCGGCATTGTCAGCTAGCAGCCTTACCCTTCAGGATGCACCCTGCAAACCTCTTTACGTCAATAATTTCAATTAAGCACACCGTGAACGCTCAGTGAACATAAAGAGCATTTTTTTTCTTATTTATTTACATTTTTAAAAATTTAAATTCAATTTCCAACATTACAATATAACACCCAGTGCATATTTTTAAACCCATTTGGCATATGAAGAAAGCGGGAATGCGCCCTGGCATGTGGCAGTCTAGCAGAGGTCTCCCAGCATCAGTCTGATACTCTTAATAATTACCACCTAAATAAAGTTGAAAAACAGGAAAGGATTTTTAGGGGAAGAAAAGTCTTAGAGTTTGACGTGCAGTTAATATGTCAGTGTTTTTCCTCCCGCTCTTATGTTGTGAGACATTAATTGTAAAAATAGTTGTGTGTGTGCATTTTTGTCACTCATTCAACAAGTATTTCTTGAGACTCTACTATGGGCCATGCCCTGTTCTGTGAGCCGAACAAGACAAACACAATAATAATTCTGTTTGGAAGTATTTAATGCAAGATGTTTACCTCTTAGGTAAGAAGAGATGTTGAGTAGAGGACTGAATGCGTTCCTGTCCAGATGGCACCGTAGGGGTCAGAGCTGGAGGTGTGACTTAAATGACTGAAATACTCTTCACTGCTGAACCATGTGGAGAATTTAATGCCATGGAACTGGTTGTGATCATTTAAGGAGAGAGTGATGAAAAGGATGAAGAAAAGAAAAGGATCCAGTTGGACCTTGGGGTGCTCCAACACTTGGCAGTAGACTGGAAGGGGAATGGGGTGGATAGAGCCAGTGACATAGATAGGGACCAGTCTTGGCATGGAAGAAGAACCAGGGGTCAACTATGCTGGAAGCTGAGGCTAGGAAAGCAGCTGTCAAATCTGACAAGGTGAAGGTCACTGGTGACCTTGACAGGTACAGTCCTGTGTTGAAGAAAGGAAGAAAAACACGCGTGGATTGTGGAGGAAATCGAGTAAGGAAGTGAAGTAGGTATAACACTTTCGTATTATCGATTGCATTACGACAGGAGTATTTTCTATGTCATCACGGAGTTGCTTTAAGTATTTTTAATGGCTCCATAGCATGTATGGATTTTTTAATGATAAAATATAGAAGTGCCCAATATTTGGCTGGTTTCCAGTAAGCTAATTGTTTTTGTTGTTTGTTTTTTAGGTAGAGCTTCACCTTAATGCATCACAGCTCTCTTAAGGAAATCTGTGAAAGCAGTAGATCTTCTCCTCAGAATAAAGTAAATAAGCTCATTCACACTAAAGTGTGTAGATGATTTCAGATAATTAGAAGTCTGCAGTCATCTGAAGGTAAAAGCCCCCACTCTAAGCAATATTCCCAACCTGTTGCTAAAATCATCCCCACATAATTGTGTCCTTCTTATTCTCTGTCATTGGTTTTTGGTATTAGAGTTAATGGAACAGTAAGGAATAGAGAGTACAATGAAGATCAAGGACAGTAAATGAACTGATACTTGCAAGTTACATATAGCATTGTTACTCCTTATATGATCCTCATATACAGGCATAGCTCACTTTGTTGTGTTTCACTTTATTGCGCTTCACAGACACTGTGTTTTTTACAAACTGAAGGTTTGTGGCAACCTTGTGTTGAGCAAGTGTATCAGTACCATTTTCTCAGCAGCATTTACTCCCTGCCTCTGTGTCACATTTTGGTAATTTTTGCAATTTTTCAAACTGTTTTGTTACTATGATATTTGTTATGGTTATCTCTGATCAGAGATTACAACATGCCGAAACCTTGGATGATGGTTAGCATTTTTTATCAATAAACTATTTTTTAAAGTTTTTATTTAAATTCCAGTTAGTTAACATACAGCCTAATATTAGTTTCAGGTACACAATATAGAGATTCAACACTTTTATAAAACATCTTTCATCCCCTCCTTGCCCCCAGCTTTCTCCTTCTGTGCCAAGGCCTTGAGTGGTCCATACCATCCTCTTTCCCCCACTGTTTGTTTTTCTTGATCCACTTATTCCAGTCAGGAAACAGAGTTCCGTCATTCCATTCATCTTAAACTTGATTGCGAACTCCTGGAAGTTTTCCCTTTTAATTTTTGTTTCCTTATTGCCTAGCATGCTGCAATTTCAAGCCCATGGGACTATATGATCACATGAGTTTACTCAGCCTAGACTCGGAAGTAGAGTCCAAAGAAGGCTTCTGGGTAGAGGTAGCAACTGAGTCCTGGAAGATGACTTGAAGTTAGCCAGGCAAGGGAGGAACATGGACATGAATGGTGCTATCTAGATAAATGGAAGAGTATATGAAAAGGTTCAAAGTGGTTGAGTATAAATTTGGTTATTTTTAATGCCTCATCCTAAGCCACACCCTCTCTAGTCAGCACTGAGCCTTGGCATTACCCCATCATCCTTGGGCTAATGGAAGGAAAACCTAAAGGATAGGGTGAAACTGAGAGGTGGAGCGAACCTCAGTTTCCTGATCTATAAAGTGGGGCAACAGTTATACATGGTTGCTGAAAGATTAGCTAAGGTATTATATGTGATGGCCTGGAAGGGGGCGGGTCTTCCTGGTGGCATGGTCTTGTTTAGAAAGGGGACCCAGGGGTGCAATATGTCAAGCCAGAGGTGACCCCCATTCAACAAGGGACTAAGGAGGTAAGGTCTCAAATGAACAGAGGCGAGTGAAGTGAATGAGATGGTTGTTTTCCATCATAGTTGCTTCTTCGAATGAGAGCTGGAGTGAGCTTGGATTCCACTGCTGGGCCTCCCAGTCTCCCTTGCTCTGCCACTACTGTGTAGGCCTCAGTTTACTGAGGCAATTCAAGTGTCCCTCATGTGGTCGTTATGAAGAATCACTGACCTACTAGGTTGATTTTTAAAGTGTGATCCCCCTACTAGCAGCATCAGTGCCCTGTGGGAACTTGTTAGAAATACAAGTTCTCAGGCCCCACTGCAAACCCACTGAATCAGAAACTCTGGAGATGGGGCTCCTGTAATCAGTGTTTTCACAAGCCTGCCAGATAATTCTGAAGCAAGCTTAAATTTGGAAATCATTGATTTAATGTATATTGAAGCACTTAGAACATTGGCACACACCTCACTGTCGGTGTCTGGGGTTCAGGTTAGGTATCAAGCAGGGCCTGTGTCCTAGGCTGTATTTCTTTGGCCAAGTAATTGGTTCAGAGATGAGCATGTGTCCCAAGCTGGGCTAAGAGCCTTATCTGGAACTTTGGATATAGCTGTAGGGAAAGAGATGCTTCTCTTTTTTGGATATGTCAAGATAATAGGAGCCTGAAGCTGTTGGTGGCCGTTGTCACTACGAGGAGAAGTTGGCCTGAAAATGAAAGTTTATGCAAAGGAAAATAGAGCTGAGAGAAAAATAGGGAGAGAAGGAGGAGGGAGGAGACAGAGAGGGAGAGGAGAAGGACAGAGAGATGGAGAGGTCAGAGATTGAGATTAACTACTTTGAGCCACTGGATCCATCCAGTCTTTGGAGTTTTCAGTTACTGTACTTCATTAAGTCCCCCTTTTGTGACTAAGCCCATTTGAATTTGTTGTATTTTATTTTGTTTTTAAATATTTTATTTGTTCATGATACAGAGAAGCAGAGAAACAGGCAGAGGGAGGAGCAGGCTCCCTGCAGGGAGCCCTATCTGGGACTGGATTCTGGGACCCCGGAGTCATGCCCTAAGTCAAAGGCAGACACTCAACCACTGAGCCTCCCAGGCGTCCCACTAAATCCATTTTAATTGGATTCTGTCGCTTGTAACAAAAATAATACCTACACAGCTAGTATAAAATATTTGTGTTGCTGATAAACAAGGCTGGAAACTTAAACTTTCTTCTGAACATAAATATATATATGAGAAGTAAGAATCAAAAAAGTCAAATACAAAATCTTGATGATAAGAGTCAGTGTGTAGGATTGGAAAGAACATCAGGCCAGGAGTCAGAGAATCTGGGTTCTAATCTTGGGAGGTTCACTCTGCTGTATGTACTTTGTAAAATTAACCCTACATCTAAAGAAGTAAAGTATGTATTCGTGATTTAAATGTTGCATTACGTGAAGTCAAAAAATTAGTAGAGCTGTTTCTAGAACTCCTTATATGTATGAAGTGGTAAGTTTGCAATATTAATAAAGAGATGTAGAGGTAGGGACACTTCTTAGTTTTTCATATACCACTCTTTGATCCATGATAGAATATTTTAAAAGATACACTTAAACATGTGCCTGAAGAGGGTGAAAGACCAAGCCACAGGATGCGAAAAAATATTTGAAAACACATACCTGAATAAAGACTTGTACTCCAAATAGGCAAAGAACTTTTAAAATTCAACAATAAAAAGCTCAATTAAAAAATGGGCAAAAGAACTGAATAGCATTTCCCTAAAAAGGATACGCAGATGGCAAATAAACATATGAAAAGATGCTTAATGTTGGGGTGCCTAGTGGCTCACTTGGTTAAGCATCTGCCTTCAGCTCAGGTCATGATCCTAGGGTCCTGGGATGGAGCCCCATGTCTTGGTCGGGCTCTCTGCTCCAAAGGGAGCTTGCTCCTCCCTCTTCTTTTGCCTGCCACTCCTTTTGCCTGTTTGTGCGAGCTCACTCTCTCTGTGTCAAATAAATAAATAAAGTATTTTTTAAAAAAGGAAAAGATGCTCAATGTTATATGTAATTAAAGAATTACAAATTAAAATAAGAGTTAGATACCCCTACACTCCTATAGAATGTCTAAATTCCAAAATAGTGACACCACCACATGCTGGAGAAGGTCTGGAGCAATAGGAACCCTCATCCATTGCT